AGGAGGATGAGGAAGGATGAGAAGGAAAACAGGGAAGGAAAGAGCAAACACAAGAATGGTTGGTTGGTTAACCGTTGAAGCAATACCTAAGAAATCGAACTGAGGCCAAAGAAAGACAAGGGAAGACAAGATGGACGGAAGAAGAAAGACAGAGAGAGAGAGAGAGAGAGAGAGAAATGAAAGCGAGGGATGAAGTCGAACGGAGGAGGAAAACGGGGATGGGCGCAAAAGGTCCTGGTTGGGGCTGCGGGTCAGGAGACCCCTTCTTGGGAACGGGGGGGCGGGGCAGAGGGAAGGCAAGCCCCCCCTCCGACCCTCCTCAACCCCTCGCGCCAGGAGGAATTCCCCCGGGACCAGGATGCAGCGAAGGCGGCCCGGTTCTTCTCTCCCCGTTTTTTCCTTCCTTCCTTTTCAAGATTTTCTGGTTCTCAGCAGCGGCGACCAGTTCTCCCAAAGAGAAAACGGCTGCCCTATTTTTGTGTGTGTGTGTGTGGGGGGGGGGAATCACGGCTCCCCACCCTCCCAGTAAAAAGTTACTGGGCTGCTGCCTGGCTCCTGAAGAGACCCCTTCGCCCGCCCGCCCGCGAGGCTCCCTCAACGCCCATCTGCTCTCCTCGGGGCGGCGACTGTACCCCCGATCGCGGAGTTGATCTGCCATTATCTTAGCCGTCCTTCCGAATCTTCTTTCCTCCCCACCCCAAAATAAAGGAAGACGCCAGAGTGGTGGCGTGGGGTGGAGGGCGAATCTCCTTCAGGGATCCTGCTCTGCTCCTCCCGCGGGTAGGTCAATAGTCAGGGAGGCGGGTGGGAAGTCTACCCTGCCCCAATTTCAACCTTCCTCTTCTATTCCCCGGCTCCGGGCTGCAGACCTCTTCATCACTTTGGGGTGTCCTGTCCTGAACTGGCCCAAACTGGAATTTTGCTTGGAATTCGGCGAGGGTGCCGTGCCTGGGAGGGGGGGGGAGAAGGGGTTCAGGGCCAAAATACCTGGGCGGGATGACAGAGACCCATTGGGTATTTCTTCTCCCCTCTATCCCCCACCTTACCTGACCGGCCTTCCTGGTTCCGTGCCAACAGCGCCAACAGCGTCTCGGTGCTGCTGGGGGGCTCCCGGCCAGCGCCCCCCCGCCGCCGCCGCACCTCCTTCCCCGCGTCCATCTTGCTCGCCTCCCGCTCTTGGGAAACTCGACCAGCCGGGCACAGAAGATCGGGGGGGGGGGGGGTGGAGGACGCGGGGGGGGGGCGGAGAAAACCTCCGCAGAAACCTCCCCTTTAACGACAGCGAAAGCGTCTCCCCGGTTCCTGGCCAGCGCCGCTCCGTCAGCACCACGGACAGCGGCCGGTCGCCAGCGGCGGGGCGGAGGAGCCGGTCGAGTCCAACCCAAGGGGGGAGGCGGGGTGGAGTCACTCGTGTCCCCCCCCCGAAAGGGAGGACATTAGACGGGGGGGAACAGCAGGGATGGAGGCCTTCCAGGGGGACTCCTTGCCACTTGGGCCAAGGAGAAGAGCGAGAACAACAGCTCTCCGTGGGTTAATCCGGACCTAAAAACGGAGCAGCTTTTCCGCCGAGGATCTGATGAGGATCGCCCCTTCCTCAGGCAGCAGCCCAGTAAGCCCAGTAATGGAAGAGGAACCGGAGGTGGAAGAGGGGAGACGGGAGGGGAATAAATATCCCCTTCGCTCGTAGTCTTCCTCACAGGCTGGGCAAGAGTTTAATGAGGCATAAGAGAGACGGAGAGAATCCTAGCCTGGAAGGAGCCAGCGAGGCCATCCAGCCCACCCCTCTGTTCGTTCCAGATTCCTGGACACACCGCTGCTTCATCAGACAGTGACAAGAAGAGGAGGCCGGAGAAGATGCGTCCACAGGAGCCTGAGGAGGAGGAGAGCTTTAGGGCAGCATAGTCTGATTTTCATCCAAGGGAAGCTTTGCTGAAATAATTCAGAGCCACCGGACTGTTTTGTGGGACATCTGAATAGGAGCCAACGTATTTCGAGGGAAGCTTTGAAGAGCCATTCAGGCCGAGGGGGTCGCGTTCAAAGGTAGCCCCCTCGCTTGCCACCATGGGGCCTCAGAAGAAAGAAATAAAACCTAATTTCTGCTTTTGGGGATTCAAAGAAGCGACTTCTTCGAAGGTGGTAGAAAGCCCAACGGAGGACTTTTGCCAGGTTAAATGTGTCCCAAGAAGGCGTTTCCTCCGGAGGTTCTGGAGATATGCAAATTTATTCTGATTTAATTTACTAATAGAGAAAGGGGAAGTGACTTAATCAGCTAAAACGTTCCTGAATGCCTTGACCGACATAATATGAATGATCTGTGCCTGCTGGGGACCTTTTCCTTGTAAAAGGATTCCAATTTTTTGAGGGGAAATGGGGAGGGGAGAGAAATCAACAGCACCTCCCCCCCTTCAGCCACGCGGAATCTGATTGGGGGTTGGGGGGGGGGCTCCATTTGACTAACAAGGGCCAGATCGGATCCTTAAAGGAAATATCGGTAAATATTCTGCAAAAGGCGGAAAAGTCGTTCTTTCTAAATGAAAATATATTCTTCGCTTCCTCCAACCTTGGCTCTTGCCACGCTGAGAACCTGCAAGGGCGATTTATCTCCCTTTTTCTTAAGCAAATGAAAGGAAGTTTCGGTCCCGCTAAGCTTCTCTCTGAACTAATTTGATTATCTTCAAAGTGCAATAATCCTCGTTTATTACTAATCCTTTCTCTCTTCTCTCCCTCCCGTTTTTCCCTTTCCCTTTCCTTCCTTTCTTCCTTCCCTCTCTTCCACCGTGCCTTCCTTCTTCCTTTCCTTCTCTTCTTTCCTCCCTCCCTTCTACCCTTTTCCTCTCCTTCCCCTCCCTCCCTCCCACCTTTCCTTTTCCTTACCTCCCTCCCTTTTTCCTTTCCTTTCCTTTCCCCCATTCCTCTCTTCCTCTCTCCCTACACCTTCCCTTCTCTCTTTTCTCCTTTCTTTTCCCTTCTTCCCTTCCTTTTTCTTCCTTCCTTCCCTCCCTTTGTCCTTCCTTCCTTCCTTCCTTCCTTCTCTCTTTTCTCCCTTCTCTCCCTCTCCTTCCCCCCTCCCTCCCTCTTTCCACTAATGCAAAAGGGGGGCAAGACTTTCCAACCTACAAACTGGTTATTTGGAAGCCAGTCAAAAGGCCTTCCGGGAGTCGATTCTGGTATTAAGTGGCAGAAATCCTTTCCTAAGAGAACCCAAAACTTCGAAAGGCTTTCTTCTTGTTAAACATTGTGCCGTCAATTTGAGGCATTTATCGAATCTCCCATCTACGAAGAGGGAGCATCGACGGGGCGAGATGGGGCTTCCCATAACAAGGATTGTAAATTCAAAAACCTTGGAACTTCCTTTCAAGTAACCAGGCTCGTCCCTGCTTACCATTTTAAAATCAACCATCCCCCCTTCCTTTTTCCTTATCCCACCCCCCAAACGTTTTCAGAAAACGAAAAGCCTTCCCTGCGGCTGCCATCCATTCCCACGTTCGGTTTTCACGGAGCTCCGCCCGAGCACCCCAGGTGGCAAACGCCCCCCTTCCCCCCCCCCCCCCCCCCGCCGGTAAGCGAACCGCAGGCGATCGGGTTGCTTGGACGCCAGCAGCTCCTGGAAACTGCTGGTCACCATGACGAGCCGAAAAGGTCAGGGACATCTGGGATGCCAGGCTGCCGAAGAGAGGCTGACCTCCAGCCGTCCCCCCACCCTTTGCCAGAGTCTGCAGGGGCGGCGGGAGACCCAGACGCTCATATTTTCCCGCGAGAAAGGAGCAGCAGGTTCTCCAGCCCTTCGGAGCCGCTTCTCCAAATTCCCCACGAGCCCCAGCAAGTCGGAGTTCTGAGGACAAGCCAATTTATTCCCGGTTTTAAGAAATCCGCCTTTCTTTCTACCCCTCGGGCGCTCAAGGGGCCAAGCGACCCTCCCGAAGCGGACCACGCCAAGCAGGACTTGTGGCTTCTCCAGCTGCACGCCGGGCAACAGATGCCCTTGGAGGCGGGCCTGCCGTTCACCCTTTCCCTCCTTCCAAGCCTCTCCAAGCCGAGAGCCGGAAGCAGCTCGCCCGGCTCTGAAAAGAGCCCCAAACGGGTAAAGGACTTCTGGGTCCCCAGGAGCGCTTGGGGGGTCCTGGACCAAGGTTGACTCGCGGCCCTGGAGGGTCTCCAGGCAGAACCGCGGTGGGAGGGCGCTTTCCGTGGTCGGGAGAGCCGCCACTCTGGGAGGTCCCTGGGCTGGAAAGAGACGCGCCTGGCAGCTGTTCAGCCCAGCCAAGCCAGGCGCGTCCTAACGACTTTGGGTGAGCTGGAGTGGGGGCAGCCTCTCCTCTCCCCAACGGAGCCCGGCGGTTTTTTTCTTCTTCTTCTCTCTTTCCTCCCTTCTATCCTCAAAATAACGTGGCCCCCCTCGCCTCCTGGGTTGGGCTTTCCCACTGACTGAAGAGGAAATTGAGGAGGAAGATGTCCTATTAAGCATAGGGTGTCCTATGCGTAAGTTGAACCTGGATTCTTTGAATGGGTCCCTTCCTCCAGGAAAGACTTGTGTCAAGGAAAAGGAAGGAAGGAAGGAAGGAAGGAAGGGAATAATAAAGGCGACCAGGAGGTAAGAGATGAGAGGAAAACCCCACAGTCTGTCTCCAAAAGTTTACAGCGGGGGGGCCTCCTTGGAGAAGGAGAGGTGGAGAAAACAAGAACGATGTTAACCTTCAGCACAAACGAAGGAGAATAAGGGCTGCGCAAACGAGAACAACCGTCCAATTCAAGAGCGCTCAGCAAAAGATTGAGAGTCCTTCCTAAATTTAGGAAAGACACCCCCCCCCCCCCCCCGCCGCCGCCGTCGGGATTTTCTTCTCTTTTGGCTGGGGGCGGCGGGAGCGCAGAACAGGTGTCTTTCCCCAGAAGGAGGAACGTCTCCCCCGCGGGCCAGCCGGGGAGAGGTCCCCTTCGGGAGTCCCGCAGAAGCCTCTCCTCTCCCCGCAGCCCTGGGCGTTTCTCGGGGGAGGCTGACTTACCTGGGTTCCTGCCAAAGGCGCAGGGCTCGGCGGGGGCCGCTTTCTCCCCGCGGGCGCGCTCCAGCAGCATGGCGCTGAGCTGCCCGGCCGGAGAAGAGACCTCCGCCCGGGATCGGAGGAAGAGGGAGCTCGGCCGGACGCCGGAATAGAGACACCCCCTTCCCCGCCCCCAAGCCTTGGCCCGAAGGACGGTGGCTGGCAACTCCGGGAGGCTCCAACCGGAATGCAAGAGAGCAGGTTGGGTGGCTGGCGAGGGGTTGGAGGGGGAGTGGCCGCGGGGGACGCAGCGGGGGGACGAGGCAGCGAGGGATCTCCCCCCACCAACTGCCCGGCGTCACTTGAACCCTGCAGCCCCCCTTCCCCCCTCCTCCTGTTGCCCCGCCCGGCTCTGTGAAGAAAACAAAGGCCGAGGGGGCAAGGCGTCTCAGGGGGAGCTGTCCGCGGTGCTGAAGCGACGGCCCGTTAATCAGTCCCAACTATGCAAAGAGGTTGGATTGGTGCCTCTCCTGAAAGCCCTCGAGTTTAACTTCGCCCGGATTCCTGTGGATGCAGCTCACCTTTCACAGATTAACCCTGCTAGGTGAATGCAGACACAAAGAGAATAAAGAATGACAAAAGTTGGAAGGGACCACGGAGATCTTCTAGTCCAACCCCTTGCTCAAGCAGGACCCTACGCCTTTCCGGACAAATGGCTGTCCAGTCTCTTTTTGAAAGCCTCGAGTGATGGAGCACCCACAACTTCTGGAGGAGGAACGACGATATACAGGCATAGCACACACGGTGATTGCATTTGACAAGGGCTACTATGGACAGATAGTCCCCGACTTACGACCACAATTGAACCCAAAATTTCTGTTGTCAAGTTAGACATTTGTTAAGTGAGTTTTGCCCCATTTTACGACCTTTCTCACCACAATTGTTTTTTTTTTTTAATTTGATTTATATGCTGCCCTTCTCCGGAGATTCAGGGCAGCTTACAATGCTTTTAAGCAATAAAGCAATTGCTTTTAAGCAATTTAAGCAATTGTTAAGTGAATCCCTGCAGTTGGTAAATTAATAACCCCGTTGTCAAAGGAATCTGGCTCCCCCATTGACTTAAGAAGAGTCAGGTGGCCAAAGGCGAGTCACATGACCTTGGGACGCAGCAACGGTCATAAGCATGAAGCAGTTGCCAAGCATCTGAATTTTGATCACGTGATCATGGGGATGCTGGAAAGGTCGTAAGTGTGAAAAACAGTCCCAAGTCACATTTTTCAGTGCTGTTGAAACTTTGAAGGGTCATTAAATGACCTGTTGCAAGTCGAGGACTACCTGTGTTTATTTGTTAAATAAATAAATTGATATGGCAATTTAAATTTAAAACACCTTTAATTTATATGGTACTTTTATTTCCTTCCCCTCCCTTGATAAGAGTGTCAAGGGGACTGAATGGATTCTAGTTACTAGAGCGAGTAAGTAGATGCCCCTTCGTTTTCTACACACACACACACAGCCCAGCCTGCCCCCCAACCCCCATCCCCGGCTGCCTCAGGATCAACCACTAAAGGCGAAGCGCTTCCGAAATGACAAGGAAACCCACAGAAATGTCGCAGGAGCTGGGATTCAAAACGCTTTATTGGCAGATCTTACAAACGAATCTTAGAAAGAATGGAGAAAAAAGGAGGAAAGAGAAGAGAGGGCACAAACATGGAAGGAAAAGAGGGAAAGGGAGGAAGGGATGGATTTAGAGGGGAATTTAATATTTTAAAAATCCACAGATGCTCAGATTCCCAACCTGTTGCTTGCTTGCTCCAACTTGAGGAACGAAGCAAAGCAACTGAGCAAATCTGAGAGCCTCTCCAGCCATCCAGGATTTCAGCCTGTTTAGGGGATGGAGACCTCACCCACTGAAGGACCTGTCTCCAGCCCCGTCCCTTTCCATTCTTTATTCTTTTGGGTTCCTTCTTGGGTATGGTGGGGGGAGGAGGCACCTGCCATGGAAGTCCCTCATTGGGGTCCTGAGTCCCATGCCCGGCCCTGTGGAGCCCCCAGTGGTCCAGTCCTTCCAATTGCAGCAAGCCAGAGGGCAATCAACAAGCCCTTTCTTGGGGGTTTGCTGCCCCACCTAGGGTCAGCCTTTGGCCTGCTCCCCTCACCATCCAGAACTGGGCTGCTGGGTGCAGACAGGAGAAGCCCCCAGAGGAGGCAAAACCAGGGGGTTGGACTAGAAGACCTCCAAGGTCCCTTCCAGTCTTATTGTTTTATGTTCTATGTTCCTTCCTTTGTGGCTCGACTGTTGTGATAGAGCAGCAGCGTTAAGAAGGAACTGGGAATTATGGGAGATGTAGTCTGGCGAAATGTTGCACGACCACTAGATGGCAGCCCGGAACTTGCTTTTTCTGATCTCGTCTAGTCGATCATAATAGAGCTGGAAGGGACATTGGAGGTCTTCTAGTCCAGCTCAGAGTCATCTGTGAATTTGATGAGTTCCTTTTCTATTCCCTCATCTAAGTCATTTCTGAAGATCATGAAGAGTACTGGTCCTAAGATGGAGCCTTGTGGTAACCCACCTCCTATTTCCCTCCTTGAAGATGTAGTATGGTCTTGTCATCCAGTTACAAATCCATCTGGTGGTGAGGTTTACCAAGAAGTAGGTTGTGGTCTACTTTGTCGAATGCCTTGCTGAAGTCTGTGTCCACGGCATTTTGCTGGTCTACTAATTTAGTCACTTTGTCCCCCCAGTATGTCCCCATGTTAGGCTGATTGGTCTGTAGTTTCCTGGGTCTCTTTCTTTCCTTTTTTTGAAGGTGGAAACCACATCAACTCTTTTCCAGTCCTCTGGTAGTTCCCTGGCGCTCCAGGATTTTTGAAAGATATGGTACAATGGTTCTGAGATAATACCTGCCAGCTCCTTCAGAACTCTGGGATGTAATCCATCAGGTCTCGCTGGTTTATATTCATCAAGACCAGATAGGTTTTCTCTTACCGTTTTCTTGTTTTTTTTTAATTTTTACTTCTAGTCTGTCCTTTACAATTATGTTTTTGGTAGGTTGAGCTATAATTTCTTTTTGCTTGCATTCTTTGTGCAAAGAATGAGTTAAGCTCTGCTTTCTCTCTGTTGCCTGATACTTCCTTGCCATCTTTTCTCTTTAGTGGACCAACCGTTTCCTTGACTTTTTTCTTGTTATTTTATATGTTGAAAGAAACATTTTTAAAATTATCTTTGACTTTCCTTGCAAGTCTTTGTTCATTCTGAGCCTTTGCTTTCCTGACTTCATCTTTACAAATTCAGGCTATCTGCTGATATTCTGCCTTAGTTATGTGTCCCTCTTTCAATTTTTTGTACTTAAGATGTCTGTCTTTCAGTCTGTCATAAAGATCTTTGTGCAACCATGCTGGCTTCTTCTTGGATTTCTTGTTTTTCTTTTTCAATGGTATTGTGTTGGATTAGGCTTTTATTATTATATTTTTCAGAGTTTCCCGTGCTTCTTGAGTTGTTTCCCTGTTTAGGATTTTTAATCCATGGAAAGTTTCTTAGGCTGTCTCTGAGTTTGTTAAAATCAGCTCTTTTAAAGTTTTTACTGGTTGGATTAAATTCTATAGTGGTCATCTAAATGTTTGCACCCAAATTTGGTTGGTGTTATAAGTACCTGTTTAACACCCTGATTTTCTTGAACCATTTCATAAATCACAGCACACTAGGTAACCCAAGGAAAAAGATCACCGGAACCGTTTTAATGTTTCTTCAGAAAAACACTTTTTTCTACACCGTTCCAAATTCAAAGTGTCCAATAGGAGAGAAGCAGATCATCAGCGAATGAGGATGAGGAACAATGGCACGGTCTCGTGAAATTTAAAATATGGCACTGTAAAAAAAAAAAAGAGAGAGAAAATCCCTGATTCCCTGCTACCCGAGTTGCAGGCGAGCACAAGAGAGCCATTTCCAGACCGAAACATGATTTCCTATGGATCCGCTCGCTATACGTAGGGACGGTTGTGTCTCACTTTCCAGCGCTTGGATCTCACGCGGAAGAAAAAGAACATGATCATTAAAAATAAAGACGATGTGACGTAGAGGACGATGCAGAGGCTCATGTCGATGTTGGAGAAGCCCACTCCCAAGAACGACACTGCCTGCTTCCTTTCCTGCTCCACCACCGAGCCAGCTGGCCTTTTCCCTGGATCGATTACGGAGTCCTCCTTGGCTATCACGGGGTCCAAGCCTTTGGACTTTGAGCCCAAGGACTTTTGTGGATCTTGGCCCTTGTTGGCCTCCCGAGCGGCTTCCTTCGGAAACGCTTCTCCTCCACCTTGGGCCTCTTGTTCTTCGGCATTGTCGGCTTCTTTGAGGTAGGTGTGGTCGAGGTTGTGGCTGCCATAATGCTGTTTCAGGAACTGGAGCACCTGTGTCTTGTCCCAGGCAGAGGGGCCTTGGGTCCCCTTGTGGCACGCGGGACAAAGGGCCAGGGTGGGCCACTGCACTTTGGGGAACTGGGGGTCTTCACTCAAATCGCCTGTCGGAAGAAGAAGAGGAGGGAGACAGGAAAAACCAGGGGTTGCATTAGTTTAGGAGCTGAGTATTTATTTATTTACCAAACTTATGTGCCAGCCATCTTGCCCAAGGCGACTCTAGGTGACTTATAGACCTTGGATAATGCATAGTTGAAATTATTAAAACAATGAATAAGGAGATTTTAAAAGTTCAACTAATATAAAACTAAGTGGGATGGAGAGGGAGGGAACAAAGTCAGGAGGAAGAGGTGGGAAATTCTCTGTGTTGTGGTCCACTGGCAGCAGAGTCAGACAGTAAGAAGCCAGCTGGGCCCATCCTTCTCTCTCAGCCCTAGGAATGGCAAACCACTGGTAAAAAAACCTTGCAAGAATCAGGACTGATTGGAAGACAGATTCCTCTCCCTCCCTCCCAGACACCAAGACAGGAAACTGCCAAGTTGTCCCTTGAAAACTACCTGCCAGTCGGGCGTTGACCACGTTGTGCTTCTCCCAGAGCCACAGCACAGCTTCGTCCCAGCTCTTCACGGAATCCAAAGACGCTCTGGCCATCTCCCCAAAGTGCTCAGCGCAGGCTCGGCAGCCAAAGAAATCCTGGACGTATCTCTGCATGATCTGGAGAACCACCCGGGGATTGTCTTCAAAGCCTGCAAGGAGCAACCGACAAAGAGTCTGTGGATCGTTCCCTGGCCGGACACAGGATGGGCGCCTCTTCACGTCTCAGGTGAACATCCCAGGTCTGCCTCTGGCGGACTCCAAATCAAAGAACTTCAACCTTTTTCCTTCCTCCTTTTCATCAAGCGTCGGATTTAATTGCACTGAGCCTGAGTGTTTCTCTCTTCCTGTTTGTTACTCTGGACTCACAGGCAGTCCTCGACTTACAACCATCTGTATAGTGACCGTTCGAAGTTACAACGGCATTGAGAAAAAGTGACTTATGACCACTGCAGCATCCCCCATGATCACGTGATTAAAATTCAGTCGCTTGGCAATTGGGTTGCATTTATGACGGTCGCGGTGTCCCGAGGTCCTGTGATCCTCTTTTACGACCTTCTGACAAGCAAATCAATGGGGAAGCCAGATTCACTTAACAACTGGGGCAAGAAAGGTTGTACAATGGGGAAAAATTCATTTCACAAATGTCTCGCTTAACAACATAAATTTTGGGCTCAATTGTGGTCGTAAGTCGAGGACTATCTGTACTTGCTTTTAGACTATTGTTAGCTGTCCAGCATGGTTGACACTTAAATATTCTTCCTTTCTCTGCCAAGAGCTGAGAAGCGATAGGGGAAACAACAATTTCTTGCTCAATTTTCCCTTTTGACCTACTTACTTGTTCATAAGATATATCACTTCTCTTAGAGGAACTCTGACCTTAAGGTCAAGAGGGGAAAACTCCCTTTGGAAAAGAGAGCATTTATTCCACACTTCCTGCGCAGAATCTTTCCTCTGAATTCTCAACAATTATAAGAAAAGAGACTGCAAAGCGGCTATTGTGTGTGTCTTTCATTTTATTAGCCCCTTGTACCTTGTAAACAGATGTCACGTCTCTTGACCTAATCCTTCCTTTCTCTTTCCCCGCAAAACTGTCTCAATTCTGGATCCTTCTAATCTTTAAAATGGGCAAGAACCATAAAACTCCACCTGTGGCTGGGAGGATTAGGGGCTCTCTAGAAGGTGGGAATTAAAGCAAGCAATAAGAAGAGGAAACCCTCAAAGACATAATCCTGCTGCTTCGGCCTGACCCAATTCTCCTGTTACAAGAAACGGCCCTTATCACAACCAGACCGGTGGAAAAGGAACGCCCGGCCATCGCACTGAGCTTGAAAAATGGGTTGAAACTTTCAGCCTGCTCCCAGGGAAGAAAATCTGGGTAAAATGACCCAGTTCAAACCATGTTCTAGCTGTAGCTCACAGCCGGAGATGTTTCTTACACCAGGGTATTAATTAAGGGAGACACTCTTTATTTTGAAAGCCACACACACACACACAGGATTTCCTCTTTTGTGCTGAGGTTGGTTGTGGTCACAGAACAGAGAAGATGATTTCAAAGCAGGAGGACATTTCTGCCTTGAAAATCGCCCATGTTGAACTGTAACAGCACAGTCAAGCAAAAAGCATTGTTTTATGACATTTTGCATTGTGCCACAAAATGCTTCACGATCATTTTGATCTCATAGAATGTTTGATAAAATTTGCCAAATGTCAATCCCACGGAAGTCACAAGTCCTGAATTTTGGATGTATTCTGTAAATTAGCCCGTTTGAGGTACCTTGGTGCAAAAATTTAGAATGGAATCGAATCCAATATTCTGGGCAGGTCCACCACATATGATAATAGGTGCCTTTGTGGTGCTTGCATTTCCAACATGTTGATGGCGGGCTGGGGAACATTCTTGCCAATCTGGCTGATGGCAAGTGCCACCTATAAAACATTTTGTAGAGATTTTCTTTATAGGGTACAGACATTGTCAATTTATAATTTATTTTCCATAGTTTTTCCCATTTGTCTAATTGAATACTATAACCGAAATTTTTTGCCCAAATTATCATATTTTCTTTCACTACCTCTTCTTCTAATTTATATCCTCGTAAGTAATTGTAAATTTTTTAAATCAATTTGTCCTGTGTCCCTTGCAAAATTTTGTCCAATTCAGTTTGACCTTTTTGGAATTCAAATTGAGCCGAATCTTTATTGTATCTTGATTTTATTTGTGCATACGGCCACCAGTCAATGTCTGTACCCATCTCTTTTAGTTCTTGCCTCGTTCTTAGTTCCCCCCGGATATTTAACAGATCTTTATAAGTTTTCGTTTTATTATAGTCCATGGCATTTGGATAGATCTGGGCTTCCATCATTGACAACCATTCCGGGATTTTGTTATAATGTGCCTTTTTAATACTCTGCCATGTTTGGTATAATGCATGTCTGATTGCATGTCTCTGAAAATATTCATGTCTTTTGTCTGTGCCCTCCCATAGGAAGGCATGCCATCCTCACTGATACATCCAAAATTCAGGACTTGTGACTTCCGTGGGATTGACATTTGGCAAATTTTATCAAACATTCTATGAGATCAAAACGATCGTGAAGCATTTTGTGGCACAATGCAAAATGTCATAAAACAATGCTTTTTGCTTGACTGTGCTGTTACAGTTCAACATGGGCTATTTTCAAGGCAGATATATATATATATGCAAATATTCATTATTTTCATTCTTTCATTAGAATTTTTCCAGTACATTAGAAGCTCGGTCATTGTTGAAGGCTTTGAGAAATCTGGAAGGCTGCTATCATGTCACCCCTGGCAAAGGCCGAGTTGTTTGCTCAGCCAAGATTAAAGCAGCTGGGGTGCCATTTAAGTTCCCCTCTCCCTGCCAGCCACTCTTCACCTGCAGGGGCATTCACCCTCTTTTTTCCTTACCTGTGTTGAGCAAGGCTCTGGGCTGGGCTGCTGCTTGGACTGTTAAGGTGTGGAAGAGCTTCCAGAAGGAACAGGTGTAACCTCTCAGTCCCACCTGGCTGCCCTGACACCCGACCCACTGGAGCCGGCTGGGCAGAAACAGGCCAGAGATCTAGAAAGGGGGAAAAGATTGGATGAGGCCACTTCCACGCACTCTGTTAGAACGGTGAGTTAGACAGAAATCTATTGTGGTACAGCTAACACCCAGGGGGAGAATTTTAGAAGTTCTTGTCCTAGACTAACATCTTGGGAGGACTCATCTAACTTTTAAAAGACAGGGAAGAGGAAGAAGAGGATGAAGGAAAAAAAGGGGGGAAGAGAAAGAAGAAAAGGAGGGAGGGAGGAAGGGAGGGAGGAAAATGGGAAGAAATTCCTGGGTCTGTTGTGGTTGTAAATCGAGGACTACATGCATCTCATCTGACCAAGGGACTCAACACCATCGTAAAGTGAATCCATTCTTTGGAATGGGCAGGGTGTTTTTTTTTACAACCGATCATGGCAAAAAACTTTGCAAATTGTGGTCATGTGGCACGCGCTGCCGCAACTGGCCGTAAACGCATGCCAGCTGCCAAGCACCCAAGATGCAATCATGAGTGCATGAGTGAGAATTGTAACTTCAAGGATGGATCGTAAATAAGTCTATTGTAACTTTAAATGGCCCTTAAGCAATCGGTCGTATGTCGAAGACTACTTGTAATTCTATTCTCCTCCTTCCTTCTTCCCATCTTCCTCCCTCCTTTCCTTTTTTCTTTCCCTCCCTCTTTCTTTCCTGCACCTCTTCCTCCTCCTGTTTTTCCCCTTCTTTTGTTTACTAAATCTACGTCTCCAAACAAAAACCTAGCAGTAGCTTACATGCACTTTATTGTTGAGCAGGTCCAAGATGGCATCGTAGGGGATCCGGTCCAACGGGAGACTCAGCAGCCACACCTGTAAGGTCTCCAGAGACTTCATCACAGGTTGACGGCCAGGAAAGAGCTGAAAAAAAGGCCAAGTTAGTGACAGGTCTCCAAGGAATCCGAGCTGTTGTATCTGACACTTTTTCCCCTTCCCCTGAAGCCACCGGGGGCGCAGGTGGGGGGAAACAACCAAAAGGCAACACAACCAGGTTCCACAAACCATCAGGGAGCAAAAGCTGAAACTGAAGTCAACATTGAGAAACTGAAGTTCAGCTATTCTGTTTAAAATGGATCAGCTGCCGAGGGCCCCACGCAGAGCTCTTCCTTTGTGCAACGTACCGAACAGCAGGATTATCTGTTTTAGTCCTAGGCTGGCTGGAAGATTTAATAACCTATGTGAGCTGACTGGGGGTGGGGTGGGGGATTATTTATGTTTTTACTTATGTATGGTTTTATTTGTTTCCATTTCTATTGTTTCCATTTCTTGGTTGTGGCACCCTATAAATACCACAAAGAGAATAACTCAAAGCACACACTCTGCTAGAAGTTCCCTGAGGATGGGCTCCAGCAGGAGTTCAAAAACCTCAGGTCCCGGTGATTGGACCCTACAAATCTCCTTGGCACAGACTAGTCCTCAAAGGGCTGTAAAAATGGACACAGAAAGGCAGCAGTGAAAGTCCTGATTCTAACTGGGCCTTTCTGAATGGGCTATTTGGCCTCCAAACAGGAATCCCGTCTTCTCCTTCCCCGTAAAGGCATCCAACATCCGTTTATTAGGCGAGTCCTGGAGCTTAAAAAGAGTTCCTGCTTAGCATGATTTATCGCACGCTGCAAAATCCAGTGAAAAGACTGAGAGCGTTCACCTTGGCCAGGAGAATAACAATGTCTTTCAAGGTCCTCAGCTCAGCGCCTTCTAGGGTTTTGTGGGTGGCAAGTTCGACCCTGAATAAATAATGCAGCCCAGATTCAAGGTCAGCCATATATAATTTGGACCTGAAAAGCAAAAGACACGGATAGTTTTAAAATGTGGATGGTTTGCTTTGTCTGCACAAGTGAGGAAGTAGGAATACTAAAAGAGCTGGAGTTTTTAAACATGAGATTTATCTTTAGCAGCTTCTATTATTATTATTATTGAGAATATTCTCAAGGAGAATATTCTAAAATACACAGATTTAAAGTAATTATCAAGATGACTTGTCAACTGCAAGAGAAACTTGCAATATTATTATCAGTGTTTTTGCTATAGTGTTTAAGATTCCAGCAAGGATACACCACTGCAGTCTCTACCTCACGCTCCGTCTCCTGAGTGTAGCCTCCATTTTGTGGGCCAGTCACTCTCTCTTAGCCCAACCTACCTTATGCTTGTTGCAGGGTTGTTGCTGTGGGTGAAAGAGATTTCTCCGTTGAAACCCACCAAAAGTTTCAACTAGTTCTGGCCATTTTTGAAATGCAACTTCTGAAATACCACGAAAGTTCTGGAGAGGTTCACTGGCAGCCCAAATAATGTAAAACCATCATTCGCTCTCAATCCACACATTCAAAAGTGGGAGAAAAGCCACAATTGCAAAATAAAATGCTGTTTAAAGAGAACTGGAGAACTGCTTACTGGTCGAACTCTTTCCATTCCTTGATGCTCGTGTTTCCTGGTCTCTTTTGCTGGAGAAGTGGGAGTGGGGAAGTGAGTTTTCTTTTAACTCCCGGGAGTGACTTTAAATGGGAAGAAAAGAAAGACCGAAGAGGCTTCAAACTGTGTATGGAAGGACAGTATAAAAGTTAAAAAAAAAACTCAAGCTAAACAGGCTACAGAAGTTCAGGGATTGCTGGTAGCTTGCCTGAAATTTTCCCATATATACAGGGAATCCCTAACTTACAACCATTCGCCGTGTGTCCATTTGAACTTACGGCGGCACTGAAAAAAGTGGCCATTTTTCACACAATTTTGCCTGCTTGGCAACTGGTTCATATTTATGACAGCTGCAGTGTCCTGGGGTCATGTGATCCCCTTTTGCGACAAAGTCGATGGGGAAGCCAGATTCACTCAACGACCATGTTACTAACTTAACAGCTGCAGGGATTCCCTTAACAATTGTAGCCAGAAAGGGTTGTAAAATGGGGCAAAACTCACTTAACAGCTGTCTCGTTTAGCAATGAAAATTTTGGGCTCAACTGTGGTTGTAAGTCAAGGACTAGCAATAACAATAGCACTTAGACATATATACCGCTTCACAGCTCTCTCTCTAAGCGGTTTTACAGAGTCAGCCTGGGTCCTCATTTGACTGACCCCGGAAGGATGGAAGGCTGAGTCAATCTTGAGCCAGTCAGGATCAAACTCCTGGCAGTGGGCAGAGTCAGCCTGCAATGCTGCACTCTAACCACTGCGCCACCAGGGCTCTATCTGTTGCAAGTACTACCTGTACTTATCAAGGCAAGAGACTTAGAACTGGTGTCCTAGCATCCTCCAGATAAGGAGCTGGCCTACTTGAATATTTATTTGGCCCTCTGTGATACAGATAGCTAAAGAGCTCCGTGTTATCAACTCTCTGTTTCCTTTGGCACACCCTGCAGATTGGCACACCCTTGCCCAGGTAACTCACCCAATTCCAAGCCACCAGGGTCACCCAGTCATTACTGAAGCATGTTCTTGCCCAAATTCTACTTGATTAAGAATTCTGACCATCTTGCATATACCAGGAATTTGCAAAACAGTTACTGACATGTCCACAGCAACCCCCAGCCCAACTGTCACTGCAGCCCACAATTTAAAAAAACAAACTTTTAAATGGAAGCCAAAATCTCATGTGCAAATGCTGAAACCCTGGGATGGTTGCAAAAATTTATAATCACTAATACAGAGATTCTGTGCAGCTTATATTATCATAAAAATTAAAAAGCGCAAAAAAACCCCCAACAGAAGTTAAAAATTAAAATTAAACACCAAGATGATGATTATGGCCAACTCTTAGCAGCGACATAGACAAACCTTTTTTAGAATGAATACAAAGTGATACATAGAACACACCAAACAAAAGACTTCTCCATAAATCAAGAGGTGACTGACAACTTACAGAGTTTTGCACAGTGGATTGATGGCTCAATTTGGGGAATTTTTTCCAGCACATGAGCAAATAAGCAGTCACTTAATGGCTTCCCAACATCATACCTCCCATCAATTGCCTGTTCTAGCTTTAGCTATTATATCTGGAGCTACCAAAGAGGATCCTAAAATTACTTTCACATAATGTTTCTCAACCTTGGCCACTTTAAGATGGGCGGACTTCAACTCCCAGGATTCTCCAGCCAGCATTGAAGTTGAAGTCCGCCCTATCTTAAAAGGGCTAAGGTTGAGACACGCTGCTTTAAGGTTTCCGAAATGCAGGACCCACAAACTCACATTCACCAAGACTTACTTGTTAATTAATCCATGGGATCCATTGGGATAAACCAGGTACAATGAAGGGACTGAAGTAATACCAAGTTTTTCAAGTAAAGCTGCCTCAGAATTTAGAACCCGTTTGATAGCGATCTTTTCATACTGACCCAGGTCCAAGATCACCTGGAGGGGAAAACATACAGTTACCAGTGCTGCTCTCTGTTTAGTCATAACTGCAAACAGAGACAAAGTTTACTCAGACCCAGCAAAGTTTGCTCGCACCCAGCTTCACAAAGATTGGCACTTGGAGACCAGGGAAAAAAAACCCTGAAGAGCCCTCACAGGCTTAGCTGGGAGATAATTCCACTACGTTTAAATGGGATCTGTTTGTAAATAACTGCCTAGGCCTGCTGCGTTTTGTTGCCGATATTATTTTTGGCAAAGTGATAAAAGATGCACTGGAAGTTGAAGTCCACAAGCCTTCAAGTTGCCAATGTTGGAGACCCCTGGATTAAAGGACCTCCAAGGTCACTTCCGACTCTGGTATTTTGTATTCTTCTTCTGAACAACTTCAGAGTCTGAATGAAGTTGGCCATGAAACGAACTGTCTTCTTTCCATGCTTACAAAGTAAAGGCTGGAAGGCTGGATGAGGGTTCATTCCAACCAGGGCTAGATACAAAGAGACCCCTGACGTCTAAAAGAGAACAGGCTTATGGTACTTTCATTGGTTACGTTACCTCTCGGCCAAGATAGGAGCTCCCGCTCTCAAAAATGATGGCAGTATAATGCTGACTGTGTTTATTGAAAAGGGAAAATACTTCTTCTGGCCTGCTAAAAACAAATAATTAAGAATAATGAATTAGTTAAGAAAAATTAATGAAAGAATCACGGGAGAGATAAAGGTAAGAAGACATTTACTGATAATATCTACGGCTTATCTACAAGTGTTTTCAACTTACTATCAAGCAGCAGAAATTATGAAAAGGCTTTTTTACCGAGTTTGCTGCTAAAAAGAAATCATCTCTGGGGCTTTTATTCACAATTGTTTATGCAGCTTTCATTGGGAGAATGATCATCTTGAGAAGCAGGAAATAAATCATTGTAATAAACAAACAACAAAATAGATCTTGAAATGAGGGACCCCTCATTTCCACCCTGAAATTCCCCTTTACTGGTACTACAAGAAAGGCTCCTCTGGGTATTTCTTTCTTTCTTTCTTTCTTTAGCCCAGGGTGCTTCGATGCTTGCAAGGGACTCACAGAGTTGGCTCCAAAGAGGGACAAGCTGGTGGCTTTGCTTCTCGGGAATGGTTCTGCAGAAAATCAATCATTGTTTGGCGGATGGTCTGAAGATCCCGATCTGAGGTTGCTGAGGAAAGAGAAAAGGATGGCACTCAGGCGGGCATCCCGAAAGGGAACCTTTCTTGGCATCTGGCAAAGCACTTCACTCATCCCTCCTATGAACAGCCACTGAACATCCAACGGGGTTTGGCAAGACACGTCAGGAAAGGACCAGGGCTCTGAAGGGCACTCGTCAAGAAAAAAGCATCTCCAAGTACAGTTGGCCCTCCACTTACGACCACTTGTTTAGTGACAATGAAGTTACAATGGCCATGAAAAAAATGACTTTCATTCTGACAACCACAGCAGCATTGCATGATCAAAATTGACACTCTTGGCAACTGGCTCATATTTATGACGTTTGTTCAGTGTTGGTCATAAACTGAGGACTGCCTTTAGCATCTTTCAAGTTAGGGATGCCAGCATGCAGCCTGTGACCTTACTTCAACCCTCTTTTCATTACTGACTTGGCTGATTAGGGCTACTGCTGCTGCCACCGCAGCACAGAATGTGCTTCGTGCCCTTAAGGACATTCGTCTTGCGGATGAAGGCACAAGGTGGCTGGGAGTGATCTTCAAGGAGAAAGGAGACTAGCATGTGAACTTACCGTGATGATTTTCTCCAACTGTAAACTGCTTGGTAAAAGCTTTGAAATACTGGAAGGGAGGGGAGGAGGAGGGGAGGGAGAAAAGAAAAGGTTTTGCTTAGAACAGCCCAAATTAATAAAACCCCGAGGGTAGAGCAGCCCGACTCTAAATATAATCACCCCCATGTTTTAAAAGCTCTGACCCAAAAACCACCAGACGGCTAACGGAGAAGTGCAGAGTGACTCAGATTTGAGGAGTGAAGGAGCACCCCAGTTCTGGATTTAAATTTCCACGGGAAATCCTTCCCCACACATTTCAAACTACGTGGGGCCAAATCAAACGGCAACCATTTCTAGGAAGCGGGAAAGTACTTACCCTGAAAGTGGGGTAATACTGAATTCCATACTCTTTACACTGTTCGTAGTTTTTCTCATCTCCGCAATCCAGCACGCCAATCCTGATCGCTGGCTCCCACTCTGAAAGGAAACGAGCGGTCAGATTCTTTCATTTGGGCACAGAATGTGCACACCCCACAATTCCAAGGTTCTCGACATCCAGGAAAACACACACGCCTGTTTTGCCCAACTGTGCTTAGACCACAAGGAATTTGTCTCCGGTGCAAGGAGCGAAGGTGGCCCCAAACGCCAAGGTAGAAATTTAATGACGATGCTGCAGACGTCTCAGTTTAAGAACTAATTTTATGAAATGTGGGAAGTTTGCTTTCGTTTGAAATAGTTTTAAAAGAACCTGTTGTGGATAAGAGGACTGTTTAACAAGCACAAGTTTGCCAGACAGAAAGACAAAATGAGCATATTTCCTTCTCTTTTGAAAACCCTGGGAAATAAAACCCACCCTAAAAAGAAAAGCTTCCATTTAAAAAAAGAAAAAAAGGGAGGGGGGAGAGAAAAACTTAGAAGCATCATTTATTTATCGAATGTATACAGCCTTCCTTCCATCTTGCCAGAAGTGACTTAAAACCCCAAGCCAGATGTTCCTCGGAGGGCTGCAAAAAAATCCACCTTCTCTTTGTTTACTTATTAAACAGATGCGGCGTTTACGAACAGGATGCAAATGGCCATTGTAAACGGGACGCTGTCAACGCAACAGGCGCCAAGATAACCATCAGCATTTCGGAACAGATGGGCGAACACACAATAGGGAGCAAGCTAGTTTGCCGCTGAATAAAACCGCAAGCTTGAAACGTTTGGCTTCGGGTTATCTGCTTCATTCATGATCCGGCACTGCTGTTCTCCTCTTCCTCCCCCTTCTACCCCTCCACCCCACCCCACCCCAATCTCTAGCCCTACAACTGCAATGAAGTGAGCCTTACAAAGGACATGCAAATGTTGTCTTTTTCCACAAGGCAAGCCAGCCTCAACCCAAACACTTGGTTAAGGGCGCCAGCTGGGAGGCGGGTCTGGGCCATTCACAAAAGGCAGCCTCAGAGGGGGAAGGGAAGGGAAACTCTGCTTCTCAGAAGGCCGCAAAAGGGGATCACATTGCAACCGTCGTAAGTACATGCCAGTTGCCAAGCATCTGAAGTTTGATCACGTGACCATGGGGAATGCTGCAATGGTTGTAAGTGCAAAAAACAGTCAAAAGTCCATTTTTTTCAATGCCATTGTGACTTCGAATGGTCACTGAACGAATGGCTATGAATTGGGGATCATCTGTATCGCTTCTTTGCCTTATCAGTGTCAGTTTCAGTTGTAAGAAAACAAACTGACAATATAAGAAATTCTCAAGTGGCTCATTAACAGTTTCAGGCACTATAACCGTATTCCTGTCCTACAGCATTCAAGAAGTAGTTTAATTATCAAGACGGCATTTTGCTTAGAAGCTCCACTGATCAAAAAACGAGAGAGGTTTTTTCCTGTATATTATTCCTGCTAAGATGACTACATTTCAAGCAATATCAAAGCAATACTTTGATATTTGAGTGGTAAACTAACAATCTAGTTCTTTTTTCTGCAAATCCCATCAGAGGCCTCAACAAACTCAGCTGGACTTCTTTTGAAGTAAATTTGTTAATGATTGTACTAGATTGTACTACCTAACCTGGCCCTCGCCCACTGTTTTGCGGAGTCCCGCAGGGCTTGGTACACTCTCCGCCTCCGTTTAACATCTACATGAAGCCGTTGGGTGAGATCATCCATCACCATGGACTGAGATATCATCAATATGCTGATGATACCCAGCTGTCCGTCTCAGCCCGTGGGGAGTTAAGCAATGCCATGACCTCCCTCTCGCGCGGTTCCTGGAGGCTGCCAGGGGCTGGATGGGGGAGCAACGGGTTGACACTGAACCCAGGGAAGACTGAGTGGCTCTGGGTTTGGGGTTCTTGGCTGGCTTGGGAATTCTGGGAATTCAAGTCCACTCATCTTAAAGTTGCTGTGATTGAGAAACGCCGCTTCAAGAGGCAGCTTCCTATACTCTTGATTTGCACAAGGCAGCTCTTTCAAGAAAAAGTGCCTGCTGAACCAGAAGGACTAGCTGCTAAATCCCAAACATTTGGAAACGTCCTAGATTTCTCCATCGTGCAAGTTCCAAAGCTTGCCAGGCCAAATACAGTACGCCCTCTCAAACTCTTCTTCCTGTTTGCTCCCTTTAAGCTAAAGAGGGAATGTGTGGAAAGAACGTGCTGTTGCATAAAAGCATAAAAATGTCCTCACTCAGCTGAACACACAAAAGAAACCACACTCTTATTGACACGTTGCCTTGGGAGTGTTTGGAAAATACGCCACTTTTCTCAGCTGCTGAGATACTATCTCAGACTGACACGTTCATTTCTCATTGGACAAAAGGCACTTAAACTGCAATTCAGGGGACAAAATATTCCCAGACACAGTTTCTTTGATGGGTAATATTCAGGAATAAAAAAAAATCAATATCTGCCCTCCTCTAGAAGGTACTTTTTCAATGACACTGAGGATGCTAGAACTGAACCTGCAACTCAACCAAAATATGCAAAATAGAGTAAGTTCATCCTGGAGAAAATCTATCTATGGAGCTGCTAAGAATTGACTCGGATTTGATGGTGCATAGTCAATCAGTCAAGTGAAGAGTACGGGAGCCTTCAGAACTTGCTGGACTACAAGTCCCAGCAATCTCAGCCAGAACAGTCAAGGGTGAGGACCTGGGAATTGTACTTCAGCTATCTTTAAGACGTTTAATTTCCAAGTCTCTCTGATAAGAAAGCAGAAGAACCTCTTACCTGAAGTCCAGATCTTTCAACCAGGAGTCAATCAGCCCATTGATCCACCCAAAACGGCCTCAATTCTATCAGGAGATCTTTGAAAGGGGGGGGGGGAAATCTCTGCATCTCAAGGATCTGCTCTGCTGCTTCTCAGGGTCCTTCCCATCCGTGGATCTAAGATCCAGCCTAGAGATCTAGCCACAACTTCCACGGAGAAGCTGTGGAGCCTCTTTCTGCAGATGGGACAGCCCGCAGAGGGAGAGGGGCTTTCTCATCCCATCCCTCTCTCCAATTGGGAGGACGATTGGGAGTTGGAGGTCCCCATTTCTGGAGGGCAACCGAAGGAAGGCTGCCTAAAGAGGACTGGAGAATTCAGCCCTTATTACAGAATTTTTTTAAAAAAAATCCAAGAGAATGGAAAATTTAACAGTTTGCAAACTCTCTCTCTGCTTGCAAACCATCTTCCTTCTTGGGCAAATGGTTGCAAGTTCTCCGTGGGGTCTGGAACCACCAGAAGGAAGACCGAAGAGGGTCAAGAACAGGGGTGCAAAATTGCACCCACTTGCCACCATCACCCCGCAAATAAACCCTACATACATACATTTAATTTAATAAATTAAAGTAAATTACATACATACATACATACATACATACATAAATAAATAAATCTATTAAGCCTTGAAACAAAATGCACCCACTTGCCAGAGTAGCCCCGCAATTAAACCCTAATTAATTAATTAAATAAAGCTGCAATTAAGCCCTGCAACCAGGCTGCCTTCCCAGCGCCCTCCAAGGCGATGCCTTCGCTTCCTTTCCCCTGGGGGTGGCTGGGGATGATGGGGCGGGGGGCTCTGGGCTGTGCAAAGGGGGGGGGGGTTCTTGGACTTCCTCTCCCATCATCCCCGGCTCACCGTGGACGTCCCCCGCCAAGGCCCGCCAGGTGGGCGCGAAGGCCACGCAGTGTCCGCAGGACGAGGAGTAGAACTGCAGCAGCCAGGCCGAGGCCGAGTCCCTCAGCGCCTCCCGCACCGCGCCGCCCTCCAGCACCCACACCGGGTCCACGCCGGCCTGGTACAGCCCAGCCCCGGCCGGCGGCGTCGCCATCGCCAGCAGCGCCAAGAGGCATCGCAGCGCCCGACGCGGCGCCGGGGAGGAGCCCCAAGCAGCCGCCGCCGCCGCCGCCGCCATGACCGGTCCGGAAGGCCCGGCGACACCCAGGCCTCGAAGGCCGCCCTTAGCAACGGGCCGCCGGCCCTGGAGACGGGGGGGCGGGCTCCCCGCCACGCCCACTGCTCAGCGCCCAATCAGCGGGCCGAGGGGCGGGACTTCCTGGCCATCGGGAGGCTGCAGCCTCCGTCAACCGGGCGCCCGCCGCTCCCTTAGCTTGGAAGGCTGCGGATTAGGGGGCTCGGACCTCAGAGCCCATCATCCCCTGCCCTTCCGGCTTGGCTTCCCCCTCGCCTTTCCTTCCCCAAAGGGGCCGCTGGAAACCCTTCCTTCCTTCCTTTAACAGTATCCGAGTTGGAAGGGACCCTGGAGGTCATCTAGTCCAACCCCCCTGCTCACACAGGAGACCTAGACTAGGGATTCGAACCGCCGAACCGCTGACCTTTCTGATCAAGTGTCTTGGCCACTGAGCCACTTAGCCAGGCAATTAATTCCCATCTTCTCCTCCTTCCCTCCCTCCCTCCTTCCTTCTCCTTCCAATCTTCTCCTTTCCTTCCTTCCTTCCTCCCCCCCCCTCCCTCTAAGAAGAGGGTGGACAGTTATTTGTCTGGAATGATATGGAGGGGGTCTTTTGCTTGAGCAGAAGGTTGGACTAGAAGACCTCTAGGGTCCCTTTCAACTCTGTTATTCTGTATTCTCCCTCCCTTCCTCCTTCACATCTCCTCCTTCCTTCCTCCCTCCTTCCCTCCCTCCCTCCTTGTTCCTTATTCACTTTCTCTCTCTCTCCTCCCGTCCCTCAGAGTTTCCCATCTACGAGCCTAAGGAAACCCGCAAAGGGCTTTGGGGACACTGGGGCTCCGGGTGCCCCTTGGGGGGGGGTCTCCCCCTTTGCGGCGGCCATTCTGCTGCGGGGACAGCCGGAAAAAAGACGGATGGCTTGGAAATTAAACGCAGAGTTTAACTGAGAAATAATCATTTTCTATGAAAGCTAATGACTTCTCTGGAGGCCCCTACGAAGATTTATTGACCCCAGAGGTTAATATTGATCAAAACCACGGCAGGCAAAAAAAAAAAAAAAAAAAAAAAAAGGCCTTGGAGTCAGTATAATCTTGATATTGAAGCCGTGCCGGTGACAGGCCGGGTGATCCATCTGCTGGGACTGGCAGTTATGGCGCCTGCTGTTTAATGTGACGCCATCTTTGGTGTGCGCCAGTTTTGCCCCTCATCAGCCCCATTTTCAAAATTACAGTTGCTAAGTGAGACATTTCTTAAGTGAGTTTTGCCCCATTTTCCGACACTTCTTGCCACAGTTTTTAAGTGAATCACTGCAGTTGTTAAGTTAGGTTGTTAAGTGAATCCAGCTTCCCCATTGACTTGGCTTGTCAGAAGGTCGCAAAAGTGACCGCGGGACACTGCAACCATCATAAGTACAAGTCAGTTGCCAGCATCTGAATTTTTATCACATGATGCTGATGATGCAATGGTCATAAGTGTGAAAAACGGTCATGTCACTTTCTTTCAATGCCGTTATAATCTTGAATAGCCACTAAATGAATGGTTGTACGTGGAGAACTACCTGCATTTGTTTTTAAAGCAACTATAATTTCCCTCTCCAGTTTTACACCAAAATTTGAATGTCAGAATGGAGAGAAATCTGCTCAGGCCTGAGGAGAGGACCCTACACCTTCTGCTGGGAGGTCGCGAGGTGAGGAAAGTTCTTCAGCTTCAGAAGATACCACTGGACCAGGTGGAGAAGGGAAATCGAGGAGGCTAGAGTTGGCCTCGTCATCTTTTCCACTCAGGTTTTCGGGTGGAGCTGGAAGATCGGTGCTCCAGGAGGAGACATCCTTTTCAGTTGAAGATGGGAGATCACTGCTTCCATAAGTCAACATTTCATCCACAGGAGACACCACATCATCCTCCGATTCACAAAGAAGTTGGTCGCTTAAACACATGGCGTCCCTTTTCTTTTTCAGGAGGTCCTCTTGGGGAGAACTTAAATGAACTGTCGGCATTCCAGCTTCATTTGTATTTTGGTTCTTGGCTGGAGAACTTTTTCGATGTTCCTCAGCCAGGTCCCTGTTGCCCACGGATGTTTTGTTGAGTTGGAGACTGGTTTCATCTGGTGCCAATGTCACGGTTGCCTCCTTGTTACCCAAATGAGATGGGTTTTCATCCTCGACATCTTCTCCGGTTACATTAAAAGAAGGCACAGGGTCCTTCTTTCCTTCAGCCTCAGGACTCTGAAAAGGATCGTTGGTGGAGGAGAAAACCATCCCTAGATCAACTGGGCTTCGAGAAGTCGTCTCGTTCCCACCATTTTCTGCGCAGGAGAGCTCCTCAGAAATGGTCAAAAGGGTTGCACTGCTTCTCGAAGTTGGTGTATGAACGTGATCATTTTTGGTCCCCTGCAGCCTTCCACTGTTGCCTTCCCAGATCTTTTCCTGGCTGTACAGAGCACACTTTGAGTCTTTTGACTCAAGATCTCCACCAGAAATTTCCCCCTGAGGTTTCTTCTCTGAGGAAGACAGAGTATTTTCTGTGTTTATTACTATCCTTGGCACCTCTGGAGCTTCGTGATGTGTAGAGACACCCAGGTTGTCAGGCAGGGGTTCCTGGAAGACAAATTCTTCAGGGAGGCTGACATCCGTGTCTTGTAGGCCGTCATCTTCTAAATCTGAAGGGGAAGGAGAACTTCCAGAGAGATTGACTAGAACTGCGTAGCCCTTATGGAATTCAAGACCGGACGGTGACTTTTCTGGATACGGACAGAAACCACGAAGCACGGAAGAAAATCCTGCAGAAGCAAAACCTTCTGGGCCTTTGTCCAGCGGAGAACCAGGATGGTCGTCTTGGGAATTCTTGGTCAAACCATTATCATGTTCTTTTTCTCCTCGACTGGCCAAGTAATCTAGAAACAGCAGAAGCGTGGAAATTGATTTAACTTTAGGTCTCAATATCAGATTTCTCGGTATGCCCCCGGTGTCTCTCCAACCTATTATTACTTCATGTTGTTCTATTAGCCAGTGCAACAATTGACTGGGGACATTTTCTAAGTGAGATTCTACGGCAAAAACGGCATTTCATCATCCTGAAATGTTGTGAATAAGTAGCGTTCTGCGGAACTGTAATTCCTGACTCAATATTTATAATTTCCTATAGACGAGGCACCTACAAGGCTAATAAATTATAGAACTGTCTACGATAGAAGATCTGGATTTCGTTTCTATAAGCTGAATGGGAAGGCAGAAGAAATATGAACTGCTGGAAATATTAAGAAAGCAAAATCTCTCAGATAGATGGATTTCTTTTTCTTTTCTTTTTTTTCCTTTTTAAACGCGGGCTCTTAAATTATGTTGGAAATACCTCGGAAGAAAGCACATTTTTAATAGCCCAAACGGAATAAGCTCTGCCTTGTTTTTTCTGAAGAAACCACATCATCATATCCCCTAATAAACTCAGACACATTTCGGCTCTTGTGTGATTTACGCCAATGAGATGTCGAGCAGGACATGCTAGTCATCAAAGGGGAAACTGAGGCTCTTTCTGTCTGCATTAAAGGGTGATTGAAGTGGCCAGAGTGGCAAATTAGACGTCACAAGCCCCAAGTTTAATTTATTATTTCCTTGAGGAGCCTTTCAGGAAGATATAATTTACAGGGAGAAGGTTAAGGAGGACATGTCGGTTGGAAAATGGCTTAGAAAGGTTTCGCGGGTAGCCAGAAATGCCGCTTGATTCCATCCAGAAAAGTCCAACCACTTTTCAGCCACTTTCTATTCCTATTCAACCCTGGGAATAAAATTCTCTTATCTTATCCCATCACTTGTTTTTGAGTTCTCAAAGAATCAAGGAATTGAGGGGGTGGGTGGGTGGGTGGGTAGGGGGGCTCCTCTTTAATGTTTTTTTTTTTCTTTAAAGTTTTAAAAGTTTTGTGGGAGTTGCATTTTCAGGAGCGAACCAAAGCTATGCAAGAAGTCCTCAACTTACAACAGTTTCCTTTAGTGACTGTTCGAAGTTACGACGACACTGGAAAAAGTGACTTATAGAATGTTTTTCACACTTATGACCGATAATTTTTTTTTATCAGAAACTGGCAAAATGGTTACCTGCTGTTCTTCCATCTCCGAGGGCTGGATCCCGGGATCTTTGACCAGAAGGGTCATATAGATCCTGCATTGTAGTTTCCAAGACCGTAGATGGGTCTCCTTTTCCTGGTTTCCACTTTGCAAATCCTTCTGCCGCCCGATTCTCCGGTGGCAAACTGTCCTTCGACTCAGCCAGATGTCTATAAACAGACCAGCCTGAATTAATAGGGGAGGGAGGGAGGGAGTGCTGAATGCCATGTTTCTCAACTTCGGCAGCTTTAAGATGGGCAGACTCCAACGCCCAGAATTCTGGATCATTCTGGACAAACAGCTGCCCAATCTCTTCTTAAAAGAGCTGGTGATGGCGCAGTATTGCAGGCTAATTCTGCCGACTGCCAGCAGTTCGATTCTGACCGGTTCAAGGTTGACTCAGCCTTCCATCCTCCTTATGTCAGTAAAATGAGGACCCAGATTGTTGGGAGCAATACACTGACTCTGTAAACCGCTTAGAGAGGCCAGTAAAGCACTGTTGAAGCGGTATATAAGTTTGGGTGCTAGTGCTAACAACCCAGTGATAAGAGCACCCACAAGTACCGGAGACAAGCTGTTCCACTGAAAAGGGAATTTCTCCTTACTTCTAAGTCGGATCTCTCAAAAAGTTTACATCGGTTACTTCTCGTCCTGCCCTCAGGTGCTTTGGAGAATAAATCTGTCCCCACTTCTCCGTGACAGCCACTCGAATACTGGATGACATCTGTCAAGTCACCCCTGGTCCTTCTCTCCATTAGACTAGACATGTCCAATTCCTGCAACTGCTCTTATGTTTTAGCCCCCAGCCCCTTAATCATCTTTCTTGCTCTTGGAGGCAGAACAAGAAGCCACGGATGGAGAGAGACCAAGGAGAGAACCAACCTAGAACTAAGGAAAATTTCCTGACCACGAGAACAATTAACCAGTGGAACAGAAGTTGCCTTCAGAAGTTGCGTGGGTTCTCCATCACTGGAGGCTTTCAAAAAGAGACTGGACCGCCATTTGTCTGAAATGGTGTAGGGTCCCCTGCTTGGGCAGGGGGTTGGACTAGAAGACCTCCAAGGTTCCTTTCAACTCTGTCATTCTGTTATTCATCCAGTGGAAATGGAGTCCCAGAAACTGGACTTATTTTCTCGTTGGCTTGAGACGTTTCCCTATTACGGATCTTCACCAGGAGCCCAGCTAAAAGATTTCGCGGTGTCCAAAACAACTAGATGGATGAGCTCTCTCTTTCTCTCTCTCTCTCCCTCTCTCTCTCTCTCTCTCTCTCTCTCTCTCTCGCCACCATGCTAGCCAGCCCTTCCATTTCAGAGAGAGTGCAGTTGAAGCCAGCAATCCATTTTAAAGGTACCAGTGACCTATAATCAATAGCAGCGTGAATTATAGATCTGCTTCATGCAAAGATTTATTTGCAAGGTTCTCCATTAACCAAACAGACTGCCTCCCACTTATCCATCCACGCTTCTCAATGGGAAGTGACAAGGCCAGGAGGAAAATTTGTGAAAGAGAAAGGGGTGTGTATGTGTATGTGTCACAAAACACCCCCATTCATTCAGAGATCTGCAGGAGGGTGGGCTTTCAAAAACCAGGACCACTCCTGGGCAGAGGTCAAGGAGAAGATCAGCCATGGAAGCCCAGGGAAAAAAAATGGCCTTTGAATAAATCAAAGTGAAAAGTAATGATTCACTTCGCTGGACAGTCTACCCCTGTCCCCCTTTTCATAGACGAATTGCCTTACTGGAGACAACACAATTAGCACAAAAGCACAATTGTTACTTAGCAGCAAAGGAAGAGTGTGTCCTCCTTCCTTGGTGGTCATCTGTCAGAAACGTTGCAAAATCTTAATTTTACCAAACTAAGGAATGGTTTACTCACTTCTTCTCAGCTTCATGGCTGCTCCTCCTCCGTTCAGTTCCCCCTGAACAGGTTGCAAGAAGAGGACCGGACTGGAAAGAGGTTTCCAACTTTTCTTTCTCCAGCACTCCAACTCTTTCAGGGTTATAATTCTCAGAAATCTGCCAAGAGGTAGAGAAATCTGTCTAACTTTTTTTAGGGCGATCTCAACTTCATTTACACTTTGTGCGTTTGTCTGAAATGGTCTAGGGCCGTGATGGCGAACCTGTGGCACACGTGCCAGAGGTGGCACACAGAGCTCTCTCTGCAGGCACATTCACCATCTCCAGCTGCTCTTTTGGTTTCCAACAGGCATGGTCTTCACGGGCACCAGAGTGCCGGAAAATGGCCTGAAAACGGCCAATATCCAGGCCATTATCCAGGTGGTTTTTCAGGCCATTTTTTGGGTCTTTTCAGGCCATTTTTGTGGGCTGTTTTGGGGCCATTTTCAGGCTGTTTTTGGCCCAAAAATCAGCCTGAAAATGGCCCCAAAACAGCCTGAAAAATATAGAGCTTCCTGTCTGAGCAGGGGAACTGAACTAGAAAATAGGAGGGTGATCCAGAGCTCCTATCTCAGGTGGCTTCTCATAGTTTGGAAGCTGGAGAGTAGAGCAACATCAGGTCCTCTTGCATGGACATCACCAACCTGGTGCGGCAGCTGCCCAGCCAGCTGTAGCCACAGCTGTGTGGTTGCCTTCTGCACTTCTAAGAGCTCCTTTTGCTGCTGGAGGAGAAGCTTCCGCTCCTGATGGGCAGCTCGGCCGATGTTCTGCAGATGTCTGATTTCTGCCTGCAGAGAAGGCCGGGGAAGAGAGACCACGAGGCAGCCCTACAGCCTTAAATGTTTCCAGTCTTGCAAGATTCCGTCCATGTAGCTTTACAATGAGGACAGAGTTAGTGCTTCTGGTCGGGCTTCTTGCCTGGACTACCTCGCAGGGCTAACAACAAACCCTCCAGCCTCACCTCCCTCCTCCAGTCCCCTCCCCAGATGGATATATCACCTGCTCTTGCTTCAGCCTGGTTAGGATGGAGAGCTGCTTCTCGGCTGTGGATGATGGGCCTCCTGTTCCCTGCAATCCATTTGGGGAGCTGAAAGCAGGAAACGGATTGAACTCAAACTTTGGGAAGTGGATTTCTACCCATGGCCCCTCCTCCCCACAACACAACACAACCTACACACACACACACTTTCCACTGAAAGGCAGAACTGCTGCCCAGAGCCCCATGGAGTGGAGTGGCTAAAAAAATTTAAATAACTAATTTTTTTAAAAAATTATGCCCAAAATACCAACTTTTGCTCCGGTCACCGCCTCTGCCTCAAATTGAGATTATAAACTCCTCCAACTTCAGGACCATTTAATTTAATTTAATTTAATTGATTATATCTTTTACCTTCCTACATTCTGTTAAATCAAGATCTTACTGCTTCCCTTTCATTTCCTCTTATTTCCTGTCTTTTTCTAAAATTCTTCTTCTCCTTCTCCTCCTCTTCTTCTCCTTCTCCTCCTTCTTCTTCCTCCTCCTCCTCCCCCCCTCCTCTTCCTCCTCTAACATTGCTTAACCTAGAAACAAAAGTGTTTGGTGGAAGGCATGTTGACTCCATGGCATCATGATATCTTGATGTGTAATACCAGAGGTATGTCAGTATTTGGAGCGGGGGGGAAGGTAAGTATAAGAGAGGCTCAGAGGGGGACTATGTGGGGCACAAGTGTCCTCACCGCTCCCCATGCTCCAGCCAAGCCAGCTCCGCCTGGGCTTTCTCCTGGAGGGCCTTTTCCCGCAGCCGGAGGAGGGCGCTTTGATGCCGGGCTCGCAGCTCCTCTTCCCTCAAGGATTGTTCCACCAGAGTCAAGCTCAGCCGGCCAAAGGAACTGGCTCCTCCGTAGAACTGGCCAATCTCACTCCACTGGGGACAGAAACAGAGCTCAGGTAAGGATGCCCCAGAGGATGCACCGTTGCCAAGGCAACCTCTCCTCCCCTGGACCACACTGGCATCCAGAAACCTTTTGAAACCTCGGAGGAGGCAGTTCCACAGCCAAGGCTAACACACACACACACACACACACACACACACACACACACACACAAAATCCAGAGAAGGGAAGATGCCATACGGTTTGGGACATGACTTCACAACTAACAACAACAAATGTGGAGAGACCCTGGCCCATTGAATGGCCAAAAGTCGGACTCGACTGAACAGGGACAGTAACCATCATCATCATCATCATCAGAAAGGGTAGATCCGAGAGGAGACAGAGGGAAGGGGCTCAGCCCCCCTACCTGGCTGTTTGAATCTGTGGGCTCAGACAGATCTTCTGCAGCGCTGGCTTTTCCGGGAGGCAAATTAATGGACAGGAAAGGAAAACCGGAGGGCTGGTGCTGTGCTGTGAAGGGAAGGCCGCCTTGTCCTGGTGGGTTTTCTGGAGAAAAAGAACATGCAGGCCTCCATATCTGGCATCCCTTCTTTTTTAATGCAATGTATCTCGCCCCCTCAGTCCGTCGGTATTTGTAGAGCATTGTGGTAAAATGCAACAGTAATCATAAATGATACCCAAGTATACTAAATCATTAACCTTGGCTTTTCTCCAGCTCTTCCCTGAATAGTCAGATGAAATCATAAAGATTTGAGAACCTGCAGTCCATCTTGCTTTCTGCTGCTAGTCAGTTTTAGCCTCTTTGGATTTTGCACTAATTAACACTAATTAACAAGTTTAAGGAAAAAATACTGGTGTGATTTAAGAAATGGAACCATAAATTTCTTTCTTTCTTTCTTTCTTTCTTTCTTTCTTTCTTTCTTTCTTTCTTTCTTTCTTTCTTTCTTTCTCTTTCTTTCTTTCTTTCCTTTCTTTCCTTCCTTCCCTCCCTTAACTCTCCCTCCCTTCCTCCTCCTCCTCTCCTTCCATTGCTTCCTTCCTATTCCTCCCTTTGTCTTCCCTTCCCCTTCTTCCTTCCTTCCATCCACCCATTCATTTTTGGCAGGCCAAATAATTGACTGATACTCTCCAGTTCAACTAGAAGTTGCCAGTGGAGAAACAATTGTGGCCTCTGCCAATTTCCATCAATGCTGGAGGCCAATATTTACGGAGGGAACAATGTTGAGGAAGACGTGAACCTCCCAAAAATCTCAGGAGTTAGAAGTTCCTTCAACCTTACGAGACAGAAGAATGGAAGCATTTCTGATGGAGCTAACCCACACATTCACTAGACCCAAAGAGTCACATGTCTCCCTGTGCAATTTTGCTTTACATCTTACCTGGAGGTTTGTTCTGACGATTGTTTCCTCCTGGCTGGTTCTTCCTCAAAGAAGCCTTTGGAATTTCAACCAAGGTGTGGATTGACCCACTAAAATGAAAGAGAGAGAGAGAGAGAGAGAGAGAGAGAGAGAGGTGAATTCAGATGCTGGATTTTCACGTAGCTGAAACAGCCTGCTCCACCCCTAACATTGCATCTGTTGTGGCCCAGGACAGGAACAATTAAGGAAACAGGGTCGACTTGGGAGTAAGGCTTGGAGATGATTGGCCCTTCCCATTCCCATGGTTTTCTCTCTCACACACACAACGGCCTCCACCACAACTCCAACCTATTCCAAAACCAGCTACAGATAGTCCTCAATTTACAACGCTTTGTTAAAGAGACTGAAGTTACAACAGCAGCATTGAGAAAAGTGATTTATGCCCGTTTTTCCGTTGGCTGGGGAATTCTGGGAGGTGAACTCCAGCCATCTTCAGGTCGTCAAGGTTAAGGAAAGGGGCTTAGGAGGTGGGCTAAGAAAGCTTTTATTCTTGGGGAAGCAGGGCACAGAACTCAGCCTGTGACACCGACGGCTAAACCGATTAGTGAGGGATGTGTGAAAGAAAGAGATGCTTCTTGATCGGGTGGAAGCCCAAAGCCAAGGAGATAAAAGTCTCGGCAGATGTTTCCTAGGGCAGGGAGTCGAAGGAGGCAGACGGGGGTGGGTGGGTGGGTGGGTGGGGGTGGAGGGCGAATTTTTATTCCAATCAGCAATCTGCTTAGCAAAAAAAAATCTCATTTCATTTTTCACGTTAATAAGCTTTTTTTCCCCCTTCCCTTCTCACAGGATGACCCAGAAACAGCAGAGTGGGGGCGAAAAGGAGAGGGAAGAGTTATAAACCAGAGCTTGGGGATGATGGGTGAAAGGAATATTTATATATATATATTCTTCCTTTCTTTCTCGAGGGACAAATCTTGCCTAGGGAAGTGTTCTAGGTGCCTCAGCATTTCAGGGACATGCTTTAAAAGTAACATTTCAAGCACGCCAACATGGGAGATCCCGCCTACACACCAACTTCTCTTTCTGCCTTTCTGCTGTCCAGGGACCAATAATTATCTGCCATCAGTCCCGCAATTCAGGTAGTCCTTGATTTACGACCATAGTTGGGGCCTGAACTTCCCTCGCTAAGTGATGCTATCTGTACTAATTTAACCACCGCGGTGATTCACTTAACAGGAAAAGTCATAAAAACGGGGCAAATTTCTCTCTTAACAAATTTCTCACTTAGCAACGTAAATGTTGGGCTCAATTGTAGTGGCGAGGACTATGACCTAAGTCCCTTTTTCCAGTGCCGTCACAACTCCAAACGGTCATTAAAAGAATGACTGTAAGTCAAGGGCTACTTGTAAAAGCTCCGATGTGGTGACATTCGGTGAAATTGGCCGTCCAGCCCGATATAGAATTCCTTCCTTCTCCCTGTCCCGACGCTGGAAGACGGACGGGCAGGGTCCAGCTTTGCTCAAGCGCATACAAAATCGAGCGAAGCCAACTGCAGTAAATAAATCTGCGGGATCCAATTGATTAATCTCTTGTTCAGATTGAGCAGAAAAGGGATCAGCGGGGATTGAGAGGGGCGCTCGTAAAGATAATCAAGGGACTTCGGTTCAGTCCCTACCATATGCTGAAACAGATTCTCCCAGCCGAGGAATTATTGCCAGAAGGGGGTTGGCATAATTTAATATCTCCATTTCTACCCAAAGGAGGTTCTCAGGAGCAGGCCAGGTCATTCAAAAAGGATTATGGGAGTTGTAGTCGTGAGAAAGCTTCACGCCAAAGCAAATTCCGGGGGGTAAGAAAATGAAAGGAAGGAAAAAGGTGGTTTAGTTCAGCTAACAAACGTTGCTTATCTGGCTTTGGGGCAGCCTGTGGTATAAACCCAGCCAATGATGGTTTATTAAGTCAACCAGGGTTGAACAAGCTTGATGGAGAAGCAGTGGAGGGAGACTGGGAGAAAAATGTTAATTGAAGCAAAAAAAAAGAAGGTGATTTTTTTTTTTCATTCTCTCGTCCTCAGAAAAATCTAAATCTCTGTGCAGGTTTTTAAGGGTTCTCGGTGTAATATTTGCCAAATGTTTTTATGTTTTTATGTCCTTATTGTTTTATGCTGTGTTTTTATGTTGTTGTAAGCCACCCAGAATCGCTTGATAGTGCGATGGGTCTATACATTCAATCAATCAATCAATCAATCAATCAATCAATCAGTTAATATTTGGAGAAACAGACACAGGTAGCGCTCGGCTTACGACCAAAATTGAGCCCAACATTTCTGTTGCTAAGCGAGACATTTGTTAAGTGAGTTTTGCCCCGTTTTACCTTTCCTGCCACACCTGGAGCTCCTGGCCTCCAAGAGGTTGCCAGATTACAGTCCTAGCATCTCAAAGAACCAGTCGGGTGGAGTGGGGCTGCTGGGATTTGTAGTTGAGGAATATCGGAAGGCCCCCATTCCTGGCTCAGAACACCTGAGATTTACCTGAAAAGAACCTGGGCACCTTTGCAAAGAGCCCAAGCAGTGCCCATTAAAGTAGGTCAACAGCCCCATCTTGTGGGCACCTGTGAAACTGCACAGAGCTGACTTGAGAATTTGAATCTTAATTTTGGAAGCTGCTGCTGATCACTGAAGTCTTAATAAATTAAAATGATGGGACCTTGATTTACGGGATACACCATAGACTAAGTGGGATTTTTATTACACCCCAAACTCTACTCAGCAATATTTTACGGGCGGGCTTCCAAGCATCACTTTCTGCAGCTGTTTCCTTCTTTTCCAGTTTCGCCTGGATTCCCAATATCTTTATTTAGCCCTCTTCCTCAACAATCCCAAAGTAGCTGAAAGTACTGGCTTGGTGATTTTAAAACAGCCAAGTTTAATAAGTCCAAAGTCTGCTGCTTACCTTCCAGGGAAGACACTGGCTGGGGGCCCAGTAGGACCCTTCTCCCCAAATCCCATCTCGGAAGCAAGACCTTGGGAAGAACGACAGAAGTTCTTAATTGATTTGGGTAAACGTAAGTTTGCTTTTATATCTACTTATGGTTAACTTTCTGAAGTGTCAGTTTTGGTTGGCATGCAGGCAGGAAGAAAGAAGGAAAAAGATAGGAAACAAAAAGAGAGAAGAGGAAAGGAATAGAGAGGAGAGGGAGGAGACAAAAGAAGAAGGAAGGAAGGAGGGAGGGAGAGAAATCCTCTTAAAATCCACATGCAGGAAATTTCGTTCTGCATTGAGCCCAATAGAGACTGCACATTTCATAGGGCAATATAGGAAGCTTCTCTACCAACCTTCCTTCAGATCTTTTGCTTCAGTCCCGCTTTGCCTTCGTTCAACCGAGTCCATCGGCATCACTTCAAGGCCACTCCTGTCAGTTGGCAGAAGATGTTGGCTAACCATTGGGACGCCTAACTCCTTCTCGAGACCAGCCCTTTCTTGAGGACACATCGGTGGATTCAATGCAGGTCTTGAATCCCAAATAGACACTGAATTTTCTGGAGCATCAAACTTCTCCAGAGGAACTCCTGGTGGAGTAGTCATCTTAGATGGAGTTCCAGGCGGACATCCTTGGTCCCTTGAGGCCTTGGTGGCTTGTAACCTCTCCATTTCTCTCCCCAACCGCTCACTGAGATCTTTAGCTAAATTGTGGATGGCCTTCACTCTGTCTTGCTTTCTTCTGTAAGAAGGGGAGGTAGAGATGTCCGAGGAAAACGGTGTCTCCTTGCCAATAACTTTCTCTCTCCAGAGATGAAAAGAACTCGGTGAGTGATGGCTTGCCCGAGAGGAGGAGATGTCCAACTGTTTGAGTTTCAGAGGGCTCCTCAGTTGACTTTCAGGGTCCATTGAGGTGCTTAATCCCAGCATCGAAGTCCCTTGTCCTGTTTTGTCCATCCTTGGCTCCAACTCACTAATGGAACAACAGCGGAATTCCAAAGAAAAGAACACATCAAATCTCTTTCTTATTCTTGAACAACAAATAAATCCAATGTTAAAGGTAAAGGTTCCCCTCACACATATGTGCTAGTCGTTCCTGACTCTAGGGGTGGTGCTCATCTCTGTTTCAAAGCTGAAGAGCCAGCGCTGTCCGAAGACGTCTCTGTGGTCATGTGGCCGGCATGACTCAACACCAAAGACGCATGGAACGCTCTTACCTTCCCACCAAAGGTGGTCCCTATTTTTCTACTTGCCTTTTTTTTTATGTGCTTTCGAACTGCTAGGTTGGCAGAAGCTGGGACTAGGAACGGGAGCTCACCCCGTTATGCGGCGCTAGGGATTCGAACCGTTGAACTGCCGACCTTTCTGATCGACAAACTCAGCATCTTAGCCACTGTACCACCGCGTCCCTATTAATCCAATGTTACAGTCCTAATAACGCCTCATGTTTTTAAAACTGTTTTATAATTTTGGAATTATATGACGCCCAGAGTCACTTGGTTGGGTTGGGTGGCTATAGAAATTAATTCATTCATTCAATACCTCTGCTGCATCTCTGCATCTTTATGCAACTGGAAATAATCATCACATACCTGTTGAATTTTAACTCCTTCCTTAGCGGAGTCCATGATGCTCGATGAACACCTTTCTGGGCATCTGTTGCTGGAGACTGTACATCTGGGTATTTCTAAAATTTAAAACAAGAAGAATGATTTTATATTAACTATTCCCAGTCTGTGACAGATGTGTGGCTCTCGCCCACCAGTGGGACCCATCAGCCGTAACCCTTGCTGAGAATTCTGGGGCTTGGAGTCCAAATATCTGGAGGGCCATTAGAATTTGGACTGCAGTGTTTCTCAACCCGGGCAGCTTTCAGATGTGTGGACTTCAGTTCCCAGAATTCCCCAACCTAAATCATGGTTTGAAGTTATCATGGTTATCTAGCCTGAAAAGATAGGCAATTAAGGTTTCTTCTCCACTCCTGAATGTGCACACAATACTTCTTCCACAGGTCACAGAAATTTAATGGCCCAAAAAAGGATTACTGATCAAATCCAACTCAGAAATGGGTTAGAGATAGTCCTTGACTTAGACCACCGTGGGGTCGAAGAACTTCCATTGAGAGGTGATATGGTTGTTAAATGAGTCACAACCAATGTTACGACCTTTTTGCTGAGGTTGTTAAGTGAATCAAATCCAGCTTCCCCCGCTGATTTTGCTTTTCGGAAGCCAACTGGGAAAAAGCAATCATGTGATTCCGGACACTGCAACCATCACAAAGATATACCAAATGCCCAAATTTTGATCCACGGAGACGCAGCGATGGCCGTAAATGCAAGAAAGTCATAACTTGTTGGGTTTTTTTCAGTGCTGTGTTAACTTCAGTCATTAAACGAATGGCCATAAGTGGAGGGGTCCCTGTATTTTCTCTCCCTGAAACCTATGGATGAGTACATACAACACAGTAGACTAAATATGGTTGGAAGCCTTGAACCTAATTTCCTGTGAGTGCACCCAACTGGATGAACTTGGGAAGCCATGGTTCAATAAACCACAGTTTAGCGTCTTACGCTAACGGCTGATGTGGGCTGCGGTTTCTGAGATAACGTTAAACCGCATGGCTTACGGGACTCGATCTTAGCACGGGACTTTCTAACAAAAGCTCTCCTTCATTTATGACTTCTATCCAACCACAATGCCCTTACCAAATCAAGATGATTCTTGGTGGGCGTGATGGAAGTCAGGTCTTCTCTCAACTGTTCTGCACAATGTCTTCTTCTGCTGGCTGCTTCTCTCTGTTTTCGGTAGACCTCTTGAAGTTTCTTGTTTCTCTCTTCTTGGGTTTGCTTTGAGGTCTTCCTTTCTTCTCGGATCCTCCTATTTCTTTCAGCGGCCTTCTGGTCCATAAATTCGCGGAGCTGTTCAGGACTATAAGGCTTCTTCCTGGCCTCCACCAAGGTGGTTGTGGGTTGGAGTTCTTTCCTCGGAGTTTCACTTCTCAAGGAAGACCCATTCTGTCTTCCCTTGCCAGGCCTGGAGGTCTCTCTCACGCCCATCATCTTAGCAGATGCATTTGGAATCTTAGGAGAAGGCGTGGTCTTCAACCCATCGGAGGAACCCTTTGTAGGTCCTGCTTTTCTCGCTCTTCCTGCCGATCTTGGATGGTTTCCATTCTTCTTCTCTGTATCTGGAGCATTCTGGTGCCTTCTGGTCCATTTCTGTGTCCAGCCAGGGTTCATCCAGTCTTGCCATTGACGGTTTAGTTGGGCAGTGTGTCTCTCTTGTTTTGTCTTCTTCATCATCTCAGGCTGTACAGCTTGACCATTTTCTCTGAAGCTTCGATCTGACTGGGATGCTGTGAACAGATCCCCCTGAGATTCTGGAGGAAAGAACGCACACCTGATTCAGCCATGTCGTCAGCCGTCCCAACTTGGTCAATTAGAAAAGAAAGACCCTTTGGGATGATCAGCGAGGAAAGTACACCTGTCCTGTACTCAGAGCTGCACGTGGAAGGCCTGATTGCTCCCAGGAAAAAACCCTCCAATGCTCCCCCCACCTTTGCCAGAAATTTAGGAACTAAATGATCAAAAGAGTGAGGGGGGAAAAAACACATGATGACCTTCTCTGCGCATCTTGTGTTCCTTCTGAATGCCTCCTTTTTGCAAATGTATTCCGTGCACTTGGAGAAAGGAAGGAGGGAGGGGAGGAGGGACAGAAGGAGAGAAGAAATAAGGACAAATGGTAGGCAGGAAGGAATAAAGGAAGGAGAAAGGGTATGAAAAGGAAGGGAAGAGTACACATTATCTTTCCATGCCCCTCATATCATGACAATCTGATGAGAACTCCCTTCGGCAAGAGCTGAACCAGAATAAGTGAAATATATAAGCTTTTATATGTATCTAAAAGTACCTTGGAGAGGCTCCGTTCCTTTGCTTTTCAATTCACTTTTCAGATTTTGATATTTCAGTGGTGGGCCAAGAACGTTTCTAGCCAGTTTTTGGCCTTCCCTCCAAGCAGATGCTCCAAATAAAGAAACAGCTGGAATTTAAACACAAAGAGAAACCTTCCAGAAACAGACACAGGCAATGAGAAAGGCAGGCAGGCAGGCAGGAAGGAAGGAAGGAAAAAGATGGAAAGGAGGGAGGGAGGAAGAAAGAATTGGGAGGGAGGAAGGAAAAAAGGCAAAGTAAAAGAAGATGGGAAGAAAGGGAGGGAGACAGGAGGTTAAGAAATAAAGAAAATTAGCTAAAAAAAGGAAAAGAAAAAACTTTCAAAATTTTCAACAATTATAAACCAATCCATGACTAGCTCAAGAATTGTGGGAGTTGAACTCCACAGGTCCTAATCTAAAGGAAACCCCCCCAGGCAAAAAATGCACAACTCCTTCAGAGATAATTGTTCACAAAAAAACTACGACGCTCATCCAAAGAGAAAAGAGAAATGAATCTTGACACTTGGAGATCCAAAATGAGAAACATCCTCAAACTAGGCTTGACGGAGGCCGTCAGATCAAGAAAGGCTTCTGGCGCCCCCTGCTGGAGCTTCAGAACTACGACAGTCTGTTTGGAGCGGAAGCCCCCACTTGGCCAAGAGCATCCAAGGGCTACAAGCCACCGGATTGTGCCCAGCAAGGCTGGCTCCTGATTCCATGAATATTTTATCCCCAGGTTGACTTAATTTTTTGTTAACTGCTGCAAATCTCCAATTCATCAAAGCTCCTCCGACCTGCGACCTCTCATTCATCTGCTCTACCTCGTCACTGACAGCCCTTAATGGCCGGCAAAGCTTTCCAGGGACCCTGACAGCTACCATGATGGATGCCTCGCGTGGCCTGGGACGATTATGACCTGCCCTCTTAGGAGAGAGACCCCCGGCCATTTTTCAAACGATCCATTAAAACAAAGCGGGAGGGGGGGTAAGGTTGGCGGGATGGGGAGGAGACAGCGGGGGGAAATTATTAAATTAAATTATTTAATTTTAATTCCTCCCTTCTTCTGTTTTGTTTTTCCACCTTCTTTCCCTTCCTTCCTTCCTTTCCTCCCTTCTTTCCTCCCTTCCTCCCTCATGTCCCTTCCTCCCTTTCCTTTTCTTTCCTCCCTTCCTTCCTTCCTTCCTCCCTCCCTCATCTCCATTCCTTCCTTCTTTCTTCCCTCCCTCCCTCTCTTCCTTCCTTTCCTCCCTCCCTTCGTTATCTTCCTCCCTCCCTCCCTCCCTCCCTCCCTTCCTAGCAGCTCCTTGACTTGGAAGGTCTGAGGATTCCTGCCTTGAGCAGAGGGCTGGACTTGCGGATCTTCAAGGCCCCTTCCTACCCATGATTCTATCTGCCTGACGCAATTCACACCATCTACGTTTCTTCCAAGGTCTCTTCCTCTGCCTTCCCCCACCCTTCTGCTTTTTGCCCCGAGAGCTGCCCTTTACATCAAAGTTTAAACCATTTGCTGGGCCTGTTTCTTCCTCTCCGTGAGCTCACCTCTCTCTTTCTCTGCCTTCCGGGAGGAAGATGCCGAGTTGTGGCCGGTTCTGAGTTTCTTTCCTGTTCTTTCGCTGTGACCTTCACCAAAGAGAAAAGGTTATGATACATGATAGGGGTGACCAGGTGACTACTTACTTTTACTCCCTGTTCGCAACGGGATCCCTTCCAACTCTGTAATTCTATTCTAAAAGCAACGAAGAATAAGGCATCCTAGACTAACCTGGGCAGGCTGGAGCTGAGAAGGCTCCAGCTTTGCAGACCTTCCTCTTCAGAGGTTTCGCGCTCCGAGATTCCCCTTCCAAAGGGAAACTGGGGCTGTTCTTTCCCGGAAGGTGAGGGACGCATTTACGCCGCTGGGCAAGGATCATCTTCTTCAGAGCCTGCAGCTTCTTATCACAAGGACAGTTCTCCTTCAGGCACCTGATCCTACAAGCCAGGTGCCGAGACAGGGCAAGAGGCGAGCACGGCCGGAGAAGAAGGGCGCCATCCGCAGCCGGAGAAGGGACCCTCCTTTCCTGGTGGACGGAGCATGGTCGTCTGCCTCTTTCTTGGCCTGGCACGTGGACTTGGCTCCAGAATTCAGGCCCCAACATTGGTTCTGCAGAGAGTAAGAAATAGAAATAGAATGACAAGAGTTGGAAGCCGCCATGAGTCTTCGGAGAGGGACGGCATATAAATTTAATTAATTAAATTAAATTAAAGGGGCCTTGGAGGTCTTCCAGTCCAACCCCCTGCTCAAGTAGGAGACCCTATACCATTACAAAGAAATGATTGTCCAGTTTCTTCTTGAAAACCTCCAGTGATGGAGATATTCTCACCACTGAATTGCATTTTGTTGGATTGGGTCCTGTGTTCAAGTCCATCAAGATCCTTCTCGACATTCAACCTGTCTTCTAAAGGGTTGGCTATGTGCTAGTCGTTCCGGACTCTAGGGGGCGGTGCTCATCTCCGTTTCAAAGCCGAAGAGCCAGCGCTGTCTGAAGACGTCTCTGTGGTCATGTGGCCGGCATGACTCAATGCCAAAGGCGCATGGAACGCTGTTCCCTTCCCACCAAAGGTGGTCCCTATTTTTCTACTTGCATTTTTTTTTTTACATGCTTTCGAACTGCTAGGTTGGTAGAAGCTGGGACAACCCCATTACACAGCACTAGGGATTCGAACCACTGAACTGCGGACCTTCTGATCGACCAGCTCAGTGTCTTAGCCACTGAGCCATCGCGTCCCTTTTTTTTCTTTTATTTACTTACTGAGAAAATTGTATGTGGCTGCCCAATACACTGTAGCTCAGAAATAAAACCCTATTACAAAACCAAATAATCCCCCGCCCCATTGATAACAATCAAACCAACAACTTTCTTGGTGTTACCAAAATCACACCACGAAGTCCCCAAGGCCATTGCCAGCAGCGTCGTATGGACCTCCAATTCCCACCGTTTCTCCTCCCTCGCATTGGGAGAAGAAATGGTGCAATTCGGAGTCTCTTTCAGCGGCTGGCAGTTAAAAAAAGCTTCCGATGAATGTTTTCACTCCCAGCAGCTGTGTGTACAAAACACAGGCCTGGACTTGCCAGAAACTGGTATTTTGGGCAGTTGGCAGAGAGGAGGAGGAGGAGGAGGAGCTTGGCAGGAAGAGACAAAGTGCCAAGGTGGTTTTCTCCACAGCCTCTGCCACGGACATGGAGATGGGAAACTCATCCAGCCCAGCCTTCAGTGGCTCACAGTGGCCGAGAGACCCTTGGTTGAGGTATCACAAGCACGGACACAAGAGCCTCCTATTCCACTCTTGGCCCCACCACTTGCTCTTAAGAGATGCCGCTGGGGGTTTATGAGCGAAGAAGCACCCCTGGCTTCTGTTTACACATTTCTAAGTCGCCCGTTACGGCTCAGGGGTTCTGAATTCAACAGCCACGGATGGTCTTCCTGTACCTTGTGACATCAACCCGTAAGAAAGGCAGGCTAAAATTGCATAATCCCCATAAAAAAATCTCTCTGTAGCTCAGAATTGAACTGTGGAGTCCTTGGGTGCTCTCCTGGGTTGGTTGTTTGCTTGCAGACATTTAATGACCCAACTAGGTAACATCATCAGTGCAACTGAGTGTGTGGTTCACTCCCCTGTTTATACTCCGTAGTGTGCCCTGCCAGTGTTATTTTGAGGTTCCGTCTTCTCTTTGGTGGCTTCTTAGGGTGATTATTCCCTGCTGGATTGTTTGTTTGGCATTAATCCTTGTTCGTTTGGGTGTTGATTGCTGGAGGGGAGGAGCTCTGGTCATTTTGGCTTGCTGCCTCCAAGATTAGAACCAAGTGGCCAGGGGTGAAGTCCAAAATTTTTCCCTACCAGTTCTGTGAGTTTGGCAGGGGAAAGATATTGCAAAATCTCCCACCCAACTCCAGGGGAAGGATACTGCAAAATCTCCATTCCCTCCCCTGCTGGGGGAAGGATATTGCAAAATCCCCATTCCCACTCCACTCTGGGGCCAGCCAAAGGTGGCATTTGCCAATTCTCCGAACTGCTCAAAATTTCTGCTACCGGTTCTCCAGAACCTGTTAGAACCTGCAGGATTTCACCCCTGCAAGTGGCTCTCTTTATAAAGCATCTAAAGGTACTATAAGCTACATCTCAAAGCCCCAGCTGTGTGCAAAAGAATAGTGGATTATTCTAGTCTGAGCAGGGGCTGGACTAGATGATCTCCCACCCTCCCACACGACAATTCTATGATCTTTGGGGAGGGGCCTGTAGACGCTTCTCAGAGGGGAAGAGACAGGGCTTCCTTTAAATTTGCAAAGCCTCATTTTTTACCAGGGGATGAAGTCAAAAGTTCCTGAGTCAAAAGTGACAACAGATTTACTCAGGGGTTATTGGGAATGTGGCTGAATTGATGCACAACACCCAGGAACACCAGCTTCCCTCTCTGGCTGGGTTCACCCATCCCTGCAGGAGTGGGGTGGGGTTAGGGTCAGAGCATAGGGGAGCTGCGTGGATGCTAAGGACCTTTTGCAGCTGCCTTACCTGCTTTTCAGCCAGGTAAATTCTCCAAGGAATCTTCCCTTCTCGCTTCCTTCTCCCACCAAGCAAGCAGCGGCTCTGAAGGCAGGCAGGAGCCCTGAATGGCGGCAGGAGAAGCGGGAAGGGACACACCTTTGTTTGGGGGCAGGTACCCAGGTAGCTAACAAAGAATCAACTAGTGCAAATGCACACGCACCGCCCCAACAGGCTTCTCTGCGGCTCACTTGGCCAGCAAGATCCCAGGACGGAAAGGAGGAAGAGGGTCAAAGAGAAAGGGAGACAGAGGGACCTTTAAGGCAGGGGTGAAATCCAGCAGGTTCTAACAGGTTCTAGAGAACCGGTAGCGGAAATTTTGAGTAGTTTGGCAAAGACCACCTCTGGCTGGCCCCAGAGTGGGGAGGGAATGGGGATTCTGCAGTATCTTTCCCCTGGAGTGGGGAGGGAATGGGGATTCTGCAGTATCTTTCCCCTGGAGTGGGGAGGGAATGGGGATTTTGCAGTGTCCTTCCCCTGCCATGCCCAAGTCACATCCACCAAGCCACGCCCAGAACCGTATAGTAAAAAAAATTGATTTCACCACTGCTTTAAGGCCAACTCACGCATCAAAAACAGAGAAGGCACACAGAGGAGGGGGACCCCACATCATTGATGCACTCCTGCACCCCAAAGTTGGTATGCTGTCAGGTGAAATGCTACCGGTTCAGGCCGGTTCGCCTGAACTGGTAGTAAGAAAAGTTAAAAAAAAAAAGTTCCAAAGATCAGCTGAGTGACGCGTGATCGTCGGAACTTTTAAAAAAATATTTTTAAAGCATTTTTAACTACTGGTTCTGGAGAATTACTTTAGAGGTGCGAGGCGAGGCAAGGAAATTTGCACGAGGATTGGTTGAAGTGTTCACCCCCTCCCTACGACAGGCATCGATGGAACTGAGCGACAAAGCCCCTTTGAGCCACTGAGGGGCAGTCGAGCATCGTCCCTGAAGGGTTTGAGATGGGGGGGGGACACCCCAAAAGCACCAGTGGAGACAACTGGAACTGCCGCCTCCTTTGCAGACTTCCTGAAGGTTTTTGCAAATCAGATTTATTCCCTCAGAGGCTGCTGCAAACGTTTTATTTCTGATGCTTCTCTTAGTTTACAAGGAAGTTGGGGCTTCAAACAAGAGTCTGCCTTACCTGGAAAAGAGACGGTTGTCTCCTTGGTTAATCCAGGGTGAGGGTTAAGTGTTGACCTTGGAGTCCTGTGCTGAGCCAGGAGATGGTCTGGATGCCCTCAAGGGTACCTTCCCACCTGGATGTCTACGGAGACTCTCGGTCATCCAGGTCATGGTTGTCCCCAAGATGCTTTTTCCAAAGGCAACTGGACTTTTGTTTTTTTCCTTGAAGACGTTTCGCTTCTCATCCAAGAAGCTTCTTCAGTTCTGACCGGTGGAGAATGGAAGGATTTACATGAACCGAAGAAGCTTCTTGGATGAGAAGTGAAACGTCTTCAAGGAAAAACCAAGAAAACCCAGCTGCCTTATGAAAAAAGCACCTTGGGGGGTTTCCTACCAGGATTTTGACAGGATGAATCCCGTCGCTAGCGGAGAACCCACTGGTCCAAAGAGCTGGTGGCCCAGCCTTTTGAGGAGAGGAAGGGGAGGGGTCTTTATTTCAGCAAGAGTTAGTGTGGAGGGCCAGAGGATGGAGGCCTTGGGGGGGGGGAAGGCTTTTCAAGCTGCTGGAAGGCCAGCTGTTCTCACCGGAGTCGAGCCAAAGGCAAACTGGCCATCCGGGGACGGCAGCTCCATCAGAACAGACGGTGGTCCCTTCCCTGCCTGGTACCAATACTCAGAATGGGGGGGGGGAGGGGGCCCTTTGGACTCGGATGCTTCCTGAGGGAGGGAAAGGGGGGCAGGGGGTGGGCAGCCTTTAACAGGCCACAGATAAGAAATGAAAAGCCCAGGCTGGACAGGAAGTCTGGGAAATGGAAACCCAATCAGCCAGGAATCAAATTCATCATGGACTCCGCCGTACCAGTCCCGCAGGTACCCCTGTCCCCCCCCCGCACCATCCGCTGCCCCTCCCCACCCCAAAAGAGATTCATTTCAGAGGCATAAATGCTTCCAGGTTGCAAGGGAGATGCCACAGGTCAAAAGAGCAGGCGGGGCAGGCAAGCTGGGCTCTGGATTGCGGGTGGGTGGGGGTCGCATGGCCCCCACTGGGCCATGCATTAGGGGATGATGGACCCTCCTGTTGAAGGCTGGAGGGCGTCAGGGCTGGCTTGGCTGTCCTGCTTAATGATGGTTTGTCCAGGGCACAAAAGACGTGAAATGAGGCTCACCATCCCTGGGGTTGGGCTCAAGCTATGAATTTACCATCAACCAGCTCGGGGGTCAGTTCTGGCTGCCCATGGGCTGGAAGAGGCCCCAGTGGGATGGGGAGCCCCACAGGCAGCTGCGGTCAAGGCCAGAGCATGGCTGGACCCCCTCCCCAAACCATAACCAGATCCTGGCTTAAACATTGTCTGATGCCTCTGCGCAAAGGAGCCGGTCTCCCCGATCCGGGTTTGATTCTCATTGGGACAACAAAGTTGCTGGGTGTTCCTGCCCCCTCCCCACATCGACTTTCTGGAAGTCAGGGGGGGAAAATAAAACAGGTTAACCAAGCAGCTGCAAGGCAGCAATTTAGCGTATGGGATCATTTACCTGATTAGAGAGTTTATTTTATAGAAATTGCTTCAGAATGGGTCGGCGTCCGGGGAAGGGGCTAGCAAAGGCATCAGTCCCTCTATATGGGGGGGGGGGGGGCGAAAGCCCCAGCCGCCAGGAAAGGCTTCCTTGCCCGTTGCTTCCGCGGCACGAGAGACCCTTAATTCAACACGGATTAAGAAGCCTTGCCAGGGGTAAGCCATGAAAAGGGATCTCCCTGGAGTTTCCTGCTGCTCCCCCAGGAAAAAGTGGATGGGATGCTCTCGGTAGCCAGGATAGTCAGATGTGACAGGTGAATGTGCAGGTAAAGGCTCCCTCCTAGAGGGGTTGTTGAAGTGTGGGGGGGGAGGGGCTCCTTTCCTGCCACTTTCACCATTCTTGATCCTTCCTGGTATCATTGGCAGGGTTGGTGAAGAACAGGAGGACAGGAAAGCAGAATTGGCAGCTTCAAAAGGGAAAGATTTAACCCCCTCCCCTCAAAAGGGGGGCTATCTAGCCATAGGAAGCCCTTATTTATTTATCTATTGTCGCATTTCTATGCCGCCCCACTCCCAAGGGACTCCCTTTCCTCTCAACTGGTGAGTTTAACCTGGGTAGGGATGGAATGGGGAACTGCGAGAGAGTTGGGCTTGGCGTGTGCCAACGTTCAGCTAAGGCTCCCCGTTTAGCCACAAAAGGCGGTTTTGAACAAGCCCCCCCGCCCCCCCCGGTATGGCTTTCGTGGCACTGAAACGGCCGTTCTCTGCCTCACAGCTTCTACAGCCGCTGGCCCCGTTGATGCCAGCTGGTTTTGTAACCCGATTTATACCTCCAATCTGCACTGGAAAGAATTGGGACATTTTGGGAAATTTATCAAAAGGGAAGAAATAAGGAAGGAATAGAAGACAATGAAAAGGTTAAAGATAAAGGTTCCCCTCGCACATATGTGCTAGTCGTTCCCGACTCTAGGGGGCGGTGCTCATCTCCGTTTCAAAGCCGAAGAGCCAGCGCTGTCCAAAGACATCTCTGTGGTCAGGTGGCCGGCATGACTCAACGCCAAAGGCCCACGGAACGCTGTTACCTTCTCACCAAAGATGGTTCCTATTTTTCTACTTGCATTTTTTGCGTGTTTTCAAATTGCTAGGTTGGCAGAAGCTGGGACAAGTCACGGGAGCTCACCCCATTACGCGGCACTAGGGATTCGAACCGCTCAACTGCCGACCTTTTCGATTGACAAGCTCAGCGTTTTAGCCACTGAGCCACCATGTTAGGTTAGGACTCTCTTAATTCTCTCCGTGCTGGCCCCTAACTTCCTGGGTAGCCCCCACCCACCTTCTGTCTGTCTGTCTGTCTCCATCCATCCATCACCCATCATTGATATCTATCTATCTATCTATCTATCTATCTATCTATCTATCTATCTATCTATCTATCTATCATCTACACTGAGAGCATACGCACCAAAGACAAATTCCTTGTGTGTCCAATCACACTTGGCCAATAAAGAATTCTATTTTATTCAATTTTATTCAATTCTATTCTATTCTATTCTATTCTATTCTCCAGCTATCCATTCCATCTATCTCATCTATCACCTATCTATGCATCCATCCATCCACCCATCCATCTATCCATCCATCCTGTCTATCTATCTATCCATCCATCCACCCACCCACCCATACCTGTCATTTATCCATTCACACACACACACACACATTTACACAAATACAGGAGGAGATTTTAATGCGGGAAGTTCTCCCTTCATTTGCATGTGTTTGGCGCCTGGCACCACCACGGGTGCCGAGGTCAATTGAAACTCAAGAAAAAGAGGAGAAATTTTATGCAAAACTGTTGATTGCATTTGTATGTAATGAAACCATCCAATATTCATCCGCCTCTGGGCGCTAATCGGGAAGGAGAACCGGGGGACGGGAGAGTGGCTGGGAAGCTGTAATGAGCTTCTGTAGTGATTAAAAAAAAGCACTTCAGCCCGCCGACAAGCCAGCCCGAAAGCGCCTCTAATCAACACTGAATTTCGGAGGCAAAGCGATTATGCCGCGTCTTTCCCCCTGCTCGGCACCCTGTCAGAGAGGGCCGCGCGCCTGGTAAACCCGGCCTGCCAAGCCCGCACAGCGCTCATTTGACAGGAGGCATGAAGAAGCACAATCAGGGAGCCAGGCGCCTCCGTCCCTCGCACAAAAGCAATCCGCTCCCCCCCCCCCAAAAAAACCGAGGCTCAAAGGAGGAGTAATCACCTCTCTTTTGAACTTCCACATCGGCTGTGGCTGATGCGGCCTGCCATCTTTCCTATCCAGCCCTGGGTTGGTTGTATGTGTGTGTGTTGTTTTATTTTTTTGGTTACACACCAGGCAAAATGATTGCTTGGTTATTGTTCAGCCTGGGCCGATGGCTGTATTCACACACCTGGCACCCGCGTCCAGGTCCATCCTGCCAGGGAGTCAAGCGATTGCGTTGGCTTTCCTCCCCGCGTCTTTTCTTTCTTGCACAAAAGTGGACTCGCAAAAGGGTTTGGCAGGAAGCGAAAGAAACCAGAGTTTCTGTCTTTCGCAACAGGCCGGCTGTTTTTAATGCCCGGAGGCGTGCCATAGGTTCGCCATCACGGCTATAGAGAGAAGTTTGGCTTCTGCTGCCACCGGCAATCATGCCGCCCTTTCTAGAGGGAACGGACCGCTCAGTGCGTCAGCAGGAGAAATACTCTTAATTTCAGCCTTCCAATAAGCCCAGGCTAGGTCTGGAGTATCCATTCACACGAGTCTTTGCGGCCACCACAACATAAAAGGGTAAAAGGCTGTCTTTGCGCCCTGCTGGCTGAGAAGGCAAACCAACATCCGTAGCTAGAAAGTGGGGAATCCAACTCATCTAAAATAAATGAGCTTGCCGTTTCAGGAGAGAGTTTGGGGGGGGGGGGGAGCTCCCCAGGATGTGCCCGTTTCCATGCACTCTGGCGCTGCTCAAAAATTAGGGGTTCAACAAGGAGCCCTCAGGTCATTCAGACTGGCTTTATTTAATATACGAAATTCCTGACCGATTTATGAAGCCCCCCCCCCCCCCCAAGCATCCTCAGTTTCTCAGGCAGGAGGGGCACAACAGACCATTAAATCGATGATTGTTCGTGATCCTTCTGTTTCCTAAATGGCTTCTGGGCCCATGGCAACAGGGCCACGCTGTGCTGTTGACGACGATGGAGCTGAGATAACAACCATCAGGGAGCCAAACTCTCTTTTTCCGGCCCACCTCAAGGCTAAACCCCCTTCCTCGGTCCTGAGCTTTGATTTGCTGCCCAAAGTTGCTTCCCGCAGTTGAAAAATCACTACCGACCGTTTAGCCAGAAGAAAGCAACTTGTGGTGACCTCTGAGAGAGAGAGAGAGAGAGGGAGAGAGAGAGAGAGAGAGAGAGAGAGAGAGAGAGAGAGACCCTAGGAAAGCAGCTCCTTCGTCTTTGCAGCCAATAGCTTGTCCATTTCGACTGTGGCATCCTCGGTCATTTGCTGAATCTGAGGCAAATTGAGAAAAGAACGCTTTGTGAATTCTTCTTTTTTTAGAAATACGCCGACAGGTATCAAATAGCAACAATCACACAGAGATTTTCCTGCGAAGCGTGAGAATGTAGGGATGTCCATCATCATCTTCTTCTAACGACCCCCTAATCCCCTGCGGGGTGGAGTATCCGGGAAACTGAATGGAGCTGAGTATTTACTGGCCGGATGCCCTTCCTGTCGCCAATGCGGAGTTTTGTTCCGCAGACAAATTCTCATCGTGCCCAGAGAGAGAAATGCCTGCCTCTACCTAGGATCAAACTCACAGACCTCCTGAGTAGGAGGCAAGAGCTCTACCTCTAGGCCACCGCACCACTCAAATGTAGGGACGTCCATCTTGGTCAGAAAAATAAAGGCCGGCCACCAAATGAGGACACGGCTGTCCAGAGGCAGGGAGACCTCTGATGCGAGATGCCACATTTCCGTGTTCTGCGAGGGGCCCCCTGCCAGATCGGGCCAGGCCAGCCTAGTGGTCAGCACCAGTCCCTCAGTACCTGCTTCTCTATCAATCGGATGGTGTCTTCCGACGTGGTGCTTTTGGCTTTCTTCGTCTGGTTCATGGCCCCGGTGCGCACTTTGCGCAGGGACTCCTTGGCCTTGTGGGTGAGCTGCTTGGCGACCGTGGCCAGGTTCTCCCTGTGTTCGCGGGTGATTCTGACGGGAGAAAAGCGAAGGAGAAAAGGACCCTCTTGGGATGAGCCTAAACCTTCCACGGCACGGTGGAGCCGTGCATGAAAATGCCCAGAGATGCAAATTTGAAAACAATGGAGAAAATGTTTGAAAGATTAAGAAGGCTGAACCTCACAGAAGGAAGAGGCAGCTGGAGGATGGCAGGAGTGGCCGCAAGGTATTTTGGAATAATATCGGAGAAGAGTTTGCACTTCTGGCTTTTTTTAATGACTAGAGTTTCTGGAGCTGTGGAGATCATGCCCTTGCCTCAGCAGACACGATTTGGGTGGCACCCTCCCTCAGGAGGCAGCCTGGCAATCAAACCCCTGGGGCTCGTCCCCCGAAAGTGTGACAGTGGCCAGTTAAAAGCGAAGAAAGTGGGAGAGGGAGCTGCTCAGATCTCCTCTGTTTTGCCTGTTCTCCTCCTCTCCAGGAATTCAGATTGGAAGATGACCTGGGAGCATGTTAACAATCAGGCTGCTGCAATTAGGAGGATAATAGCCGCCTCCTTCAGAATTGGAGGAGGGGGGAGGAGGGACAGCCGAGAGGGGCAGGAGACCAGGGACTGGATTGGCTGGGGAGGGGATGGGATGGGATGGGGGGGGGGGCAAAGGGATCCCATTCCATCTCCTTCCGTCCCAAACGCACCATTGGCCTTTCTTAAAGAGAGTCGGGCTGAATAACCGCACCCTTCATGGGCTGGTGCTAAGAGGCCGTCCACAGCTTTCAATGTGAGCATCCACACAAACAGCCGACCGGCTTCCTTCGTTTAAACGTAATTTAAAATACCAAAGCACCTTGCGAAAATGTCAGCAAACCAGGCAGGTTTGAAAAGTTGCCTTAAAGGGATATTTGAAATGGCCTGACAGAGCAAGCAGGTCTTTGGCAGGCCTAGCAAGAAGAGATGGAAAGCTGGCTTGTAATGGGAAAATTCTGGGGTGCCACACTAGGCAGCCCCCGACAAGAGCTCTTTCACACAAACACCCCTCTTCCGAAGCGTGGAAGGAGACAAGAAGAGGACCTGGCCCAGTGATGGGATGCTCCCGGTTCGGGCGAACCGGTAGTGATGATGATGTGACGTCAGCAAACCGGTTCTCTATGACTGTGAGCTGGGCCCTCCCACCCTCCCCCGCGTTATTCCTGCCTTTATTTCTCGTTTTTTAGACCAGCTGATAGGCGCTGCAGAGAGGATTGCTGTGCCTCAGCTGGGCAGAAATCTAATGCGCTTGCACAGAGCGGAAGTTCGGCGTGCGTGCGAGCAAAGCGAGAGAACCGGTGGTAACACCGCTTGGAACCCACCACTGATCTGGCCATCCTAAAGGGCCATTCAGCAGGCAAAATCACAAGAGGTGTTTTGGCCAGGGAGGGACTGAGAGGAGGCGGCTGAGTGGCTTACTTGGGAACTGGCACGCGAATCAACAGCCCATCCGCTTCCGGGTTGAGATTCATCCCGCTCTGTTGGATCGCCTTGACGGCCGCAGCTGTGCTCTGCAACAACGCAGAGATAGAGAGGGGAAAAAATGGCAGGGGGAATTAGCAAATAATTATTACCAGATGCCAAAACTCCCCATCGGCGGAGAGCAATCCATCTTGACAGAACATGGAAACATTTAGTTTGGTTACCGGCGAGACCAGGAAGTTACATCGGCCCCTTTGATCAAACTGAATTGCAAGCTGCAGGGCGCCCACCCCCACCCCCCACCCCCTCCTCCTGCCCCCAGGATCGAAGATATTGGTGAAGAGGCTTCGGGTGGGGTGGGGAAGAAGGAGACGGACTAGGCAAAGGAGGGAGAAAGCAGAAAGGAAGATGGAAACCATCTTGACGGTTTGAGGCAACGCAGATAGCAAAGGAGGCAGCAAATCCTCCCGGGGGGCTCCGGACTCCTGCAAGATGGAGGAGGAAAGCAGATGAAGGATTCCAGGATGGGCCTTTGGCTGCCAAAGCCCTCACGTGGTCCTGTTTGGGGCTTAGAGGGAAGGCCTCAATCACGTTAACTCGTTCCACATTGCACCGGGCAAGTGTGAAAATAAAGGGGATTAGCACCAGGCCTGTTCTTCACATCTCTGGATTTTCTGGCAGGCAGTTGCTGGAAACCTCTGTGCCCCCCCCTTGCCCCCGCCTTTCCTCCCCCAGGCTCAGCCTTTGTGCCACACGCAGCCCTTCGGCAGCCAGCAAAGCGAGGGCCGTGGGCTCTCCCCTGCATCAGAGGCGCCTAAGCTGGCCCTGGCTCTCCTTTTGCATTTGTTAGCTCATTTCTCTTAACAGAAAACACCCTGTTTTGTTCTCTTCGGGGTTAAGAGAGGAGTGACAAAGCAAGGAAACACAACTCAAAAAACTCCCTGTCCTTGGAAAGCTTCCCTGCTCCTTTCTGCTCTGTTAATCCTCTTCCTCCAAAACAAATGTGGTTGCGTGGTTTGGTTCTGCACAAGCTCTGATGTCATTCATCACTTATGCAGTGATATCGAAGGGTGGAAGCCAAAAAAAGGATCTCTGCTCCCGAGGAACTTGCAGTCGGAGCCACCGCAGGCGGAAAGGCAGTTGTCCTGGCAGCCACAAGCGGGCAGGAAGCCAAAGAGGGAACAGTAGCATTTTCCACACCCAGGGGGTTCCTGGGAGGTTTGGATCTGCCAGGGGGGAAGGAACAAGAAATCTACTCACTTCTGGAAAGCTGCTCATGTTGACCACAAGGAGTTGTGCCGAATGCTGGGAGATTTGTGCAAGCTGGTTCAATGGAAATTTCCCATCCTTGGTGGTCACGATGATCGAATCAAGAGCCCCTGAAATGAAAAATACAACGGCAGGGAAATCCTTTGCGATTCCGACTCAGGTGTTAGCGTTCCTCCCCTCTTTAGAATTATGGTTTTCATCTTGTATTGCTTTGGGATCAACCTGAAAGGCTCTCGGCTCCTTCTAAAAAAAATATACAGAAGTAAAAACATCCGCAAAACAGGGTCTGTTGCAAGTGGCTGGCTTCTGAATTATCCAACGCCTGTTAAAAATCCACCTGTATGTTCCCATTCCTTGGTTCTTTCAGGCAGAAGAGAATGACTGTAACCTTGTTGCTGATATCCTTAAGATTTATATTGACTGTTTCCCTATGATTATCATTAAGTGTTGTACCTTATGGTTCTTGAAAAACGTATCTTTTCTTTTATGTACACCGAGAGTGTACGCACCAAAGACAAATTCCTTGTGTGTCCAATCGTACTTGGCCAATAAAGAATTCCATTCCATTCCATTCCATTCCATTCAAGTGGTCTAGGGCAGGGGTCTCCAACCTTGACAACTTTAAGACTTGTAGACTTCAACTCCCAGCTTTGCTGGCTGAGGAACTCTGGGAGTTGAAGTCCACAAGTCTTAAAGTTGCCAAGGTTGGAGACCCCTGGTCTAATGGGATCCTTGAGTAAGAGCCAGGCAAAAAACAACAACAACAGAGTTTTAAGCAGCAGAATATTTTAAAATTTGATATGAACATATATGTGCTGTTGGGCAAGAAAATAGCATGAGCAGCGCCCTAAAAGCTACAGAGAGAAATTGCTCACCTGGGTTGGTTCTGATGCTCAAAGTTTTGTTGAAATTTTCCTGCAGGGTTTTGACCACCGAGCTCATCTCTTCGTTTAACTCTTCCAGGCTGATGATGTCCTCTACCAAGGCGGTGTTGATGTTGACGCGGACCTGACCTTTCCCTTTAGCTGCAGAGAGCAGAGCCAAGTTAGTTTTGCTGACTCGGGCCTGCTTCTTCGGGCCTGCTTCAGGAGCGCCCTTGAAGCAGGGCCGTCTGTTCCACATAGTGACCTCTGCTAACCCCATCCCACCCTCCATCATTAGAAAAGATTAAGCATCCTCCTATCGCTCTCTCATCCTGGGCTCCAAAGCCCTAAAAGTTTTGGATGGATACCTGTGGAGATTCTCAATCATCCAAGCCATGGTTGCCCCAAAAGTGCTTTCCCAAAAGACAAATGGAACTTTCTTGGGTTTTTTTTTCACCCTAGAAAATATTTTGCTTCTCATCCAAGAAGAACTGAAAAAGCTTCTTGGATGGGAGGTGAAATGTTTTCAAGGAAAAAGAAAAACAAGAAAGTCCAATTGCCTTTTGGGAAAGCGCCTCTGGGACTTTTGAGGAGGGAGCATTTCAGCCCTTGGATCCAACTGTCTCCCCCTTTGATGTACTACCCACAACAACCTCTTTGAAGTAATACAACTGTCAGTTATGGGATTTATAGGTTATAGGATCAGGAAAAGAGCGACTTTAGTCTGTGTATGTTTTCTTCTGTTGGAGATGGTGAGCCTCCCTAAAAGGGGGAAGGAAAGGGGGAATTGGAGGCGGTGGTCCCAAGGGGCCCTTCTGCTTCCTTGACCTTTGACACCCACAGCTTTCCTTACCTTTAGCCTTCTTTGTGGCCAGGGTCCTGACTTGTGGGGTCTCGAGGGTCCGGCCCTCTTGGGAGCCCAGCAGCAGGAGGGGCCTGGGCCTCGGAGGGGCTTGCCAGGGGGGCCGACAGAGCAGGGCAGGCAACCGCCGGAGACTTCGGAGGGGCCCGGCCATGGCGCTGCCACTGTTGCCCACCTGCAAAAGAGAGCAGAGCTTCGGTTAGTCACAATCATAAGTTTATTTGTCAAGCATATATAAGATAACAGGTAAAAGTATAAACATAATTTGAATACATGAAAAGAGTAAGTAAAAAGGAATATTAGGACAGGCACGCTGGTGCACTTATGCACGCCCCTTATAGTCCTTGTTAGTCTGTGCCCCCTTGCTTGGTGGGGGGGGATCATTGCAGAGTGAAAGCAGGCCCCTCCTCTGCAGGGAACCCCCCCCTCTCCCGAAGCTCCTGGTCTTTCAAAGTGAGTTGAGACCCTTGCCCTCCTTCCCCAAATTATGACCCTATTAAAATATCAGCATTAACAGCAGCCGCACAACTTGGCTTGCTTGGAGACCAGGAGCCCCCCGAGTGGGGAGGGTGGGGGGAGGGTGGCCTTCCCTGCAAACCTGCCTCCCAGCCAAGCTGAATTTCTATTAATAATAACAATAATATTTTAATATATGAATCATAATAATAATTTGGGGAAGGAGGAGGGCACAGACCCCCCCCCAACCACTATGATGGAAGTGGATTAAATCTATACTTGCCAAAAAGTGGGGTCTTCCCTTCTTCCGGCCCCGCCCACTTCCAGGACACGCCCCCTCGGTGCCTCCCTCCCTCCCTCTCTTCCCCCCCCCCCCCCCTCACCCCCAGCGCCGCTCCCGCTTCCTCGCCTCTATGGAGCAAGCAAGACAGAGGCGTGTGGAGAGGAGGGGGGGGGTGGCTGTCGCACGGCCGTGACGTCATTCCTCCCGCGCGGCTGCTGCTGACGTCAACGTCCCGCGCCGCCGCGCGCCCCTTGGCGCGGGGGAGTGACGCGCGCGCGGGGCAGAGAGGCGCTGAGGAGGAGGAGGAGGAGGCGGCGATCGCGGAGGAGGGGCAGAAGGGGGGGGCTGCACTCTGCACATGCCCAGAGGCGCGGGGTCTTCCTCACTCGCCCTCTCGGGAGGCTCGGAGGGGCGGACAACCGTGGGGCCCGGATGGCGGGCGCGGGCCGAGCCCCTCCGCAGAGCCTCCGCCTGGAGAACGCCTCGCTGCTGTCCGAGGGGGCCCTGCAGGACGGGCACCGCCTCTGGATCGGGAACCTCGACCCCAAGATCACCGAGTGAGTCCGCCGGGGGGGGGGGGGGGGGGGGTGGTTGGGGGGGCAGGGGGGCCCCTCCGCCCCTCCGGAGTGGGGCCCACCCCCCCCCCACCCGAAGGAGGAGGAGGCAGGCAGACCCCCTGGCGACCCCCTCCCCACCATCCCCTCTCCGAGCTGCTTCTGAGCCCCTGGGACGGCTGGCCTTGGTCCCCACCCTCAGGACCCCGTGGGGGGAAAGACCCCCCCCTCCCCAGCCAAAAGACCCTCCCCAGCATCCCCTCTTTCTGGATTGTTTCTGAGCCCCTTTTCCTTGCCTTGGTCCACCGGGGTGGGGTGGGGAAGCCCTCCAAGGGAGCAATTGCAGCCCCCCCCTCCCCGGGCAAGAGACCCTCCTCGAGTCCCCTCTTGGGGCTGTTCTGCTGCTGAGCCCCTTTCCTTGCCTGGGACGGCTGGCCTTTGTCCCCTTGATCAGGACCCCGGTGGGTGGGTGGAGCGCTGTGCAGCCCCCTCCAAGGGAGCAAAGGCAAACCCACCCCCACCCCCCCACCCCTAGGGCTGCGGCGCCCCGTCCCCCCCCCACCCGCTCTGTTTCTGGTGGCATCAAACACGAAGTGGGTGCACGTTTGACATTCCCTTGGCCTCCCGTGATTAGTGCATTTAAATTGCCTGCTAACATGTTTGAGCCCCTTGAAGTGGGGCAATTAAACACCGAGGAGGAGGAGGAGGAGGCGGCGGTGAGCTTGATTGCCGGGAGGGAGATTAGCCAGCGGCATTGGGACAACCGTTTTTCCTCCCCCTCCCACCCCCACTTTGCCAAACAATCTCCGATTTATGCATTCCAAGTGGCTGTCTTGTCTTATCTCCCCGATATTGTCTGCCTCTCAGCTGTGGAAGCAATTTTTGCCCGGCTCCGTCTTCTTCTCCCATCGGCAAGTGCTTTTTTTGTTCCAAGTGCTCTTCTTTTCAGCTGGGCAGGGTCCTAATCGCGCCTCTAAGTGGGAATCCGTCATTAATGCCCTCTTGACGAGGATTCATTCAGGGCTGCGCTAACCGGCCTCTTCTCTGTTTTGCATTAATTACCATTTTTTGGCTCAGTGTTTGTATTGCTGAGGCTTCTCGGGGTTGAGCAATTTGTGGCGGCTGCTCAACTGATGGGCGCTTGCAAAAAGGGAGGCTTTTCAGCGCATGAATTTGTGTTGTGAAGTTTTTTGGAAGTTAAAAGCATCTCCGAACACAAGCGTACCGACGGGGCCAGTTGGATTGGCAGGCTTGGGAATCTGAGATTCCATCCAAAAAAACCAGGCATTGTGTGCATCACTGCCCTGGCTATTACAGCAGTTGCTTAGAGTTTTAGGTTCTGCTAAATGATGTGCAATTTGATGAAGGTACGAAAACCCTTTGAGGTCTCCCAACCAGGTGCAAAATGGAACCTTTGGCATTGAGCCCACTTGATTTACGTTTTATGGCACAACAGAATTTACCTCTCTCAGTATTTTCACCCGTTCAGAATAACAGAACAGAAGCTTCCGCGGTGCCCTTTCTGGCCCACTTTTGTGAGTTTCAGTTTCCTTCCGTTCACCTGTCTTCCAGGTGAGAATTCAGCCCTTCTGTGTTGATAAAGCCTGTTTGCATTGCTCCCCTTAAGGGAAGCGAGGGGGGCCTCTTTACAGGCAAGAGGCCTCTCCACCTCTCCCTTGAAGGTCCACCCGGAGGAATTGTCCTCGCGTAAATGGCTTTAGCATGTGGCTGGGGCCATTCCCATATCCTTAGACGAGCATTGTTTGAAGCAACCTTCAACTCGGCATTTGAATAGCGCTTAGGGTGCCAGGAGGAAAACTGGCGGAAAAGGAAATGGGACTTGGACAGATTGTCTGGCCTGTGTTTTGGATGGCAGGAAGTAGGAACGGGGCCTACTCTCCTTCCTCTGCCTGGGGCTTCTGGTCCCAGGTACCCCATCAAAATAGCTCTGGTAATTTTCAGCAGCCCGACTTCCTGTTCCCTGTCTGTAATGCAGCTCTTCCCTTACTCAGAAACGATTTTAGCACCTTGTAAGTAACGGTCAACAATGTCGGAAGTGGGAAGTGAGAATTGGGCAGAGAGAGGGATTTGTAGAGGCAAATACTTACAGGTAGCTCCTTATCAACAAAGCAAGATCTGTGCAAATACAGATTCAGGAATTCAACAACTATTTTGTTGCTTCTCTGTCTAGCATGACAATTTGCCCTAAATAATATTCTTTCCTTGAGAATCCCGAAATCGAGTGTCGTAGGTTCCACAACAAGCAGCTCTGTGGAGAGAGGATCCTATATTAACCAAACATTCGAACTCCTGCCTGTCATTTCTTTTTCTTTAGACTCCAGATATGTTCATCTTGTGGTAGAAGAAAGTCAGAAATGGACTAGGCAAAGTGGGCAAGGAAAGATGCCAGGGGCATTCTTAACCGCCCATACCAGAATCCTGCCATCATAAGCCTGGGGATTCACAAGCTCATTCCCTGGCACTCGGGTGGATGTGATTGAACATTTCCCTGCCTTTTCCCTGGCCTGGAATTTAAGCAGGGAGACTTGGAAACTGCCGCTTTCCTCCGTTGCACTTTTGGGAGGCAACCCAGGGAAAGCCCCACATTGAATTCGGATGAATTTCAGGCTGATGAACCCGGCCAAACAGGCCACAAAGTTGCCAAAGGAAATCTAGTCAGGTTCCTCAAGGCGAGTTGCTAGATGTTTTTCGTTTTGAGAACAGGATGAGCTGCGGCCGTTTGGGACTAAGGAAAACAAGCACATTTGCCAAAGAGAGGAGATAGTGGGGGGGGGGAGGCAGGGGCAGAGGGAGAATAGGGGTGTTTTTATGCTTCTAACAATAGCTAATAAATCTTGAGATGACTTCCAGAAATAAGTAAGCCTAAGTTATATGGCATGTCTTCGTGGCTCAAAATGTTTCTCGGCTTATTGTAGGGACGATGCCCGCAAATTAGCTACCATATAAGGATAGATTATAGAAAAAAGAGTATTGTGATCTAACTGTAGAGAGAGAGAGAGGTTAAAATATGGCTGTACTTATAATTGTCCTGAAGAATATCAGAAGCCACCTCTTTTCTGCCTTTTCTCTACTTTTCTTCAACTCTTTTCTCACACTTTTTTTGCTTTCTCTTCGCTTTTTCCCATTTTCTTTTTTCCTTACTTTATAAGTTGGGCCAGCTTACACACACACACACACCCCATTCCTGGAAAATATCTGTGATTACCTGCTTTAAGAGACTGCTTCAATTCCTGGAATTTTCTCAGTTTTCTCAGTCATTTCAAGGAAATGTCTGCGTTGGTGGGATCCCACAGGAAGAGGTACAGCTGGCCAGGGAAGCTGTGGATTCCCTTCACTCCCCAAAGGTCCCCGATGACCCCGTGTTGGCCCTACAATATTCCATTTGGCCACCTGACCCTGGACGTCAGCTTTTGGCCGCTGTCCTGAAATGCCTTCAGGCAAAAAAAAAAGAAGAAGAGAAAAAAGAAAGAAAGGACAAACGTAGCTTTTCTTCTTTAATTGGGTTTCCATAACAGAATTGTTCATCTCCTTTATCCTCTCTTCCAGATATCACCTCCTCAAACTCCTGCAGAAATTCGGCAAAGTGAAGCAGTTTGACTTCCTCTTCCATAAGTCGGGGGTCCTGGAGGGGCAGCCCAGGGGCTACTGCTTTGTGAACTTCGAGACCAAGCAGGTAGGTTGAGCCTTTGCTTCACTTAGGTCAGGCCTTCAGACGTCTCTCCGGCCCAGCAGCCTTTCTCAAGGGACTTTTTTTTTTCTCCCTCAGGAGGCAGAACAGGCCATCCATTGCCTCAACGGGAAGCTGGCGCTCTCCAAGAAGCTGGTAGTGCGGTGGGCTCACGCCCAGGTCAAGGTGAGCCTGCTCCCTGTCTCTGCCAGTGTCAGAGTAGGCCCCGCTTTCTTCCCCCCCGACAACAGGCTGCTGTTCCTTCACATCTCTGTGAAGTTGGTTGAGCTGCGCAACAATCTTCATGTCCAGCACACGGTCTTGAGGAAGACTGCCTGAGGCCGGTTGCCTATTAAACAGGCACAGGGGAAAAGCCCTGTGGAAACCAACCTTTGCTTTTTTAATGAGTTTAACCAATATTACTTGACCTCCCGTGAGGTTCCATCATGACTAAAAATAGCCCATTGGTGCCACCGTCTGAAGGGCCACAAGGACATGCCTGCTTCAGCTGGGGGGTTAATTTCCGCTCTTTCTCCCCCCCTCCCTGCCAGAGGTATGACCAGAATAAGAACGAGAAGACCCTTCCCATCAGCCTGGAGCCGTCTTCCAGCACCGAGACCCCCCAGTCCAACCTGAGGTAAGGTCTGCCTCTTAATTGTGGGAGGGGGGGGGAACGGTCCTTTGACAATCAGCTAGAACAGACAGGACCCCTGAAAAGCAGAAGAGGGTTTTTTTGGTCCTGGACATTCTCCGTCCTAACATCTGGCTTCCCCTAGTTTAAAAAGTTTTCTTTTGAAGAAGCTTCAAGCTTTATGGCTGAATAGGGAAAGGACGCAAGTTTCATTTTTGCGGAGTTTTATCTGGCACTGCGGTCGGAAGTAAAGCTGACTTTGAAAAGGCTGAACTTGCGAGCTCCCATTATTTTATTTCATGGGTTTCCTGGTAATGGTGCTTCTTAGCTGCCTTTCAACCAATAACAACTTTGCCATGTACCGTGTGTCATGGCTAGCTGTGGCTGAATTGTTATCTAAAAAGAACTTTTCTATATAAAATGGGGAAAAGGAGACAGGGCAGCTGAGGTTCGCCGAGTGCCAAGTAGCACAGAACACAGGAGCGCCTTCATTTGCTAACCTCAAATCCTTGAACGAACGTGGCGTCACCTGGCTATTCAGAGGGGCCAGGGACAGCGCCGGGGGCTCTTTTGGAGGAACGAGCCATCAGCAGAGCTTTCTCCCAGCAACCGGACAGCCTCAATCTGCAGAATTAAATGCACCTCTGAGGGAGTGAGCATGTGGGACTCACAGCCACGGGAGCACGTGTGGGGATTGGGCGATTAAAGAAAAAGGACCTGGAGGAGGGTGTGGCTTGAACCCAGGGACAGCTGGGGGGGGGGAACAGCTCCTGCATGCATGGGCTTCTGACTCTAAATCCAGGCCACAGACAGGATGATGTTTCAGCCGCCTCTCTAATTCACTCTGCAGCGTCAGTACAAAAATCAAAGCCATTGAAACCAAGCTGAAAATGATGTCGGAGAATCCCGACGCGGAGTTTCCACCGGCAGCCCCCTACACCTACTTCAAGGCCCCCGAGAAAAAACGGACTGGCCCCTACTCCAGAGCTGCTTGGAAGTCCAAGAGATGATGAGGGGTGCTGTCGGCACCGTCCTCTGGCACTCTCGGCCGATGGAAAGCCAGGATTGGCGCTGCCCCGTCTTGGCCTTGTGTGGGACTGCTGCTCCTTTGCACACATGGAAGTCAACACTCTTCGGAGGAAACCGATTGTAACACATCCATAAATCTGTGTAGAACTTCTCCAACAAACTCGACTGGTTTAGTAGTAAAACCAGATTCCCCCCCCACCCCCGTGTGGCTAGCTAAATGCAGCTCCAAAGTCCAAGACATGTGTTTGCGTGTTTCAGTATGTTTTCACCACTTCAGTATTTGTTTTGACCTGAAGATAACAAAGAGTTCTGATGAACTGATGGTCTGTCCAGAATATTCTCTCTATCCAGTAGAAAAAAAGGTGCTTTGGGTTGCCTGATCTTTCCAAGCAAGAGAAAATCAGAGTTTCTTGCACCTTGAAACCCAGGAAACTCCGAAAGGAGGCAATGAAATTGGTAATATTTGTCTGTGAGTAACAGCTGCATTGAACACATCTGGGCATCGGTGTATCCATTCTTTTTTTTTTCTTTTTTTTTTTAAGGGAACATCACAGGAATAAACTTTTAAAAGTGCACCTTGTTAAACTTGGATCATTTATCAAAGTCTCTAATTTCAAAACTGGTAAATTAATCAGAATTGGGGTGATTTTTAAAAAAAAACAAAACGTCTGCGATTAAGCATGGGAAGGAGCAGCCAAAGAATTGGAGTGGAGAAATAGGGAAAATGTTAGCCTTAGGAGCAGCCAGGGATGCTGGGAGGAAAGACGCTGGGAGCTCTTGTGATGAGGCAGTTGGAGACCCTCCATGGAGAGAAACTACCACGTACAAGTAATTAAAGAAGAGGACACCCCCCCCCCCCCGATTATATGTCATACGAGCCATTGAGGGAATTTCTGGCTAGGTAGAGAAGGAGGGAGGACGAGAGGAACCACTCCACTCCCCTGCCCAAAAACCACCTGCAGCCTTTGAGAAGACCTGCTCGAAGAATTTGGTAGCCAGATCCACCTCTTACATTTCACATTTCTCTTTCTGCAAAGAATATTTTTTTAATGCGCATCTTCACCTCCCTCAAATCGCACTGACTCTTCTATGATTAAGGGGTGCTTCTGGATTTCAACCCTGATAGGTGTTGTGACCTAGGCTCACTTAGTCATTACAGGACACAATTAGTCTCAAACAAAACTATTTTATTATAACAGCTGAGAATTACTTCATTCCCAGCTTAGTCCAAATTAATTTCAAAACAAGTCCTTCAGAAAAAGTCTTTCGTGTTTATCACAAACCTTTTATCATCTTTGGCACCCTGCCAAAGGCCTTTCTTGGCAAAGCCCCACAAAGTTCAGAAACGAGCTGCCGACTGGAAAACAGATTTAGCAACGTTGCTAAAGAGCCTTCGCTGCTCTTTTAAACCTTATGGGAGGGGCCAATCATCTCCTGGCCTTACTCCTGAGTTGTCCGTTTTGCTTTAGCTGCTCTTGCCTTCTGGCAGCTCTGCACATGCGTGTACTAGGAACAGACTCCTCCTGTTCCTCTGCCTCTCTGCTGTCCGACTCTGGAGGCCCCAGAGTCCATGCATCACTCCCAGATGGCCCTGGACCCATCTCTGCCTCCGACGCAGAGCCCTTGTCCGGGCCTTCCCCAGACTCCAGGACTGGCCCATGTTCCTCCCCAGCCTCCTCACTGTCCGACTCCGCTGCTAGCTCCACGGGCTGCTGGCGGACCACAACAGTAGGACAGGGTAGGAAGGCCCGAAGAAGTCCTTGGCTAAATTTGAAGCCTTGCAGCGACTTGGGAAGGTTGGCCTTGGACCGGACGGGCATGCGGTCTCTGCCCAGCCTCCTCTGTCCTGTGGAGAAGCAGAGTGGCTGGCCGGTCTTGAAACAACCTCCCCTTCTTTCCCTTCTCTGTTTGGGTGTCAGTCCCAATCAGGGTGATGATCCTCCGTCTGGGCCCTGGACATCTCCGGTTACTTCCTCCAAAGTGGCTTCAGGGAAAGTCACAGCAGGGCCCTTGTGTCCTATCTGGTTACACACAGACACACACACACACACACACACAAACGGCCATCTAGGCAAGAGACACGTTTCTCCTCTGCCAACTCCCTGGAGCTAGCTCCCAGGTGAGGCACCCAGGTGACTCCCAAGGTGGGCTGAGGCCCTTCTGGAGCTGGGCAACCTGTTGGGATTGTCCCCTGTGAATGGGAGGACTCCCAGTCTTCTTCACAGGAAGCAGGCAGGTATGTTCCCAGACCAGGTGCTTCTACCTGGGAGGTGAATGATAGAATAGAATAGGATTTTTTATTGGCCAAGTGTGATTGGACACACAAGGGATTTGTCTTTGGTAGATAGGTTCTCAGTTTACATAAAAGATACGTTCATCAAGAATCGTAAGGTACAACACTTAATGATAGACGTAGGGTACAATGTCATAGGACATAAGTCATAGGGGCTTAGCCCGAATCCCTCTGTGCTGATGCTCCTCGGGCCCTGGAAAGAACTCTCCACATCCTCTGGGGCTGGCTCTGTCCTCCTCTTGGGTTTCTGTCAAGAAGGGGAGACCGAGACCTTGCCTCCCTATCGCCTTGCGCCTCTCCTTCCTCCCCGCCCTGCTTTGCCGCAAGCAAGGAAGGAGGAACTTGGAGGCGGAGGGGGGGGCTCGTCCCAGGCAAAAGGGGGGAAGGAGGGAAAAGTCCTCTCCGGCAGCTGTGCGCAGCGGTGGGTGAGTGAGTCGCGTCTGGGCGGCCGCGGCTGCAGAGGGGAGCTCCTTATGGTGCCCCCCATGTTCTGGAAGAATGAGCCCCCAGGCGAGCAGCCCTCGACGGAGGTGAGCCTGGAAAGCAGGTGGGGTGGTGTTGAGAAGGGGTGGGCGGTGGAAGGCTAGAAGGGAGCCTCCAGGGAGAACCAGGCTGTCCTGCTCTTTGGAGAACCGGGTCCTTCTGCTTGGGGAGGGGGAGGTCCGACGGGGGTCCTTGTTGGTCTAGCCTGGGGGAATCTGGTAGCCAGGATCCTGCCCTGCATTTCCCCCCAGGGTTGAAGGAGAGTTTTGGAGAGGGGAGGGGGCCTTCCAGTGGGGGAGGTGCTCAGGTTCCCCCTCTCTTTCCAGGTATCTCGGCTACTGGTGATGGGGGGGGAACTGGTGGTTGTTGAGCGCCAGGAAATTTGGGTGGGGGGGAGGAATGGAGAGTCCTGTAACCTCTGGGAGGAGAGAGGTGCCCTTATCCTTTTTGGGGGGGGGTCCCTCTTCCGTCGGCTGGAGGGAGAACAAGGGCAGGGGAGCCTGGCGTGCGGTCCTTGCGCCCCCCCCCCTTCAAGCCAGGCTGATTGCCAGGTGCGCGCGCGCCTCTCCGGCCCGGCGGCGGGGCTAAATGCAGGTGCTTCGGGGGGCGGCGACTTGGGGAAGCAGGAGGAGGCGCGGCGGAGGCGCGGGTGGTGCCGCTGCGGTTCTGGCTGGGCAGAGCGAGCGGGCGCGCTGCGGTTGCCTCCGGAGCCGCTGCCCGAGGTGCCCCCCCCTCCGCGCGCCTCTCCTCGCCTCTCCTCCCCCCCTTCCCCGCCCGCCGCCCCCGCCGGCTGGTTCAGACGCGCCGCGCTTTCCGCCTCGCCCGCCGCGCGTCGCTGGACGCCGAGCCCATGGCCGCTCCGAAGTTGGGCTTCGTCGTCCGGACGGGGCGGCTGTAGGTGGGGGGCTGGAGCCCCCCGGACGGAGCCCGCCGCCGCCGCCGCCGCCGCCGCTCTCCGCCGCCATGGTAAGCCTCCGACGGGGAGGACGGAGCCCGTCTGGTGGCGGGCTCGGGTGGGGGGCTGTCCGCGGCTGACCCGCCGCTCGCTCTCTCGGGCTCCCGCAGGCCCAGCCCGACGGGGAGGCTCTGGCCGGCGCCCTGGAGAAAGAGGAGGCGCGCTCGGCCGCCAGCACCCCGTCCACGCCGTCCGTCTGCTCGCCGCCCTCCTCCGCCTCGTCCTCGCTGCCGCCGGGCGCCAAGAGCCTCTGCTCCAGCTGCGGCCTGGAGATCGTGGACCGCTACCTGCTGAAGGTAAGGGCGCGGGCGGGCGGGGGCGGGGAGCCGGGCCGGGCCGGGCCTCGCCTAGCGCGCTTCTCCGTCGCCCGCAGGTGAACAACCTGACCTGGCACGCGCGCTGCCTGGAGTGCTCCGTCTGCCGGACGCCGCTCCGCCAGCAGAGCAGCTGCTACGTCAAGAACCAGGAGATCTTCTGCAAGGTGGACTACTTCAGGTAGGCGGCCCGGGGAGCCCCAGCGGGGAGGGAGGGAGGCGCCCCGGGAGCCCAGGCCAGGCCCGCGCGGGGCCCACCCGAAAGGCGGCGGCAGAGCCGGCTTCTCCCCGCTTAGACGGGGCCTTGCTCCGGATGGAGCCTCTGTTCGCCTCCTTCCGCGAGCTCCGCCGCCGACCGTGGGAAAGGAGCCGAGCCGACAGCAGCGGCTTTCCCTGGGGACGGCCGCTGCAGGCCAAGCGGAAGGCTCGCTGCAGCTGGGGGGCCCTGCCAAGCTAACCCCTCCCTGGGAAGGGACGGAAGAGCCCCGCGGCCCAGAGCCCCGAAGCGCCCGCAACCCGGCTGGCCCTTCCGATCTCCTCTGCGGCCGCGGGGCAAAAAAGTCAGGGGGGGGGGGAGGGGAGGGGACCTTAATTGCGGTGCCGGCAATCTCCTCCCACTGCGGTGACTGGAGGCCGATTCCAGGACCCCAAGGCCGCCTCCCCCCCCCCCCTTTTCCCCCTTGCTCCGCTTCTGGCTCTCTGCCTCGCAGCCCTGGAAGTGGGAGCGGAGCCTTTGAACATCTTGGCGTCGCCCTCGCCGAACTCTGGAGCTTGAGCGGCCCGGCCCGGCTGGAGGAGCCGAAAGGGCGCGTGGCTTCTGGCGCCCAGAGCCCCGATGGGCCGGGAGGGGCGCTCTCCGCCGCAATCTCTGGGACCGCCGGCCGGCCGGCCGACCTGCGGGGCGATCTAGAGGGGAGGCGGGCGAACAGATCCTTGGAGCAGGCGCTGCCCGAGAGCGCTGGGTTTTTCGAGGAGAGCTCAGCCAGGGACCCAAAATTCCCGCCTTCCCTTCCCGCCTCCTCTCCGCGGGTTTGCGAAGGGCGCAATCTCCTTTCCGAAGAGGTTTCGTTTCGGAAGATTCGGAAGGAATCCGGATTGGCCTGGGCCACCTTCTCCCCTTCTCTTCCGTTTGCCCTGAAGTGACGGGGAGGGAAAAATTCGTTTTTCCAAATACAGTAGTATTGCGCGCTTCGCCGCCGGGAGATGCGCCTCTTGGCCCGCATCTCTTCGCCCGCTGGGAAGGAAGAGAAGGAAAGGCGGCTTTGGAAAGTCGTTTTCTTCGGAGGGGCCGACCTGGCTGCACCGGCGGGGCAGGCGCGACCCCCCCCTCGGTCAGAATCGCCCCCAAGTTCCTTGCTAGTTCTTCGACGGCCGGTTTTGTTTGGCGAACCGCTTTATTTCGTTGAATTCCGACCGGCGGACCTGCCCGGTCCTCTCCTCTCTCGCTTGGCAGGTGGGACCGCTTCGGGGTTCTTCTGAAACAAGCCACCTTGGCGCGGGGGGGGGGGAAGAGCGCGTTTAATCCCGTGGGAGGGCCAGGAAGGGGCAGCGGGCAGTTTTGGCCGTTTGACTCAATTCGGATCGGATTTCGCACCGGGACTGGTCGGACCCGAACCGCCGATCTCCGGCTAGGAATCTCCCTTCCCCCGTTTCTAAACGGGGGGCGGGGGAGCGCTCTACCTTTTTCTCCTGGGGAAGCAGCTGCTTTCTGACGATCGCGGGGGGATCCGCGGCAGCCCTTCGCTGGTCGTCGGGGCTTGCCGTGCGTGTAAGTGAAGCGGGTTGATTTAGAACGGGTCCCCTGCGAAATCCCCTCGACGGAAGGACGCGGGTCGGGCTCCTTTCAGCCTGGAGCCTGGAGCGAACCCAGCGCACCGTCTCTGGTGGGGGCCATCGGCGGGTCGAGCCAACTCCGAAAACTGGGTGGAGGAAACCCACGTTAGAATTTCGGGCTGGGCGAGTCGGGCGAGAACTTCCCTCGGCCGAAGGGAGCCGGGCACGGAGGGCCGAGCGCGGGCGGCCGACGGCCCTGCGGAGGGGCGCTGCTCTACGACCCCCCGAAGGTCCCCAAAGGCAAAGGGGGCGGCGGAGCAGAATCGGGAACCTTGCCCGGCGGTGATCGCCGCTCCTGCCGGCTTCCTGACCGGGGAGCGCTTTAACCCCGTGGGAATCCTGCCGCGGGATGGTGGGGAGCGCGCCGCACAGAAGGGAAACGGTGGGGTTTGCGCTCCGGGGCAGGTGAGAGAGATTTCCACGGTCGACCTCGGCCGCGGCGTCCTTCGGGGTGCCCGCCCGGCTGCTTCTGGAATCGATCCCTCCTTTTCCGCCTCTCCAGAAATCCCAAAGGACTTAAGGTGCTGAAGGCGGATGATCCCGGGTGATCCTAGTTGGGGGGGACGGGGGACGGACGGACCCAGCTGTGCCTGATGTTGATCTCTGGAGAGGAAGCGATGTGGGTGCAGTGCCGGCCCTGGTGCTCTCAGCCAAGATGCAGCCTGGGACACCCCGTGGGAGAACCCCAAAAAGGAAGCGGGGAGCAGGATTCCCATCAGGGCCTCCCTTCTTCCTTCTTTCGAGCCTCTTGCCAAGCTCTGCCGACCTCCCTGGCAGGCTGGGAAGATCCTTCAGAGCCTCTACAGGCTGGCCAGGGACCTGCCCACCCGTGGCCTTTGCCTCTGAGAACCGTCTCTCCAGATTTGTGGGCTCCCTCGCTCTCCGTGGAAAAGGAACTGGCAGTGGTAATAAAGAGAAGGGGCAGACCTCATTTCTAATATTAGCAATCCCTCTGGGGTAACTTTAAAAAAAGAATCACCTCTCTTGGCCCCCAGTTTTGGGTTCCCCCCCCAGTTTTGGGTTTTTAATTTCTTGCCCACATCAATCACGGAAAAGGGAAAGGAGAAATGCACCAGAGGAAAAACATGCTATTCATTGCTTTGGTTCTGGATATTAAGATGGGTGACAAGAGGATTAATTCCTGGGCTAAGATTTCTGCCTGTAAAATTGGAGGGCACTTTCATGATGGCGGCCGCCAGCGGTTTAGTTAATGAAATAAAATCATTAGCAAGTTAAGAGAACAGAAGTCTGGTCCCTCATTTGCGGTGGTGCCTATGATCAGGAAGGTCTGTTCCCCGAGTCCTTCCTTCCTTCCTTCCTTCCTTCCTTCCTTCCTTCCTTCCTTCCTTCCTTCCAGGTTTCAGCTTCACAAAATTGTCCCTAGGAGACCGTAAAGGGCTTTTTGATCAGGTTTGGCAATAGATGTTTGAAAGTCAATTTATAATTAAATGAGATTTGGAATGCTGAGGAATATCCTGAGATTGCTATGGTGGTTTCTTGAAATTTTGCATAATATTTTTTTTTTTATTTAGTTATCTGGGGATATCTAGTTACTGAAAGATTTTGGAATGCAAAATCTCAGCCGGTGTTTGGGCTGTCTGTTGAGGTGTTTAGCCCACTGTGGATTTACAGGGTAATTCTGTGCAAGGCTATTAACTGAGGGGCCACAATAGATATTAGAGGGAAGTAGTGGTACCTGTAAACAGAGGGTTTACCCGTGCGGCCACTATCCTGTAGTTATTTATGGAGATCCATTTGGGGCAGTGGAATTTCTTCTTAGTAATGAAATGATGGTTGGTTATTCACGAGATAGTCAATTGACAACCCCATTTCTTTCTTAGTCTTTATTATGTTCACATTTTTTTTTTCCAAAAAGAAAGCAAAAGAAGGGAGTTCTTTCAGTTGTGTTAAAGATAATTCCCAGCATTAAATAGATGAGGGAAGAGGATGTTGGGAATGCGGGCAGCCGAGAGTTTTCAATGGAAGTGGTTCTGTGCTGTGCCAGAGATTTCAGTATGTGGGTCTCTGCAAACATGAGCACCGTTTTTTGGGTGACAGTTTCCTCTACCTTATTCTGTTATCCAGTCCTCGCTCCCCAAATCCTTTCACCAGCATCACAGCCTGATAAAGCAGAGTTGGTGTGGGGGACGGAGCGTGTCTTCGTTTCTTTTACAAATTGGAGCTGCTTTCACTCGGGAAGGCCTCAAAGGACTTTCTGGTCCCAGCCATTTAAAAAGAAAACAACATGCTCCTTTTTATCCCAGCTTCTTCCACGCTAAGTCCTGGCGTTCAAAACGGGTTCTAGAGGCTTTTGTTTAAATTAAACGCATCCCGATTTAGCGTGGTGCCAAATTTAAGTGCAGAGCGCTAATTTAAACCTGAAATCAGGGCTGTTTCACTATTGTTGCCTCGCTGCGCCTGAAGAGCGAACGCTGCAGGAGAATTTCAGAGAGGGCAGTCAGACGGCGTGAGTCTGTTGGCCTCTCACCTTGGATCCGCTGCTGCTCGACCTTGTTTGGGCTGAGGGAGCAGATCCTGAGGCTTCCTTAGAGGTGTGATAACCAGGATATTTGGCCCACCTCGTTTTAAGAAAAATTCAGTAATAAGCCACCTGATTACTGAAAAATTCAGTAATAACCCACCTGATTATTACTGTGTCATATTTACTTTGCCTTCTTTAGCATCTGCCAGGTTTTATTTTTTCTTCTTGTGCTTAATGTTTCTTCAAAATGCTTTGAGTTTTTTTTATTTTTAAATGGCCCCGGCTACCAGACAAGTTTTAGAAGAATAGAAATTCTTTGTTAAATATTTAGGCAAATATATTAGTCTAAATTCCTGTTTTAAAAAAAGGGGATGGTCTTTAGAAAGGAGCCTCTCTGTATGCGAGACAGAGAATGCAGAAAGACATAATTAAGTAATGCTATTAATTGGGTAAAATGTCCTCTGTGATGAATATCAGTTATAATCTATGTATTGAAATCTATTAATTGAGAATGTTGGCAACTTCTAGTTAAGGTTACAGAGTGAGATAGGTGGTATAAATTTCACCAAAAAAAAAATCTTTCGTCTTTAATGCAGTCTGAAAGAGCAGCTATTTTGTTGACAAAGATCTGGGCTTTTCCCAAAACAGGAATGAAAAATTAATTATCAGGGCCCTTTGTTTGTGGGGGCATCTAAACCGAGCATCCCATTACTGGCTCACTACATGCCCCAAATGTAGGAAATTAGCCATTGGTCCCTCCCTGTTTCTGTCCTCCCCTCCTTGAAGAAAAATTAAAAAAACCACTGGCATTGTGTCTGCTCTGGGACAAAACCCTTTTAATAGGTGGAGTGTGTTTTTAAAGAAGTTTTTTCTGTATCACTTGGGCCTTTAAAAGGATGGAGGATCAGATAGGTGCCAACTCAGGTGATTTTCTCCAGGACCAATTTCAGCTGCTAGTTACTAGCCACAGTTTGGGGACCTCGTGAGCTCTCCCCATCTCTGTCTTTGGTTAAAAAAAATTAAAAATTAAAAAATGGGTGGTTTTTGCCAGAAGCCAGCTATATTTTTGGGGAGCTGAATCTTGAGGGCTTTTAGTTGCTTGTTAGTTTCTGCAACAAGGACCTTCGGTCTGCTCTGCTCTGCTCTGTGTGCGAAGGCTCAGGAAGTCGGCGGGTGCAGAGGGGAGTGTCAGAAGGTGGCTAGTCCTCAGCATCTCCTGGCCGGCATCTCACGGCCGCCTGCGGCTGTGTGCATTGCACTTCCAAGCAGCCTGTGATCACTCAAACAAGTGAGCCAAAGAATGTATTGTGCATGCATTCTTTTCCTCGGCTCTCCCTTTCATTAGAATCAGACCCCTTCCATGGAGGGGAAGGTACAGAAAGCGAAGCCCCCTCCCTCCCGTGGTGTGTGTGTGTGTGTGACTGGTGTCTAGCAGAGGGAAGTTTTGAATGGGAGGGAAGCCTGTGAAACGTGCAAGGGTCCTTCTCCCGGCCTCTTTGGGTGCTCAACAGCCGTCTGCAAAGAAGGACGAGTGAGGGGCTGTTTTAGACTGGGGCACCCCTGCAAAATTTGGGGAAAGGGGCAGAAGCACAGAGGATGGACACCCTAGGGAAGAGGGTGAACAGCCAGCTGTTATTCCTTTGATGCATTCTGCAAGAAAGCTGGTTAACAGCTAGAATCTTGCCCGCTTTCGTATTTCAATGAGAGGGAAGAGAAGGCAATTTTGAATCAGGGTTGTAAAAATCCTCCTTGCATGAAAATAACGGGAGGACCCTATTTTGGGATCCTTGCAGCCTCTCTGTGATTTCAGCCTCTTTTATGACATTTGTTGTTTAGGGACAGTTTTAACTAGCATGGCTGCTGCCCTCTCCTTAAAGGCCAACTTCTTTTTTTTTTTTTTTAGCACAAAAGCCCAGTTCTCAAAATATCTGCTTTTAGACCAGCTCGCAAAGCGATCTCAGTCGATGGCACAAACCGGTTTTCTGCAAACTAATATTTATCACCACCTTTGGGTAGGTTGTCCGGTTTGGGGTCGAGAATGCTGAGTTGCTGATGTTTTGCCATTTAGATGCCCTGGGGATTTGCCACTTCTGCATTTGGGCCAGAAAGTTGGAAGATGGAAAAACAAAACGGCTCCGATTTTGGACAGTCGTAGCCATTCGGCTTCTCCTCTCTTTTTCAGTCGGTTTGGTACCAAATGCGCTCGCTGCGGAAGGCAGATCTACGCCAGCGACTGGGTGCGGAGGGCTCGGGGCAATGCCTACCATCTGGCCTGCTTCGCCTGCTTCTCTTGCAAGAGGCAGCTGTCCACCGGGGAAGAGTTTGGCCTGGTGGAGGAGAAGGTGCTATGTCGGATTCACTACGACACCATGGTGGAGAACCTCAAGCGCGCAGCAGAGAACGGTAGGCCGACCTCTCAACTCGTCCTCCCTGGTGCTTTGTGGCTCTGGTGTGGCCCCAAAGCTTGAGTGTGTGGTGGTCTCCTCCATGAAGATCTCTCCTTCCTTCACAACTGTTTGACTTAGGCCAAGAGTCAGATGCCTTTCGGAGTAAAAATCTCTCCATCCATCCATCCAACTTCTAACCACCAAGGAACTGAGAAAAACAGGATTTGACAGGCGCTCTCTTGAGGCTTGGCAGACATTCCCTACTTTTGACTTGGTGTAGGTTTCTCTTCCTGAATGGTGGACAGGTCTTTAGGATCTGAAAAAGCAGCCAGGACCTCCAGGTGTTGGATGTGGGCTACTTGGCCCTTGACAAACAGTTTAAAAATGCCCAGAAGTGAACGTGGGCACTTGGCAAAGCTGACAGGGTGGAGATTGGCTGACCGGGTCTCCTCTGATGAGTTCAAGATGCGCCAAGGTGCCCAGGAGCTAAGCAGGATGATGATATGGAGAGAGTGGAAATCAGTCCAGTGGAGAAGACTTGGGGTGTCCCCTTCTGACTTGCATCCAGGAGGCAAAATGGAGAGGGCGACTTTGTGTTAGAGGGGAAGTTGGCAGTGAGACAGTGAGTAGTGTAGGTGTAGAAGCACCAAAGGAGGTTCTTATTTTTGTTTGGGGGTTTTAAGGCCTCGGGGTTAGAGGTCAACCAAAACTTGGAGTTCCCTCTGGAAGGGTTAGTCAAGTCCTACAGCCTTTTGGCTTTTCTTTGGTTCCTTGACAATGGAGTAGACGCGCCATGGTTCTCAAAAGTCCTTGGGGCCTATACAGAATTAAACCTGACTCTGTTCTGCAGCTACACAGACAAAGCCGGGCTTTCTTCCCCGTCTGTCGCATGCATTTTATCTTTTGATCTGCGCTGCTTCTTCTTGAACCACTTAAGGTATCTGTTACATAAAATGCACAACTGCGTTTCAAGCGTATCAAGGGAGGCAGCAGGGATGGCCCTTGATTAGGGATTAAGACTGACCCGACCTGCTGGTGATTTCTCTATTTAATCTATTCTTAACCAGATTTATATATAAAAAAAAAACTCCCCACTCTAACAGAGTGACTCTGGGCAGCGTACAGCCGAAACAATAAAACTAAAGTCCAAGCCCTTTTGGTTAAAGCAAGTAAAATATTTCAATGTGAAATGCAGGTTATACAATAGCGACTAAGCACTGCAATGAAACAGCCACGAGGGGGCTCCACTCAGTTGCCCCCTAGTGCCCGGAAGCATATTGATCTTTGCTTAAGGCCAGGGATCAGCAACCTGCGGCTCTGGAGCCGCATGTGGCTCTTTCACCCCTCTGCTGCGGCTTCTTGTCACTCAAAATATGCATCACAACTGCCAATTTGTGACACCCGCCAGCACGCAATTTATTGAGCTTTTCAACCCCCAATAGGCCAACCATGGATAATTCCAAGAAAAGAAAAAAGTTTCAGAAGAAAACAGAACATTTAATCCAACTACATATGCTAGTTTTGTGGCCGCTCAAGAAATAGTCAGGCATGGGAAGAGTTTTGTGGCTCCCGGTGTTTTCTTTTCTGTGGGAAACGGGTCCAAATGGCTCTTTGAATGTTTAAGGTTGCAGACCCCTGCTTAAGACCCTTAAATGTGATTTCACGTCTAAGCTAGAGTGTATCTTGTCTTTGTCTCGAATTGCTCTCTCCAGAAATCGCAGGCCAGACCTGGGTTCTCCATTAGTGTGGTTATATGGAAAGGGGTACCGCTGGCATCGTTAAGATGTCCCCAGTTCTCTTTTTCAGATTGTTTTTTATTTTGGACAAAGATGCAGAGAAAAGATCAGGCTTGGCTCAGTTGAGTTGACACAGCCGTGGCTCTTTCCGCCTTCTTTTCAAGACGCACAGGCGCACGGGATTCCCAAGAGACAGAACTTTGCTCAAGTGTTAAAAAGTAAAAAAGTAAAAAAAAACTCAAAGAGATTTCTCTCTCTCTCTCTCTCTCTCTTTGAGCAAATGCAAAAGAGAGAGGGGGGAAAAGAGAAAGAGAGAGAGAGAGAGAGGGAGCATGGTCCCTCCTTGCGCAGCAGATGGAAACGATTTTGAGAAAGGGGAAGGCGAAGAAGGAGGGGAAATCTGAAAATGAAAATAATCAATGTTTCTGTTTACAAGGTTTAAGCAAGGAGATGAAAACAAAATCAAACCAAGATGCCAAAGCGGGATGCGGTGGGAGGCTGGGCGTCTGAGCTGCCGGTTTGCGCCGCATCCTCCTCCTGGCCAGGCTGGCCCGGCAGATGGTTGGGCGTGGATTTGGACCCAGGCTCAGAGGCTTTCTGGGTGGCCCCGCAGGAGAGGACGGGGTCTCCTTGACCTCCTGCCTGAGGAAGGAGATGCAGAGGGCCTACCTTGGAGGCCAGAAGCGAAGGGGGTTGGTTGAAGGGGTGGCAGGCAAGCGAGAGAGCACCAGGAAAGTTCTCCAGGTCTTCCAGCCACGGAGGGGGTCCCAGGAGTTGTTCAGGGCTGGTGTTTCTTCACTCCGGAAGTTGGTGGAACTTCTAGAAAGGCATGCATGAGAAGAGAAGTGCCTTCTTCCCACCCTCCAAGGCCAGCCTTTTGCCATCCTTTGGGGCTCTCCGTCTTGCATAGTCATCCCAGGTGGCCTTTGAGGTCAGCTGCTCACCGTTTGGGCTGGAACCCAACCCAGTCGGGAGAGTTGGGGGGGGATCTGCAAAGATGGCTGCTCTTTATTGGGCCTCAGCATCCCTCCCTCCGCCTGGGTGGGTGGGAGACACGGCTCCCTCCCTTCGCCTGCCTTCCTCCCTGGATGTCTTCATGGACGCCAGGAGTTCCCTGCAGGGCACCGTCTCAGCTTAGTGGGCAGTGATGGGCAGAGGCCGGGGGGCAGCTGAGCGGCATGACCTGCACTCTTTCCTTCGGACTCTTGGGAGGGGACGCAAGTCAGCCCATCCGTCCGTCGGTCGGAGCCTAAGCCTCCCTCTGGGACTCGCAAAGCGATTTTGCCTGCCCCGGTTCAAGGAAAATAAACAGATGTTTCTGAGGCTGACTTCCATTAATCATCCCGCTCAAGAAGAGAAGGAAAGCGCATTCCTTCAGCCTGGGCCAAGGTAATCACCTCCCTCCTGAGCCTTGCCTTCCAACCCAGAGGGCGAGGGTGGGTTCCCACGCGGCTGGCTCTCCCTTGCGCTGCCCAGCCCTTAGGTTGCTCCCTGCACTCTGGAGCACATGTGGCTGAGCCTGCGCAAACCCCCTTTTGTCTTCTGGACCGACGTTGAGTAGGGTTCGGCCCCACCCGCAAAGCAAGCCTGGCATTGCTGGAATCCTCCCACTCCCCTTCTCTTGATAGGTTTCATGTATTCGGTTTACCTCGCTTACAAGGGGATAAAAACAGATGCATAAAAAGGAATTATATATAAATATAGGACGCAGTTAAAAAGGAAAGAGATTCAACAGGGTGCTGGAGTTGGCATAGAGCCCCTCCCCCCCCCAAGGGTCAATCTCACCCCCCCTCTTCTCTTGTAGGGAATGGCATCACTTTAGAAGGGGCAGTCCCCTCCGAGCAAGACAGCCAGCCCAAGCCGGCCAAGCGAGCCCGGACTTCCTTTACAGCAGAGCAGCTGCAGGTACGAAGAGACCCGGGAGGTGGGGAGGATGCTAATTACTGGGGAGGGGGTCTCACCTTAACATCTCTCTCCCCCCCCTCTCCCCCGTGTAGGTCATGCAAGCCCAATTCGCTCAGGATAACAATCCAGACGCTCAGACGCTGCAGAAGCTGGCAGACATGACCGGGCTCAGCAGGAGAGTTATTCAGGTGAGGGTTGATGCTTCCGGTTTACGTGCGGAATTAACCCCACTCCCGCCTAACATGGATGACGTTACCTAGTTGGGTAATGAAAGGTCTGCAAGAAAACAAGGCAGCTCAGAGGGCACCAAGGACCCCGCATATTGAGGGTGCCTACTTCGACCAGCCAGTTCAGAAGCTCGTCCAAAGAAAGATTTTGGGGGGGCTTTGTTTCCTCTGCAGCTTCCACCTCCCTGGAGGTGCTTAACTGAGGCAAAAATAAGAACAACTGCAGGGGTCAGAATCAGTGGGGCGCCCCCCCTCCCCCTCTGAGATCCTCCCTCTTTCCCCAGGTTTGGTTTCAGAATTGCAGAGCGCGGCACAAAAAACACACCCCTCAGCACACGGTGCCTCCCTCGGGGGGCTCCCAATCCCGCCTCCCTTCCGTGCTGCCGGAAGACCTCCACTACTCCCCGTTCAGCGGTCCTGAGCGGGCCAGGATGGTGACCCTCCACAGCTACATAGAGAGTAAGTGGAGGAGAGGGGGGAACTGGGCCTCAAGAGGGGGGTGGGGAGGGTAATGCCGGCCAGCCTTACGAGTCGTTGATGGGATTTTTTTGCTGGAGGTGGAAAGGAGACCACAAGGAGGCGAACAAAGGAAAAAATGAGGAAGCTTAGAAGCCGCCCAGCCAAAATCTCCCCAGGCAGCTCTTGAGTCTCTTCTTGGGAGGGAGGGTTGAGAGCCTCCATTTTCCTGCCGGACCAGAGGGCTGCAGAGCATTGGGGGCCCAACCTGAGCACCATAGCCCCCCCCCCCAAAACACACGCAGGATAAAGTGAGCAGCAGAAAGGAAGAAAGATTTAATTGTGTCTGCAAATACACTTGGCAGACGTTTTCCTTGACCGCGGTTCCTGTACGCTTTGTGCTTCTCTCCCCCTTTGAACCCACACGCTCCGTGGCAGCCCCTCGGTGCTTGCATGCAGGGCGGGGCGGGGCGGGGTGTATGTGTGGGGTTTTCATCCGTCCATTTATGCCCACTGCCACCCCGAATCCAAGTTTTCGTATCTTGTTCTCCGCAGGTCAAGTCCAGTGTGGACAAATGCACTGCCGCCTGCCCTACGGAGCCCCCCCTGTGCACCTCAAAGCCGACATGGAAGGAGCCCTCTCCAGTAGAGGGGAGAAGGTAGGAAGGGGGGAGGTGGAGTCACAGGACGCCGTGACTCAGTGCAATCCCAAGCCTCTCTTCCTAGAACTGGGTGCTGGAGATCTAGGCAGGGAAACGCAGGGAGCTGGCCACCGCGCAGTCTTCTCCTGAATGGCTTTTTCCCATCAACCTTCTCTCTCTCTATTTTTGGTGCCTCCAATGCTCCAGCTGCTCAGTTGGCTGGAATGGAGAGAGGTCTAGCTAGCCTTCCCTCAGGTAGGAGCTTCCAGATAGCAGATTCTGGGAGCCTTCAGGACTCCTCAAACATCTCGAGTTGATCTCCAGGAACTCTCATCTCTGTTAGCAGCCTCATGTTGACTTCATCTCAGGCCCCTTCAATCAAGGGAAGAGACCTCCTGCCATCTTCCACTGTCTTGCTCTGATCTGACAAAGCTCACCTTCCCAGCAGGGTCTATCTGACAGAACGTGCCTTGGGGAGGGGCAAAGGGAGGGCAGATCAGTGGTTCCCTCCTCTTCCTGGTCCCCACTTCGGTTCCTCTGCAACGTCTCCCAAGCTTCTCTCTGATTTTCCTGGCAGGTGATCTTGTTCCAGTATTGACTGCTCCTTTTCCTCAATTCCCGGGACTTGTGATGCCACTGCTGCTTTGAATCATCCCTGGCCACCAAGGGACCCCCTCAAGGTCTTCTCAGCCTTGGCTTCTGGATCTTGGTTGCCGTGGCTGTGGCCACCAGCCACTGAGCGTTGCCCAATGGCCTTCTTCCTCTGGTGGACTTGTTGACCGGTGAAGATTCTGGGCGGGGCCTTCTCTGGACGACTGAAGCAAAGGGACTTGCTGTGGATGTATCTTGTCTTCTGCTGCAAGTTTAACCGACGTAAGGACAGACATTGTGCCACCTGGGCTGAGCGCGTTCATTCAGACATGGAACGTGGTTGACCTCCAACCTAAGAATCAAGTCTACAAGTTAGTCTCAACGCTCAGCCGTTCGATGGAAACATGGATGGAAGGTGGGAACTTTCTCCATTTCAACAGAGAAGACCACGGATCTTGTTCTGTTGATTCCTTTTCAACTCTAGAGGCTTTTGATTTTTCCCCGCAAACATCGTCGGTCTGGTTGTTTTGGGACTGGCAGCCTCAAACCAGAGGCTGGAAACCTGCCCCGCGAGTTGACCTTCCCAGTGCTCCTCAAACTCTTACGGATGCTTCTAATCTCATCACCCAACAGCCGGTGGGAAGACGTCTCCCTCCCTAAATCTTGGGAGCAAAAATCCAATGAACTGGGGCTTCAACCTTTGCACAGAGCTGAGAAAAAATGTTTTTTTAAACCCCTCTAGTGGCGACATCACAACTTTAAAAAGGAACTTGGGGTTGATGGAAAAGGTGGGACTTTGTGCTGCCGGGACTGTAGTGAAACTGGAACTTCTCTCTCTCTCTTTCCCTCTTATTTAATGGCGTTTGGCATCCTCAGGCCGTGCTGGACGGAGCAGCTGAGCAAAAGCACTTGGCCTTTGGCCTTCTCCTGCTATGGAGCCCCTGATCTTCTTCGCAGCCTCAAGCTTCGTCTTGCTAGGCTGGGCAGCTGCTAGGTTAACTGGCCCGTGAATTGTCTTTTGGACAGGAAGGCCCTGATGGGAGAGGCATTGCCCCGATTGGGGCAGCCCCAGGCCTGGGCCAGGGACACCCCCTCCCCAACCAACCTCATGGCTTTTTGCTGGCTGGAATGGCAGAGATCTGCTCCCTTTTCTCCCAGGACTTCCTACCCAAAGACACAGGCACTGTTCTCCCTCCTTCCCTCCCACCCCCTGGAGAACTCCCCATCTAGGCAGATCCCCACCGCTCACTTCTCCCTGGGCTACGATGGCACTGATGATGTTCCCTAGTTGGGTCACGAAACGTCTGCAAGAAAACCACCAAGGACCCCCCCAATTCAACCCTGAGCTACAGATGTTATTGGTATGATGGCCCATTTCCAAGAGTTCTGTCGCTTCGTGGTCCTTCCGTGCTGCTTGGATGGCCCTTCAACAGAGAGCCCAGCACGTCCTGCTCCCGAGAATTCACCCGCAGAGCTTGACCGGAAGGAGGAAGCTTCTTGGTGGCCCTGGGTGGCCGAGGCAGCTGAGTGCAGGAAAGGCGGCCGTTGCGGAGTGACCCTTGAACTTCCTGACTCAGACGTCCTGCTGAATTGCGGAGGGGACAGAGGTCACCCTCCCTGGTGGCTGTGTCCGTTGTGCGTTTGGGTTACAACTGCCTTTTTTTCCAAAGGGACGGCAACTGCTTTGGGTGTGTGTCAAGCGGTGGCTTTGAGGGAGCTGCTCTTTCAGCCCCTCCACACCATCAGGAGGAAGAGGAGAAGCTGGGACCCCAGGGCGGGGGGTGGGGGTGGGGTGGGGGTCAGTCCCAGGGGAGAGAAAAGGTTTTGTCTTCTCGTTCCCAAGTCCACCAAGCGAAGGTTGGGTTTTTTTCTTCCTTGTAAAAGTCAGGGAGTCATCCTTTTTAAACACGGTAAATTTTGCTCTGCTCTTGCAAAACTGGAAACCATTAAATGGATGTTCGATCCATTCATCCTTTATGAAATGGAAGTTTCTGGAAAATTAAGGCCTCCTGCTCCAGAGGAGAAAGATGAGTGCTCTCGTTAGCCGGTGTCTTCTCCCTGGGCAAAGCTGCCTGCCTATCTACATTTAAAAACACACTCGCTCGCAAACATCTAGCTGAGCAAAAGTGCCCCCTGACCCTGAACGGGCAAACTCTGTGCAAGCTCAGAGACCCTCCTGCAGGTTGGACTATCTGCCCGTAAAATCCCTATTCCCATCATTCACTTCTCACAATCAGGCTGTGCAAAACTCCCAGCCTAATTCCGAGGGCCAGCAATTCGTAAGATTAGTCAAAATCTGTTGTCACTCGATTCCCTTGCAAAGGACACGCTTTGGAATTCGGCACGGGTTTCCTTTATGGAATACATTCGAATTTTCTACAGCTCAGCGAGCTGAGGAAAAATGAAAGTAGAATCTAGTCCGATCTGGGAAGACAAAGGAGGTACCAGAATTAATTTCCAGGAACTAAGGAGGGCCAAATTTTGTTTGAAAAACCTGAAGTATTCACGCTGATAACGTATATTTAATTGAAGCATGTTGGGCTTGCGGGGGGGGTGGTCTCCGAAGGGCAGCGTTGCGCTTCCCTCTTCCCTCTTTCTGCTTCTCCTTTTTTTAAAAAGCTGGGGCGAGCAGAATAGGGGGCTTCACCAACTCAGCGGCAGACGGAGAGCTAACTGCCTGGCCCGGTCAGGAGAAGCCGGGGGTCCCAAGCTGTGCCAAATTGTCTCGGGGAAAAAGAGCAGACTGTTTTGTTTGTAGATTGTGGCAATTTGTGCATGTCTAGGTGAACATGGCTAAAAATAACCTTTGGAAGAACAGGCGGTCAGGACCGGTATTTATTTAAAATAAAGAGACGAGGGGTGGGCGCTGGGGGGGGAGGGGGAGGGAATAATGAAAAAGAAAAAAGAAAAATTGTAAAGCACTTTTTTAAAAAATCAAAACAAAACAAAAAAAAAAGGTCAAAAACCAATGTTTGTTTTATTAGCTCCCTTTTACTGTCGTGCTTTGTAAATGTCTTATTTGTGTAATAAATAAAGTTAAGTCGAGTCGAGGTGCGGGCACTGACATCAAAGGAAGACCGCTTCCCTTTTCTTTGCTTTGGGACTCCTCATCCCGGCTCCCCTTCTTTGCCTTGGGACGGGTCGATGCGGAGGGCAAAACAAAAGGACGACAAAAAAAAAAACCCAAACCCCAGCCCCACAATAAAATCCGGCTCCTTCTCCCCTCGGGAGGGGCCAGTGAACCCAGAGGGTGTCGGGCAAAGGATGGGCTGGAGCTTCTGACGGGCATCCCGTTTGCCAACCTGGGAGGAATACGACCGTAATCGCGGGCGATTGGCTCACCATTTCCACTTATTGCCTCCGATGAAAGGAAAGCCGCTGGGCACCCTTCTCTTGGCAGGGGGAGGCCACGTCGGCCGTAATGGAGAAATTATACGGAGAGGGTCCTCAGGCGGGAAAAACCCCAAGGGGAGCCGAGTTCTTCCTCGCCCTCCGCCCGGCTCACTTCTTGGGCTTGAAGCCAACGCACTCGTCCCAACCTTTCCGGCACGTCTTCACAATCCATTCGTGTTCGTCGTCATCTAGGGGGGGGGGAGCACGGGGGTGGGGTTAATTGTGGTAGGGGGAGACACAAAAGGAGAATTAAAATGGATTTCACTTGTGTGTGTGTGTGTGTGTTGGCCTTTCCTTGTCAAACTGGGGAATTTTGGCTCAAGGGCTGAGCCAGGAACAATGAAGACTTAAGATTTAAGACATAAAAGGAGGACGTTTCAAAGCAGGGCAGAGAGAAAGGAAGCCCAAGTTTCCTCTCCAAGAGAAAGCAAATGTATTTTGGGCTGGTAAAGAGGCCGCTCGGGTGTTGTTTTCGGCTGGTTCAGCCAGGCAGCTCGACTTGGAAATGAGCCCAACTGAGTTTAAATAAGGTTTACTCCAGGTAAGGAAATGGGCACGGAGTAAGTCTCATAAACCTGCCCTCGACGTGACCACAGCCTAACTGCCTTTTCACGACTCAATTCATTTCATCTGGGTCGTTTTTCATAGGTTGTCAGAGCCTCGGCCTTTGTTCAGGGGGTTTCAGATAGCATGGAAGGGCGAGCTGGTGATTTGATAGATTTGAGGGGTCCCGTGCATTGCTGGGGGAGGGGGGGGAAAGGCCGTTTTAATCATGTCCACTGAAATGCTCTGAATCTTCAGCTCACGTATAAACTGATCTAAATCCGGTTTTGCTTATGTGTTAGATGGTTAATCTGGTAACCAGTTCAAAACTGACGCAGCTGCTTTTCCTGGATTAAGGAAACCGACACTGGGATCCCCAATAAATATATTTTCATTCCTTTTTTTTTTTTGCCTCTGGGAATCCAGCTCGTATCCAGGTCACCATTTTCCAGTTGTGGCCAAGAGGTGAAGCGGGTGGGAACCTCACTGGATTTCGGAGGAGCTATAAACGTCCCCTTCCTGCTGTCCCCAGAACGTCCAGGCTGCATGGGTGGGGCAGGGCTGGCCCCATGTTACCCAGGTCATTTGCCACAGCTCAGGGCTTAGAAGATGGGGCTGGATCCTGCACAGCCAGGAACACAAATCTCACCTGGCAACTCTCTTCCGAACCTCCTGTGTCGCTCTGGAAAAGGGCTGCTGGTTGTGACTCCGCCCATTTGCAGGGGTGGGTTCTATTTACCTTCACTACCAGTTCGCTGAGCTTCTGCGCATGTGCAGATTGCCTAGGATGACATCTGGGGCAGTGGGCGGAGCCTCCCGCTGGTTTTACTACCAGTTCTTGCGAACCGGCCCGAACCGGGGGCAACCCACCACTGATTCACCGCCTTCCCTACAGGGAAAACCGCCAAGACTTTTGACCAGGGAAAGTACAGGAAACCCAGTACCTTCCCTCTCTGCAGTGGGGGCTTCTCCAGCTTCAATGCTGAGGGATGCAAAGGGAAGGGTCACCCTTCATCACCCCAACTCTCTCGCTGGACCTACCCAGAAGGATATGCAACCCTCCCATTGAGAGGGAACGGCGGGGCTTGTCCTGTCCTGTGCTGTCCAGGGCGGGTGGGGACAGCCGAGCGAAGGGTTAATGGCTGGTCTGTGTGCTGGAGAGGAAGAGGAGGCAGGCCGCCTGCTAATCACGCCTGCTCCGGGGCTCTGAATCGCTGCAGCTGTAGCCTCTTCAGGATGAAACAAGGCAAACTGGGTTTATTGTGCTGAATGAGTTTGGGGCTCCTCCCTGATTGTTGGTAATTGGCGGCCAGGGACTTAACAGCCTCTCCATCATGTCTTCCTGCACTCTACCTGACGGTGCAGCTAACAATTTAAATCACAGATGCCGGTCGGGCTCGGCAGCAGCTGCTCGTTAACCGCCCTGGTCCCCCTCGTGCCGTCCCCGGCAGCTCCCTCGCCCCGCCACACCGGGGTGAGCCTGAAGAGTTGGGTTTCATTTCATCCATATTTAAAACGGAATTAAAAGCCCGGACAGACTTTGATTAGTGCTCCCAGACAGCAAAGTTGTAATTACCTTCCTCTTTTTTTTTATAGCTAAGACAATTGTTGGGCGATATTAATAGGAGCGTTGAGGCACATCTTCGCCTTCGGATGTGATTTCCTCCTTTTTTTTTTTTATAAAAAAAAAAGTGGCACTGGGGGTCAGGCTGGGTGGGGGGGAGAAGAGAGAGAAGCGAGAATACAAATACTCTTTAATCAACTAGAAATTATCACCCTGGTGCAATTAGGCGCTCTGTCTTTCGTGGGTTGTGGGGGGGGGGGAATCCCATTGGGATACGATTAAGTTCATTCTCTTTGCCGTCTCCCCCTTTCCAGTGGCCCCCGTTTGCACCTGAGGAGAAAGGTCCTGGCTGGACCGAGAAAGGGGCCGGCACCAGGTGGCAAAGTCACCCTGGACTGGCATCCTTCGCATGCCACCCAAGGAAGGGCAGGGGAGGCACTGGATCCATGGGGAGCAGCCGTATTTACTTCGGTTTTAATGAAGCCTCGATGGAGTTTTGAAGAAGAGATTGGGCAACCATTTGTCTGAAGCGATCTACGGTTTCCTGCTTGAGCAGGGGGCTGGACTAGAAGACCTCCAAGGTCCCTTCTAACTCTGTTATTCTGGAGTCAAGGTGAATTTTGAGCGCAGTCCCTCAAGTCCTAAGCAAAGGTGCCCATGCCAAGCCATTTCTCCCAAAGAGGCTGCCATGATTTAATGGAAGCATCACTCCTCGCGTTCTTCCTTCCTTATCCAAATCTCCCCCGATTCCCCATGGAGACCTCAGGTGGGTTCCAATCCTCCCACCTGCAGATCTGCTGTAGGGGTGTCCGGGTTCCCCCAGCAACCTACTTGGGCTGCTTTTTGTAAATCTGGGGCAAAGACCCAGATTTCAGGTCTCCATCCCAATAGTACGTCATCTTAGGAGCAGCTCTGTTGCTAGAGCTCTCCTGATCCTTGTTTTGAAGTCAAAATGTGTTCCGAAGAGACCTGGGGGATGGCAGAATTTCTCTGTCCCAGAATGAGGATGGAGTCAATACACGAGGGTGTCTCTCAGGAATCTCCCGCTAAAATAAAGAACCGTAGTTGCAAAGCCACCTCTGCAAAGCCTGGCCTGCCTGCCTGCCTGTGACTTCCAGGCTAATTGCAATCCCAAAAGTTCTCCGCAACCCTTGGCCAGCAACCAGGAGGGACATCTTAGCTGCTGGTTCCCATTTAACTGCTGCAGTTACAAATTGCCCATTAAAAGGAACTCTCCAGGCTGGGTTGAAATGATCTGTCTGTTAATGTTACGCAGCAGGATTGACCACCAGCTCTGAGGCGACCCTGCAGAACAATCGTCTACGTATCCGTAGTGGAGAGAGCTCAGACCCAAACCTTGCTTGTTGATCTTGGCAAGCCAGGAATTCAATCTTTGCAGGTTTTCGAAGCAGTCATTACTTTAGGGCCTGGAAACCCAGAGGGTGGGCAAGACGCCAAAGATCATGGACCCTGCCCTAAAGACGCTGCCTTGGGATGGACCCCCAGCCTGGCAGGGCTCCCCAAAGGAATCTGCTGAGCTTCTCCTCAAATGGGAAGGAGGTGCTTTTAGGTGGAAAGGCTGGGGAGGAAGATCTGGGACCCTGGCACCTTGAATGCCCACAGCTGAATGCCACCAGGTCCTCCTGATAAGTCCTCACTGGTGTTCTATGGCCAGACAGCAGTGGGGAAAGTCACCAGAAGTTGGGAAACCGTCTCACGATCTGGCCTATTTTACACCCTGGCATCTCTTGGATCTCTTCTCTGGTTGGGTTCTGCAACCCAACAAGACAGACAGAGACTTCAGAGGATCATTAGAACTGCAGAAAAAGCCATGGCTACCAACCTGCCTTCCATGGAGGACTTATGTACTGCACGAGTCAAAAAGAGGGCTGGGAAAATATCTACAGACCCCTCACATCCCGGACATAAACTGTTTCAACTCCTACCCTCAAAATGATGCTATAGAACACTGCACACCAGAACAACTAGACACAAGGATAGTTTTTTCTCCAAACGCCATCACTCTGCTAAGCAAATAATTCCCTCAACACTGTCAAACTATTCACTAAGGCTGCACTGCTATTAATCTTCTCATCGTTCCCACCACCCATCTCCTCCCACTTATGACTGTATGACTGTAATTTTGTTGCTGGTATCCTTACGATTTATATTGTTTCCTAGTATGATTTGATTGCTTATTTGTACCCTATGACTATCATTAAGTGTTGTACTTTATGATTCTTGACGAATGTATCTTGTCTTTTTATGTACACTGAGAGCATATGCACCAAAGAAAAATTCCTTGTGTGTCCAATCACACTTGGCCAATAAAGAATTCTATTCTATCGGATTGTGGGTCTTTAAGAGGCACTGAAGAGTCACAGATGGACACTTTCCTAGTCTGGCTCGAGAATGCTATCCTTCCTCTGTCCATCGTCCAGGGCTGAATTAAATAAGAGCAGAGAAAGCCCCCCTACCTTACTTGGCATTCTCTAATCCCGGAGACCACAGACTGAGCTCAAAAGAGTTTGCACCTCCAAAGCCTCCGGTGCCGAGCTGCCTGCAATGCCTTCTGACTCCACATCCAACTTTTGGCATTGCTAATCAACAGTTCTGGAGAGCAGGGCTCCACAAAGGACCCCCCTCCCCTCAGAAAGGTTCCTTGACAAAACCAGATCCTTTGAGTTCGCCTAAGGAAGCTGCACCAAGCGGTGATTTGTGAAGCAACGGCTGCGTTGAGCCATATATTGTCAACCAAATATATATATATAGGAGGGGGCAAGAAAGAAAGGCGCTCACTCACCCATCCCGTCTCTCTGCCCTTCAGAGGGCTGCACAATGGAAACCAGCACACAACTGACACAATTTGTTTTGTTCCCTGCCCAGGAGCAGACTCAAAAGAGCTCGCGATTAATTTCGGCACAAACCGAACATTCTTGCAAACAGGTCTGGCGCCCCGTTCTTTGAAGAATACACTGATTACCAACAATTTCTCAGGGCTTGCCACAAACATTATGTCTTTTGTTGTGCAAAAGAAAAAGAGGAAAAAAAAAAAACCCAGCAGAATCAACCATCTGGCAAATGCCCCAGAGCTAAAATCTTTCACACGGCTTATAATTCACAATGATTAAATATACAAAAGCAGAAAAGAGGAAGAAGGAAAAAAGAGAGTTATACTATGGTATGTTTTTTTTTAAAAAAAAAACCCAATAAAAAACAACAACCAGGGGACTTTCATTGCTTGATCAAAACCCAATGCCATCCACGGAAAAAGTGTCTGAGCAGACTCACTTATTTATGTCCTTCCAGGCTAATAGTTTCAATTTGCGACTTGCAAAAATTGCCATTTGAACCCGTCACAGCTAATGGGGCCTGGGTGTCACAGGCCATTTCCTGCCCTGCTTTTCAAAGGGCCAGGTGTGCTCTTGAGGGGGCAACCGGCAGCGATGCCAGGCATGGCCGGGCAGGACTGCAAAAGTGCAATGGAGGAGCAGAAGCAGAGGGCAGGAAAATCTCAGGAGTGGAAAGGGGTCATCCAAGACCTGGGTTCAATTCTGGCCTTTTTGCAATTCCTCTGTCGAATCCCAGATGGAGACAGAGTTTAGTTTCTCTCCGGGTGGGTCTATCTGCCCTCGAGGGGGCTGACGCAAGGGGAAAGCGGTCTCCTCGAACCCAGCTCCTTAGGAAGAGGGTGGACTTTCAGCAAGACTGCTCTGCCGCTCTTGTCCAGAGGTTCCTAAATATTTCCTGCCATCTGTTTTTGATGCTTCCAGATCTGGCCAGTCGCCTGCCAGGGTTTTCCTGCCTTTCCGGCGAAGGAGCAGTCCTGGATCTGTTCCCTCTCACGGCTGACCCTTTCCTTGCACGCTCCCCGCCTCTCTTGTCACCTCAGTGGGCCCCCCCAACCTCAGAAGACCCTCCTGGGACGGCTGGCGTTCCTTTAAGGGCAGACAAATGCTGCCGTTTTCAATTGTATCCGTGCCCTTAAAGGAAGGGATGGACTTTGGCACCAGATCCCATCTTCACACCCATGTTCTCAGAGGGAGGGAGGAGGGGGCCACGCTCCTGCACACTGCCCAGCCACCCCTTTGCATTTGCACAATGGGCCACTTATGATGATTGTTGCTGCGGCTGTCGCTCAAAGTTTATAGCAATAGAAGGAAACAAAGGGGCGTTGAAAGATGGAAAAATAATTCCAAGAACTCAGTCCCTCCCTCCCTCCCTCCCTCTCTCTCTCTCTCTCTCTCTCTGACTGGTCACAGTTTCTGTTTTGGGAAAGATTGTGTTTATCTCACTCATCACGAGTGTGACACTGAATCCAGGAGTTTGGTCTGATGGCACCCAGAGGATTAGGTTGTAGGGAGGGCTTGGGGGTAGGAGAGATGGCCCAGTCCCACCTACGGGAAAGTTCTGGAGATGTTGCAGGACCCATCCGACCACCCCTGTCAAGGTCATGACCTATCCTTATAGTGGGGTGTCTCTAGAGTCCACCCTACTTTTGAGGGTCTTAAGGAGGCTGATCTTAAGGGCTCTAATTCCTCCCCACTCCTTTTCCGTGTGAAGGACACCAAGATTTAGGTTGGCCTGCCCAGCGTTCCGTCTTGCAGCCAATTCCAGGTTGAAAGGGATCCGGAGGAGAAGGGCCTACCTGCATTTCTCAGAAAGCGGTGCCGGTAATCCACAACCACTCTGGTGTTCGGGTTGTAGAAGCCATCTCCACAGTCGTAGCAGCCAGGGGGGATGTTCCGTGGGGGATCCAGGTTGGTCAGCTGGGAAATCCCTTGGGAAGAGAAACCGAGGAAGAAGAGGATGTGAAAAGCAAATACTCTGGAAAAAAATAGCCCAACATTTACTGCTTTGTACCAGGAGCCCTGATATTGAGTCTTTGGAGTCTCCCAACCAGAGGGGAGAGGGTCTGCCAGCCTCCCAAAGAGAGGAAGCACCAATAATCCCATCCTCGAGGTCTCCCAAGGCTGTACCTGCTGGCTTCAGGCCGTTGCAGATTTCTGTGTAAAACCTCCTGTCGTAGCCGTCACAGTAATGCCATTTATTGTCTTTGTATTCCAAACCATCAGAAAAGGTGTATTTCCCCTGTGGGGCAAATTTAGGGTTAAGGTGGAGGAGAATCAAGCATTCAGATCCAACTTCCTGTTTCTTGGCTGTGTTGTGGTTTAAGAACTCCACCTGCGTTCACAAGCATGGCTCCTTTCCCTTCTCAGATTGTGTGAATGGGCCTGCTTATCAAATTGTCATAAATTATAAAACTGTTTTATCAAACACAGGGAACGGGTAGGGAATGACCAACAAGGCAGGTAGAAGAAGTAAGACACGCTATGCAGAAGAGCAAGGCGTGGTATTGCTAAAGAGGATGGACGTCCTTGAAGGACATTTATGATTTATCCAGCCAGTGGCCCTAAAAGGTTCTTATGGGACAATCCGTTCTGGATCTTTGCTCAGTGTTGTCTTAGCACAGTGTGTGCACCAAGCCACTCTGGTTTGTGGGTGTACGAAGCCCAGCACGCTTGGGACTCCCACCCAGGAGGCATCTACTGAGGCTTCGCAGATGGAGAAGAAAGGATGACTCCCCATGGCAGGGAGAAGGTCCTGGGAGGTCCAGATGGGTCAAGATCAGCTCCCACCAGGGTGTCAAGGAGATTGTCGCTCAAGAAACCCAGAGGCTCCCAGTTTCCCTGGTTGAAGCCATACCTCCACACAGATGCCTTTGTCCCAAGTCCCTTCGTATTTGCTTCCGCTGGGGAAGTACAGAGTTCCTTTCCCGTGGAACATCCCGTCCTTCATCTCGCCCTCATACTTGGTGTCGGTGGGGAGGGTGTACGTCCCCGTCCCTTCCAACCTGGGGGGAGCCCAGAGAGAATATCAGGCCTCGAGTCTACACTTCTCTCCAACCACCCAGGGCCCCCTCCCCACCCAGCCCATCCTTGCCCGGGGGGGGGGGGCTTCACCCACATGCAAGGAAGCAATACCCCCCCTCCCAACTCATTGGACCTATTCATAGGCAGGGATAACGCTCCCAGCTCCCCCTCCAAGTCTTACTCTTAAGAGTAAGTCTTACTCCCCCTCCAAGTCTTACTCTTAAGGTTTATGATTTATTAGAGTTGCATATTAATGGACCGCGTATACCGCATGTCCCCCACCCGAGTCTTGACGGGGCAGCCCGCATATCCTATGCATTCACACCAGACACCCTCCCTCCCTCCCTGGCACGTGTACAGAGGCTCCCCGGTGCAACCTCCGCCTGCAACGTTTGCACGAGACCCCCCCACCCCGCCTTTGCAGTTTGCACCCTTCCCCCCTCCCCCCAGTTTGCAAAGGGGCCTGCGGGAGAGGTAGGGGCGCGTCCCCACGTGCACCTGCCGTTGACGCGCTGCCCGCGGTAGAAGCTGCCCGTGTACTGCATGGCGCGGCTGGGCCTACTCGCGCGCGTCTCCGTCGCCTAGGCAACGCGGAGGGGGCGTGGCCGCGGCGGGAGAGGGCCATGGCGGGGCTTCTGCGCCTGCGTGGCCGGGGGAACATGCGCAGTGTCTCCCTGAGGCCCTGAAGCGGCATCGGAAGAGGAGGCGGCGGCGGCCAAGGGGACTTCAAGGTGCGGCGCTTCTCCGGCCATGGCGGGGCTGGTGGAGGTGCCCTCGCTGGAGGAGCTGGACGTGCCGGAGGTGAGCCCCCCCCTGCTCTCCGGAGCCTCCTGCCCCGCCCCAGACGGTGCCTCGGTTTCCCTACTCGCCTGACCTCCCGTGACCTCTGACCCCCCCAAGGGTTGACCTCTGGAGAAGGGGGGGTCACTCCTCCCCAGGGGTCAGCCCAGGTCAATTCCCTTGAAGCCTCCTCCATCCTCCCCCCCGCCGCCCTTTAAGCAAACAAACAAATAAGCAAATAAATAAATATATAAATAAATAAGCATATTTTTTGGAGGGGGGCAAATATTATTCATTTCCTGCAGTTTCAGAGCTTTTGAGTTTCGTCCTTCTCCCAGCATGAAGGTTGCACTGGCTAAGATGGGAGCCCCGAAAATTTTACAAGCAAACAAATAAATAAATAAATAAAGCAATTTTTGCCCCCTCCCCAAAACAACATTTGTTACCTGGACTTTCAGAACTTAAATGTTTAGTTTCTTCTCCTAGCATGGATTTGACAACCAGCAGGGAGATTATATTTGAAGGGGGAGGGGGGGGGAGAAATAAAGTAAGAATTGATGGGCCATCTGGGTATTCATGAACTTTATCCATTAATCAAATTTATATAACTACCCATCTCACCCAAGGCAACTCTGGCATGCACAAGAAGAGAGAAAAAGCAATCCTATGAAAACTGCGGGTGCAAATGTTCTTAAATAAATAATTATTAATGTTCTTAAAATATAAACAAATAAACAAATATCCTAAATATTGTAACCCTGTTGAGAGCCCCCTATTTGGGGAGGAGGGGATGAGCAGAGGCTTCTCGTGGCTTTGACCTCCCCTCCCCCTCTTCTATCGCTGAAATGCACTTTGATGCATTATGAAACCTTGAAGGCCGCGAGGGCCTGCAAGATGGCAACGTTGACTTCCTCGCTTGCTCCTCAGCTGCCGGTTGGCACCGCGGTCCTGAAGGCGGGTGCCCACCACTACGGCTCACAGTGTGACCAGATCAACAAGGAGTTCATGCTCTGCCGCTGGGAGGAGAAGGACCCACGGAAGTGCTTGAAGGAGGGCCGGGCCGTGAGCAAGTGCGCCGTGGACTTTTTCAAGTGAGCCTGGCACGGGGAGAGCTCTGGGACTCCAGGGGGAGAGGGGGAACGTGCTGTGAGGGTCTCGAAGGGAATTATTAATAGTAAAGGAGAACATTTGCAGCTCAGGGTTGAAATGAGAAGTATTATGGTTTGTCACACAGAGCCAGATGTTCAGTCTGGATTTGGCATTTTAACTGACCTATTGAAACCACCTAGGATAGGCAGATGTGGATGTTTGATGGTGTTAACAGCAGGATGTCGGCTGTTCCAAGCAAAGCTGCCTTCTGCAATTGACCGATGGAGATATGGTCAATGCTGACGGTGCTCAAATAATAAATTAGTATGGTGTGTTGCACAGTCAGCAGGTATTTGGACTGGAATTGGCATTTTTGTCCACCTGTTGAGTCCTTCCCAAGGTAGGCAGATGTTCAATGGGCTTCATTGGATGTCAGCTGTTCCAAGCAAATCTGCCTTCCGCAATTGACCGATGGTGATTTTGTCAATGTCAATGAAGTTCAGGCGGGGCTCCAGCTGTTTTGGGGTTGCATCCAGGTTGTTGTTATTTAACGCACCCGTCTTCCGTTCTTATTAGTGTCATATTTCTGAATGATCTTTGTCAACCTTTTATTCCGTTAACCAAATGCAGTGGCCTCCTCTGGTTTTTACAGGCAGATCAAGTTCCATTGCGCCGAGCCCTTCAACCAATACTGGAACTGCCTCGATGAGTCCAACACGTTGAAGCTTTGGCATTGTCGGAAGCAGCAGCAGCTGTTCGATGACTGTGTGCTGGACAAGCTGGGCTGGGTGAGGCCAGAGCTGGGTCAGCTGTCAAAGGTAACCGAAGACCCTCCGTGTCTCTCTTCAGGCATGTTCTTGTGGCCAGTGGACCCAAGTGCTCGTTGTTCCGTGTCTCCTTGTTTGGCTGTGTTTTGAGGGCTGGTTCACAGGGTTGCACAGGCCTCTTTCTATGTTGCACACACCAACAGACAAGCCTTACCTTCTGGCGTGTTTATCACATGTTTACCTGACTTCCACTGCAATTTTTCCAACCAAGCAATGCACGAGGGTAAGAGGGGAATATTTACAGACGCCCATTTAGTCTCGCCCAAGTAGGAAATACTGGACAGGAGATCATGTGGTCTTGTCTGCCTCTAAACCAGCTTCAGGTGTCCCTCCCTGCTCTTCCCCTCCGCTTCCTCTTCTGAAACGCCTTCTTCCTTGCAGCAGTGTCATCCCTTCTGCTCAGCAAAATCTTCCCCTGTGATTCTTCCCTTTCCAGGTCACTAAAGTGAAGACCGACCGTCCCCTCCCCGAGAACCCCTGCCATTCCCGAACGAGACCACCAGCCAACCCGTCAACTGAAGGCGAATACAAGCCTGCGAAATATGGTAACCGAGGTTATTTCTGGAGTTGGTAGGGGGAAAAAAATTGGAGCTCTGCACCATGCCAGCCATAGAGGAAAACCGTGACCTTTTTTTGGTGGATCGTAGATTACTTTTCTTTGGTGTTGGATGGAGCTTATCTGTACTCAACGGTCATTAAATGTACATTCTTTGAGAGGTCCAACTTCTCGTGCCTTCTGTCGTGTGTTTGTTTGAAATATACAAGTAGAGAAATGTTCTCTGTAATTCTGGAATAAATCTCCTTGGGTAGCAGTGAGGAAGGTATCTAATGGGGTTTAAGGACATTATTATGGATTTCTTAATACCTCTCTTCTTGGGGCAAACTAAGATGACCAATTTTTTCTCCTTGCCTGCTGATCTTTGACTTTCTGAGCGTTGTCGCAGTTATTTTGAGCCTCGCTCTCAGTCCTGTTCACACAACCATTAATCCCAGCCTTAAATTCGGGAGCCTTGATGGGTTCTTACGGTCTACGGTGACATTAGTCTACAGTTTCCTTCAATATTTCTAGGATCCAGGCTGTATCTATATCTCTTGCTAAGATCCAAAGTTCTATTTCTGTCCGTCTCCTCATCCATTTTAACTGAGGTTAAGACTTTCAACAGCCCTCATCTTGATTTGGAATACTCACTCAGATCCAGGAGGGGATGTGTTCTCTTGTGCTGCTGAAAAATTCCCTCCCTCCCTCTGTCCATCTAAACCTCCTTTAACCAAGGAGGCTCCGTAAATCGATGTGAGTTTTGTCAGTCTGTAGCACTTCTTGCAGCCAAAACGCCATCGGAGGCAATGGGCCAAACCAGTTTGAGCAGGGGGTTGGACTAGAAGACCTCCAAGGTCCCTTCGAACGCTTGTCATTCCGTGTTCTGTAAACTTAAGGAAGTTTAAAGCAGTGTTAGAAAATAGCATGCCTGCTTTTTGAGTTTCAAGGTATAAATAATTTATCCCTGGAGATAAATAGACCTTAGATAGACCTTACCGCTATGTGGACATCAGAGCTGGGGGCGGGGAGCGGGAGGAAGAAAAGGGGCTGGGAATCTCAGCTGTGCCGGCATCGGTTAAAGCTGGAATATGAGAGGAGGCTGCCAGCAGGCAGCCATAAACTGATGGTTGGTTGCACTGGAGACTCCCTGAAGTTGCTGGGCTGTAAAAATCGGCAAACAGTTGTTGTTTCTCCCAGTTCTGAGAATATGAACTGCAGCTGTTCAGCCAAACTCCTCGGCCGAGGGAGACCACAGAGTCTTGGGGTAGAAGCCTGCGGCCAACGTAAACAAGGCAGGCGGCAAATATTTGCGTGATTTCAGTAGTTCTCGATCCTTCGACGGTGCGTGTCAGTTCCAGAAATACCGTTCCCTCGTTCTCGTCTTGTTCGTGGGTCAAAACACCAGAATGTACACAGATCTGGAAAATCTAAATAAAACACAGGTAATTAAGGATCTGCACATAGCTTAGATGAAACATTTGGCACACGCACACACACACACGGAAAACAGTCTGATGTCCTTCATATAACGTGCGTGTGTCTCTCTCTGTGCGTGTGTGTCTGACTGTGTATTGGCATCATTATTTTTCATTATCTTACGTATATATTTATATGGTTTGCATCCTGCCCTTTTGCCTGTAGGCCATTCAAGGCAGCCTGTTCTCTGGAGAAGAATTTCATCTTCTGAGGAAGAGCTTTCGGGGCTTTGAAATCCCCCAAAGCAAATGGTCTCCGAGGGTCTGCTTACTTGGTGGGAAGTGGGGGGTTGGGAATGTCTCTTTCCTGGCTTCGGAATTGGGATCCGCACTCAGGATCAGAGCCCCACTCCCTGCTTGCTGCTCCGTGCATGGGGAGGGAGGTTGAAAGCTTTCTCTCCGTCCATCCCTATTCAGAAGAACAAGTCCGCCCTCCCTCCCTACGGATTCTGTGGGGGGAGGCCAGGCAGGGGTTCCCTCCGTCTGCTCTGCTGTCTCTGTGGTTGGTATTCCCCCCCCCCTTTCCTTCCGAGGTTGGCCTGCGTGGAGGCCGCTGCTGACCCTTTGCCTTCCTGTGTTTAGCCAAGAGGGTGGGCTGGCCACGAGCTCCTGCAGCCTCACCCAGCCCCACCTTGGGTGCGGTGCCTTAGGGGAAGGGGCACATGGCTGGGGTCAGGACCGGCTGTTGGTCACTTCCTGATGGCTGGATGCCCGTCCCGCCCGGGAGTAGCCATCAGATCCTCTAGCTGTGTGTAGACACGGCTCAACTGGTATTACTTAATTTCACCTTGTTGCCTAGGGAACCCCTCCAGAGGGGGAGTGTGATGGCCTGCTTCCTGACCCCAGGGTCTTCTAAAGCAGGGCCTCCAACCTTGGC